TTCTGGCCAGGAATTAAGCCAAGCCAAAACAGGCTTTAAGACAAGATGTATATTTCAGAGTTTAAGAAGCTTGACTTATGGAGTAGTTTTGTCTGAAACAAAACAAAACGTGTCCAGTAATCTGCAGCAATAATTTCATGTACAAATGTTAAAGGAAATAGTTCAGCATTTTCGGGAAATACTCTCATTTGCTTTCTGTCAGACAGTCTAATATGAAGCCAGTAGCCAGTTAGCATAGCTTAGCACAAAGACTGGAAACAGGGGGAAACAGCTAGCCTGCCTCTGTCCAATGTTAACAAAATCCAACTACTGGCACCTACAGTGCTCATTAATAAAGTTAAATAAAGTTATATCTCGTGTTTAATCGGTACATTACTTGGCTATGAGCAGTTGTAAGGCAGCAGAGACTCCAGGAAGTTATTGGTGAAGACTAAGAAACGGTCCACAACACACAATCCTGCCGTTAAAGGGGCATTATGTAGTTTTCAGCGGCCACTAGTGGTGCGGTTCTAAGATTGCAACCAGGTGTGTGCTCGTACGCGTGCTCGCTTGAACACATGAGCGAGCATCATCCGAAACACAACTACTTTCATACAGAAATACCACAATAAATGCAGAAACACCAGCATGCAGGCTGTGGCTTTTCACATAGACATGTTCAGCTACTGTCGCGTTAGCTGGCTTCTCCTCGCTGCATCACTATAGGCTAACTTAGCAAACAAATGACTCCACATTTGCTTTTTGCCGTTATATCCTTTCTTGCAGGCTAAATCAATCAAGTGGTACACAGGATAGTAACATGGGTCGCATTAGTTGGTGAAGTAATGTGGAAGGCGATATAACTTTGCACCGGATAATGTTAGCAACTGCTTGGCGTTAGCCGGCGAGCTAACGTGACTTTCTCTGTGTTTCTCCAGCTTTTCTAATGCTCACTTTGTTCTTACTCGACATCATCTGAACCTCTTTGGTCTGATGGGCTTCAGCACATAAACCTTTATTTTTGTTTTGTATCCTTACGTGGAGCCTGTGTTTTGCTGTGAGCCAGTTGTTTTATGGTGTTAGTGGACTGCATGTCATTAGCTGGCGTGTTGAGTCCCAACATTAAAAGCAGAATAGTGGCTGATGCAAGCAACGGAGAAAACAGGTGTGTGCTTCATTTGTAAGTGACTTTTGAGCCCATTAACAATAAGGCAATGAAAATTTGATTAATTTAATTGAAAAACCTACACATAGTCCCTTTAACTGACATTTTTACACTTCGATCTTTGATGCAGATTTAACAAACAAGATATATTAATTAGTTTTAAAGTACTGGTAAGCAGATATTGTTAGCATTAGATGGCGCCAGGGTAACTGGTTCCCCCTGTTTCCAGTCTTTATACTAGCCTTAGGCTGATGATACATGGAGCAACTTTTAGAGAAATGGTGCTGGGCAACGTTGCTGTCAATGGTAATGAGTACTACCTTAATCCCCTTTCCCCACTGCTATAACAAAACATAGTTGGACTTTCCACCAGCAAGATTGCCCAGCAACATTGTCAAAAAGTTGCCCTGTGTATCATCAGCTTTAGTTGCCAACACCTAACCATACCTTAACCATAGTTTTTTTTACTTTACCTTTCTTTACCTAACTGTAAGTTTATATCACAGAAAGCAAGAATTAAATTTGGGGTTTTGCAGAATTGTCCAATATAAATTTTTTTGTCTAGTGATGGTCATGAAGGTGTGCGTGGAATAAAATATTAGTCTGCATGAATCGTGTTTATACAATATATTATTCAGTGCTGTAAAGGAAAGTACTTTATTCAAGAGCTCAAAGTACTTTATTCAAGTAAAAATAAACATGTAACAACCAATAAAAGAATCAAAATCAAAGAAGAAATTCCTCTATTAAGTATTCAGTCATTGTTTTGTAACATCAAGCAGTATTTTAATATTGTGAGAACAATAGTTTAGTAAACACATCACAAATTCTTCATGTAACACCTTATTATGGAAAGTATCCACCAACTGCACCCATCAGATAAATGTTTAAATCTTATTCCCAACCACATCAACATAACCCTGCTGGACACCTAACAGTGTTTTTTTTTTTTTTTTCATCTTGTCATGGGTTGGACAGAATCCCCAGATACACCTCAAACTGATCAGGACTGTCACTTTCTGTGGAGTGTTTCTGACACATTTTTACTTTTCAGTACGTGTAAGTCTGAGGGTGCAAAATAAAAAATGTCACATCTCATGTTTATTACAAGTCAATGATCTAGGCTACTTGAATGGATAAAAACATATCAGACATGAAACCACATGAAAGCATTACAATGAAGCATCGAGTAAAATACAACCTGAATTTTATGGTGCACAAAACTCTTTAAGGTCTCTCGTGTGTGTAACGTAGATCAATGATTACTTTTTTGTGGTTTGGTAGCTTACCTTGCTTGGTGGTCTAACATGTCCTCCTCAAGAAGACATTCAGTTTCCTTTATTTTCTGAGGGTTTATTTAAGTAAAGCTAAAATTACAATCAGCTCAGACTAAAATAAAGAGCAATAACAAAGCATTACAAAATAATGCTAAGCTATATATCAGTTTTTTCTTCTTATTGGCTACACAATTGGCAAAATTAGATTGATTTTGAATGACTACAAAAGCTGTCTGTCTGTTTAACAGATAAATTTAAGATATTATAAAGTAAAACATAAAAATTATTAACATAAGACAAAACAAGTAAAACTGCTTAAAGGTACTTAATGATACCCTGTGGAGTTTATTTACCACTAGCAGGGCTATGGAGTATTGTTTTGTTGTGCGGTTTCTTTGTATCTAACAGGCACATGCACAAGTGATGCAATACAGTTTTATGCCGTCATGACTGATAGTTGGTGGCAGTGAAAGGTAGCAATGTGCCAACAAAAGGCAGGGAAGAGAAAGACTAGGTAGCTAGCAAACATGAATACAAACAATGCAAGTTTGCAAAATTATTTAGGGACTGTGTGAAAATTATTAGGGTGGCGAGGGGGGACTAAAGTTATGTAAAAAGCAAGTTGTCTTTTTGATGCAACTGTATAACTATATTTCAAAGTAAGATCCTCTCCTGCTCCCCCCAAAAAGTTAGATGAACCCAGAGACAAATTACCCTCCCACTATTCTAACACCCCTTTTCCCACCCAAAGAACTTCCATACAGTCCCTTAAAAGTTTTTAAAGTTTTGCAAATGTTTTATGTGGAAGGACATGCATAAAACACATTCAAAAGCTATGTAATCAAAGAGAGCACAGTAGTTGTTTACTTTTATCCTTGTCATTGTGGATGAAAATATACACTGTTTTCATCATATTCAATGCTTAAAACACTCAATATTTCCTCTAATATTTTGCACTGATACATTCATTTTCACTTAGCTTCCCTAAGAATATTTAATATTTGATTTGATTTGAAGATAGTTAGCATACAAGCTATCCAGAATATATCTTCACTGAGCCAAGCCCATTTTATCCTAACTACATTGACTTGAGTAAAGGAGGTTGTTTGTCTCAACTGACCTTCAGCTCCTAATAGGATTGGCTGATACAGACGGATTGTTAACCTGAGCCTAATTCCTATTATAAGGAGCTCTTGTCCCTACTTTCTTGCTATCAACCTAATGAATGAACCAAAGAATGAAAAAACATGCTGGTACGCTGCCTGACATGAAAGAGTAACATGCAAACACAGGGCTGGCAGGAGGGAGGGATCAGAGGACTATTCTGCCTTACAAAGCCAGAGAGCAGTAAATGGCCTACAAAAACAATAAATGGGTTTCCATTTACCTGTTTTGATACCCATCTCAATTAATGAAAAAAACAAACCTTAGTGGAAAAAATTCACTCAAATCTTGAAATATTGCAAAATCGTTTTACCATTTGTTTTTTTAAAGAAAAGTAAATTGCGATCTCTTCTCCTGCAATGGTTTAATGGCACCCGACTGGAAAATTTGCAATACCAGCTGTTATCTCAACAAACCAACTCCTTATATTCGCATTACTGTAGTGGACAAGAAACACATTGCATTTAATTTGCATTTTCTTTTGCAGATTTTCTGGACATTCTGTTATTCTGTTGTGTTACATTTAGATGGAAACCTAGCTAGTGATGTAATAAAAAGGGGTTTGCAATTTGAAGGCTGTTAGCCTTTTATGCAGATTAGTAAAACAATGTCACAGACCTTACATAAAACCTTTAGAACATTTAGATGCTTCTCCCCATGTTTGGACAATCTAAAGGGAACAGGACAAACACACAAACAATACATGTTATTTTTTCTTCTTCAGCTCTCCACTAACGAACTAATGAACTAATAAATTCATGTTAAATTTAGTCACAGGCTACACAGACGACTTTTGTTGCTACTGTGCTAGCTAGGCTAGTTACGTTTAGCAGGGTTAGCTACTTAATGTGGGATTAACCTTTTCTCTCCATTATAATTTAAGATTGAGCTCAATTATTAAGATGTAACAGCACCAAAATACATTTTTCAGTCACAGTAAAAGGGAATAGGTGAATTAGCTTTGGCTAAGGCTTACTAGCTAGAGCAAGTCTTACTAGCTAGCCTTTACTAGCCACAGTGCAGCGGCTGCAGTTTGAATTTTACCTCTGTTTTCTAGATCTTATGAAATCTTCATACTGTTTTCCCAAAAATTATACATTCAGCGGTATAATATTGCTATTTCTGGTAAGATGTTAAAAAGTTGCATTCTGGTAAATTTTTGTGTCTTTGTAGGGAAAGTTTATGTTGTTTACTACTATGTTTAATACAGATCCACAGTGTAACTGCACAAAGTGTCAAACTCACAGCTTAAATTGCCATTTCAAGAGTTCCTCACCTTCTGTTTTCTAGGATTAAATGCAAATATCATAATATAAATGTGAAAAATGAAAACGAGTCCATAAATGAAAAGAAAAACAAGGGGCCAAATCATGTAAGAATGTAAAAAGAAAAATGAAACAGTCTTAAACCACATGAGGGGGGCTTTTTCTGCCTCTTTTTATTGCTTCTTCTCTTTCAGCTTGTCTTTAATTTTCTGAGGCTCATCATATTGTATCAATCGCAGGATGTCCTTGTTGTCCATCACACCCTGAATGAATTCTCCCTCTGAGATTTTATCTGCGAAAGAACGGAAAAAGGCACAAGTCGAACAGCATCAACACTTGTAGATGTTTGTGAAGATACAGAAAAAGCTTTAATTAAGCAGCTTAATGAGTTGTAAGTTACCGTTTTCCTTCTTCCCGAAGAATTGCCAGATCTTTTCAGCCCTCTTCTCCGGTGTGTTTTCATCCTCGGGCAGGTTCTTCTGGTCATCAGCAGGAATCATGTTGAATATTGACTGCAGGAGAGTGATTATGTTAACATTTGTTTACAGTGCATGCTTAATTTCATCACAAAATACAAATCATACACAAAATAATATCCTAAAGAATACAAAGGATCCATGTATTTCACTGTGGCCTCAGTTACTGCTGAAACAACTAGAAATGCATCATTTAATTATGACTACTATTCTTTGCTTTATATTATTGTAAACTTAATATTTTCGGGGTTTGGCCTGTTTGAGTAAAAGAGCAATTAAAAAAACAACATAATTGTGTAGTCAAGTCTGATTATTATTCTGCATTTATGGTTGTAAAACCATGTAACATCATTGTGGACTCAGCTACACGACCAAGCTGTTTGCTTTTGTTTCCATTGCAGATTTTTTAAGGGAATGAAGTTGTAAATAGTCAGAACAAGAAATGAATAAATTAAACCAAATTGTGGAACTATATGCCATCTTGTTTTTTTTAAGTTTATCCATGTTAATGTGGTGAAAGGTTTTTTGAAAAGAAGCTGAATAGAAGTCAAAAATAATAAATTTCTGCAGGAATAAAGGAAACGTTTGTCAAATATATAATCTATCAAATACTTGAGGTTGTGAGTAGCAACTACATACTGTTTTATGCACCATCATGATGAAAAGAAAAGGTATAAGTACCCTAACAATCTCAAGGATTTCGTTGTTGCTGATGGTTCCATTCCCGTCTACGTCGTACAGGGCAAAGGCCCACTCCAGTTTCTGCAGAGTCTTTCCCCCGGACGTGAGGTGCAGAGCAACAATGTACTCCTTAAAGTCCAAAGTGCCATCTGCGTTGGTGTCAAAGCTCCTGAATACATGCCGCGCATACTCTGTGGGGTCTGCGTTTGGGAAGAAGCTGGCGTAGATGCCTTCAAACTGCTCCTTGGTGATCTTCCCACTGGGACACTCCTTCAGGAAGGACTGGTACCAAGTGCAAAGCTCGGCCTCTGAGTATTTCGTGTTGGATTTCAGATCTTCCAGGAGCTCCTTCGACAAAGCACTGCTCTTAGTATTCCCCATCCTGCAAACTGATTCTCACAAAGGTGAAACGTCTCCCTTCTCCTTCTTCTTGTCTCTCGGTCCTCTTGCTTTCCTGTGTTTGGGGTTAAAACCTCTGCAGCACTCGTTCAAGTTACTCACCACTCAAGGTGCCAAATGGGATTATGATCACTACCTAAATCCAGACAGCTGTCTTGAAGATTAAGGGGATAACCACGTCACACCACTATGACACCGTTTTAGAGACACAGTTAAATACTGGAGGTATAAGCAGAGGATTAAAAGTAGGTGCCTAAAACTGTAAAGGTCAACATCAGGGAGGCCTTTTATGCCTTTTGCAGCATTATTGCTAAGACTGCAATCCCATCTGCCATCCCTTGGTTTAATAACTCACTGTGATATTTAGTTACATCAAGTTAGTCAATGAGTTTTAACATTTGTAATGTTTCTACTGTTATTACAATTGTGTATATTAATGAGAATTTCCCTTTTAAACTGGTTATTTTAGCTTGATAATATTACTTTTTTGTTGTTTTACTGTTTTCGAAATGTTAACTCGACACACTTCTGTTGCTCAATGTGTTGTAAAAAGACAACTCGAAAATGTGCAGTTCCATCACGCAGCACAATGCCACAGATGTCGCAAGTTTTGAGGGAACGTGCAATTGGCATATTGACTGCAGGAATGTCCAACAGAGCTGTTGCCCGTGAAATGAACGATCATTTCTCTACAAAAAAACGTCTCCAGAGAACCAGTGAATTTAGCAGTACATCCAACCGGCCTCACAACCACAGACCACGTGTAACCACACCAGCCCAGGACCTCCACATCCAGCATCGTCACCTCCAGGATCGTCTGAGACCAGCCACCCGGACAGCTGCTGCAACAATCGGTTTGCCAAACCAAAGAATTTCTTCTTCCAACTCAGGGAATCTCATCTGCAGGCTCGCTGTCCTCATCGGCGTCTCGACCTGACTGACTGTACTTCGTTGTTGTAACCGACTTGAGTGGGTAAATGCTCACATTCGATGGCGTCTGGCACTTTGGAGAGGTGTTCTCTTCACGGATGAATCCCGGTTTTCACTGTACAGGGCAGATGGAAGACAGCGTGACAAGTGAAAAGTGTTTATAATTCTGTTCAGACATGTACATATTTATATATATATATATATATATATATATATATACATATATATATATATACGCCCCACCCTATGATGCCACTCACTCCAACACTAACCCAAACTAAACACAGATAAACACCTTTAAAACAACCAAATTCGTGGGATTTATTAACATAAAAACAAGATATATCAAAAATATTCATAACAAAAACATTCCTGGCTGACAGGCAGCAAGACCAACAGTCCCAACTCAGAAAGCATCCTCTCTGATGCTGGCACAGGAGTTTAGGTCAGACAGTTAAGGTCTGTTGAAAAGGCTGGGGTCGTTATGAAGCCCTGCATGGATTCGGCTGCTCCTCCACAATGGGATGAGATTATCTGTGTCTCCAGTGTATTAGTCTCAGGCCAGATTACAAGACCATCTGCTGCAGTGGTGCCAAAAGCACAGCGAGTGAAGGCAATTAAGGAACAGGGAGGAGTGTGTGTGTTATTGCACTTACTCTAAGGCGTGCAAAAATAAAAATGGATAAGTGCAATCTATAGTTGGAACAAAACACGTCATCTGGTCAACTTTTGACAGCAGATGAGCTCTGGGTGCAGGCAACATAGGGGAAAGTTAACTATTGTTAATGTGTATATTCTGTCCATATTGTAATGATGCGTATCTGGTTGAAAATCACAAAGGTTCCCTTTAGCCTGGTTGTTAATTTCTTTTTTACAATTTAAAACAATATGCTGAGAGTGCGAGTGGAGTGTACCTGCAGCTCACTGGTCAAGCTGCTGCTACCAGGATTTATATGTGTGATGAATGGCATTCGAAAATTGATCAACTAAATGAGCAGCTGGTTTACCTTATAAATATGTCCTTTTTATAATAACCTATACAATAATAACTGAACTTGTGATCCATTTCTGAAAAAGGGGAGGGGGTAGGGGTGTCCATAATGCTGCTATGGTACTGACGTCAAAAAATGTTTGTTTCAATTGCTACTTTGGTTCTTCTTTAAAAGCAATGCCTGTGTGTACTGACTGACTGGCTTCAACATTAATCTACATTAATCCATCAGTGCCTCTCATGACTCAAGGACCAAGAGGCGACTTCTTAAATGTGACACAATTATAATACCGCAGCATACTGTGCCAACACATATGATGACTTTAAGGGACGAATTAATGTGTTGTTTTTTTGTTTTTGTTTTTTTCTCAAGTCAAAGCTGGAATGACAATACTCTGACTTTATTTTTCTCCAAAACCATGAACATAATCTGGTAGCGTCTCTCTGAAACATATCTAGCTTTGCAAAATCAGATTATGAAACCCTGTAGAATTCTTTTAAATATCAAATACTTTTTACATAATCACGAAACATTTAGATTTTGTCATAAAATGCACAAAATGTGGAGCTTCTCTGTCACAGTGGGAAAAGGTCAACGTTCAAATCTCACATCTGTCAGTCGTGCACGCTGATATTTTTCTCTGGTAAAATGAGTCCCTCCTGGCAGGTATTTATTATGTAAAAAGGGATGAGTCTAGGAAATATGTACTGTACAACAGGCTTACTACTTCATCAAGTGTAACACTGGACTGTGTATACATTTTTATTACATGGAAGCTAATGTTCAGAATAATCTCTTTGTATTCAGGGGAATTACTCAGAGAGATGTTGGATACGATTCAAAGTGCTGCTCTCAAAAGCTGAATTCACTAGAAAATGAATCAACATTTAAGGATGCTAAAGTGGCAAAGAAAGCAAATACTCAAAAAATCTTTCCTGGATGTTCACGCACATTAGACCTTCACATACATACACACACATACACTCACCTAAAGGATTATTAGGAACACCTGTTCAATTTCTCATTAATGCAATTATCTAATCAACCAATCACATGGCAGTTGCTTCAATGCATTTAGGGGTGTGGTCCTGGTCAAGACAATCTCCTGAACTCCAAACTGAATGTCAGAATGGGAAAGAAAGATGATTTAAGCAGTTTTGAGCGTGGCATGGTTGTTGGTGCCAGACAGGCCGGTCTGAGTATTTCACAATCTGCTCAGTTACTGGGATTTTCACGCACAACCATTTCTAGGGTTTACAAAGAATGGTGTGAAAAGGGAAAAACATCCAGTATGCGGCAGTCCTGTGGGCGAAAATGCCTTGTTGATGCTAGAGGTCAGAGGAGAATGGGCCGACTGATTCAAGCTGATAGAAGAGCAACTTTGACTGAAATAACCACTCGTTACAACCGAGGTATGCAGCAAAGCATTTGTGAAGCCACAACACGCACAACCTTGAGGCGGATGGGCTACAACAGCAGCACCGGGTACCACTCATCTCCACTACAAATAGGAAAAAGAGGCTACAATTTGCAAGAGCTCACCAAAATTGGATAGTTGAAGACTGGAAAAATGTTGCCTGGTCTGATGAGTCTCGATATCTGTTGAGACATTCAGATGGTAGAGTCAGAATTTGGCGTAAACAGAATGAGAACATGGATCCATCATGCCTTGTTACCACTGTGCAGGCTGGTGGTGGTGGTGTAATGGTGTGGGGGATGTTTTCTTGGCACACTTTAGGCCCCTTAGTGCCAATTGGGAATCGTTTAAATGCCACGGCCTACCTGAGCATTGTTTCTGACCATGTCCATCCCTTTATGGCCACCATGTACCCATCCTCTGATGGCTACTTCCAGCAGGATAATGCACCGTGTCACAAAGCTCGAATCATTTCAAATTGGTTTCTTGAACATGACAATGAGTTCACTGTACTAAAATGGCCCCCACAGTCACCAGATCTCAACCCAATAGAGCATCTTTGGGATGTGGACGGGAGCTTCGTGCCCTGGATGTGCATCCCACAAATCTCCATCAACTGCAAGATGCTATCCATCAATATGGGCCAACATTTCTAAATGTTGAGTCAATGCAACGTAGGCAGTTCTGAAGGCGAAAGGGGGTCAAACACAGTATTACTATGGTGTTCCTAATAATCCTTTAGGTGAGTGTACATATACACAATAATACTTTATTTTCTTTATTATCTAAACAATTGCGTAAAGGGACTCCAATATTCTTTATACACTTAAGTACATGTGTGTAAGTTTAGTTAAAAGTCTTTGCCAAACAGCACACAACACAAAAGCAATTGGCATTAGTTCCCATTCAATAGGTTTGTGGTGGTCTTGGTGGGATATCATTTAACATGACTTTAAACACTAAAACACAAGGCTGTAGTGGACCACGTTTGGGGTTGTCATGTATGTTTAACATGGTTAAATCAGAATTATTCAAGAATACTCAACATGTTCTCATCTCATTCTGAAAAAGCCTGACAAACACTGGTATTTGACGCGCAAGGTCAAATTCCAACACGTCCGTTTCAATATGTGGTATGTATATGTAGTTTGGTTTGGGTTTAGGCACCAAAACTATTGGTTAGGTTTAGGAAACCTGTCATTTTCTCAAGTGCCACCATGAGGTTAAGTGAAGTGTATCCACAAATATGCGATGGGTCGACACGTTGTGTTGTGACATGATGTTCCCCTCACGATGAATTGTAATCACTTAACTTTTTCCCTAGCACAGCCATGAGATAAAAATTTTAATTTGACCAATACTATGGTTTATGACCAAATACCTGTAAAACATCCCCATCAGCCTCTGCTGAACTTTGTGTTTCGTGCTAACATAAGAACGTTGCGACAGACCCTCTGCTTGGTTCACACTGCTGTTGATTTGCTTTATGTCTTCTGGGCTGCAGACCTAATTGGCACACATGGGCCTGGTGTGCCCCATGCATAAAGCAGTAGCCGGTCCTTGGGCAAATCTCCTCATCTCATATTTTGTTGTTGTGGCTCTTGGTTTCCTTTGTTTTAACAGCACCATCGATGCAGTACATTTTCACTCATCCACTCCCTACACTACTGACTTTGTAGACTCCTCCCATCCATAGGTTTTGGTTGGTTTTGCAAATTTAAATAAATAACTTTGTTATATAGTTTACCCGTGTGTTTCATCAAGCATAGTGCTAGTTCAGGCAGGCAACGAAGTCAAGCTCAGCTCACAATCCCAGCCACATCAGCTGATAGCAGCCTTTTTAAGCCAGCCACATCAGCTGATTCGTCTTTTAGCATTCATGGGCAAATTTCCGCACATGGCACCTGATTTAAGCTGCGGTAGCCTGCTTGCCTGCCCTCGTTGCTTCCTCTACAGCAGCTCATAACTCGCCACCACCCCAGCTCCGCCTTTCAGGCCGTATCTGATAGGGATGCACTAGGGGCGTTTCCAGGCTCTTGAAACATTGGGGGCTTAGCCCAGCCCAGAGATCTTTCATGTTTTCACCTGTTTTCACCCCCACCCCCTGTTGCCGCCTACCCAAAGTATGTCTATAAAGCAACAGTAGATGACTTCCACATAGTAACTCAAACATCTGTCTCATTTTCAGTCCTTCCTCCTGTCCTCCTTCCCTCTCTCTCTTCTGTGATTCACTGCAGGTAACGATGTACCTAGCTAAAAGCTAAACAGTTAAATTACAGACATCTTTCAATTGCCAAGCTAGCGTTAGTGCGATGTGCTTTTATAACATAGAGCATGAGAAACTGTGGACAGAGCAGATCAAATAACATCTTCTAAATGTTATGCTTGTTAAACAGATGTATTGATAAAGTATTGGTATTGTCTCATTAGGTTTTTATTGCACGTACTACGGTAACGAGGATAGCTGTCGTCAACTTGACTACTTTACAGTTATCTTGACTTCATCGTCACCACCGTGGCGTATCTCTGCGCTGGCCGCTGTGTGTGTGTGTGTGTGTGTGCAAGAGGTGACAGAGCAGCAGAGGCTGCAGCCTGATAATAAACAGTACTGTCTTACCGTTTAACACCGGCATGTACCTGCTCTGTTCTGTACAGGGTTTTTTACTGCTACTCTCTGTCTCAGGCTTTTCATGTATGCACAAGGAAGGGCAGGGAGGTGTGCTCCCAGAAAATGGTGCAAATATCAGTTCTTTGATGAAGTTGTACTGTACGGTCCAAGAGCCATACTGAAGTAAGATGGTGAACAAGGTAAACAGTATACCTGCTTAGCACCACCATATTAAGATTGTCATTGTGAGCATGTTAACATGCTCGGAAACACAGCCTCACAGAGCTGCTAGCATGACTGAAGTCTCATTTCTTTATTTCCTGTCTTGTTAACCATCTTGCAAATTGTCAGATTTATCTTGCGATTCCTAAAGGGATCCAAATAGACAGGTTGGGAACCACTGTCGTAATGCACAAGTGCTCATCAGATCATCTATTTGCTCATCAATTTGCCCCATATCAAATTTCAGATAAAGCCTACTGATGCATCTCACCTCTGCAGTAAATTGCAGCTCTAACCACAGGTGACACGTTTGAAAGTGTGAGCTTTATGAAAAGTGTGACGGTGTGATAGAAGAAGAGCAAGACAAATGTAAAGACAGCAGATGTTTTCTCCTAACATCTGTCAAGTCGTTCACAGTCTTCCATTTGTTTGAAGACATGAGGAGATTCTCGCTGCATGCACACACATTATGGATGGATGATCATATGAGACTGAGGTCAGCGACTGTAAAACAGGCTCTTCATCTTGTGTCTGTGGCTGCAATTACTTTGAGATACGCTTTGACACGAAATGCTGAAAAATCAGGGAAATGTTTGCTTGTCCTGGATTATAATCTAAGCTCAGAGTAATCTTTTTTTTTTTATTAATATGCTCAAAGGAAGTCCGGAATATAATTTGCCTGTTGTAATAAATGATATTGCAGGCAAAGATTTGTATAAGGGGAGGAGCGATGGGCTTGGATGAGAAGCAGAGACTGGAGAGTGAACAATTTCAAATGGAGCAGAGAAAAGCAAAGAGTCACTGCACTGCCATGGGTTTCTGTTGTTTCTGTGTAAGTGGAGAGAATGAATCCTTTAATCAAGGTGGTAGCACATCATTAGAGCCGGCGGAGGCATGTACAGAAGTGTCACCCAAGGAGCCTCAAACGCAACAAGATTATGAAGATTTGATATATCTGCTGGGAGGCGAAACACGGTGGCTACATATCGAAAGCCAGGATTAGTTGCCTTTTCATTTCATCTCCTCTGGCCTGGCCTCGACCATGAGGCTAGAGCGCGGGCGGCGGGCTTCTTTGGCACTCACCCTCAACTTTGTGGCGTTTGCTTTTGCCTTATCAGCAGTGACCACTAGCTACTGGTGTGAGGGGACCAGGAAAGTGCCCAAACCCTTCTGCACAGGGCCGCCGATTAAGGCCAAGCAGTGGTTCTGCATCCGCTTCAACAGCACCAACATCAACGACAGCCGGCTGGTCCAGTACATCTTTGAGACCGGAGAGGAGAAGTTTCTTTTGAGGAAGTTCCACACAGGCATATTTTTCTCCTGTGAGCAGGCCGCCGACATGAACGGTAAGCCTGATAACGAGATCCTTCCAGCTAGGTGTTCAAAAAAAGTGATGATGGAGGAAGCAAAATCTTGTTCATCTACTGGTTATAAATAAAAATTATAAAGACTATTTATTGGTTAATACACTTAAAATGTTTTATATACAGTAAAATATCTTTATATATATCGTGTACAAACAAGGTGAGAAAGCCAGTTGATATGTGATAAGTGCTGATATAGGCCACTCACACAGTATTTCATATATGGCTGTAGACCAAATAAGATTCTTTTAAAGACTTGCAGGTACACATGGACTTCATTGAAAAAGACCTATCAAACTGATATAATGGTAAAGCAGACATATAGCTGAGTTTGGTAAAAAAAAAAAAAAGTAGGCAGTGCTGGAAGAGGTTCTCAAATCTTAGGTAAAAATACCACATTATAGAAATTTGACTTCAGTAAAATACAAACGTATTAGCATTAAAATTAAAGTACCAACATAATGTATGTTATTGAAATATAAGTATTGATGCATTCATGTGTAAACATCACTTTAACTCATTCAGTAGATTTGGGGCTAATTTGAAGCACTTAACAAACTGTAGTGCTGCTTAATCTAAAATTATACATCATAATGTGTTTGTTGTTGTATTTTGTATTAATCTGAAGCTGAGAAGGAAATAGTCATTACTTGAACTGGTTTTCCCAACAAATAGAAAAAAAGACTTACATACTTGACTTACATACCAACACAGAAAAAAGGCAATAAAATAGTCAAATATATAGAAACAATAGAATAAATAGGGGGATTATGTGTAGCTTATTTAGGCGAGGATTTAGGGTAAAGTAAGCTAAATAAAGTACAGTTCAAGCCAACTATCCACAATTGTTGTTCCTCATTATAAACATCAGAAAGTTTAGATGCAGTTCCCTCCATGGAGAACGTCTCTAGGAATGTTTGAAGCCACCTTCCCTCTTTCAGTCATTAAGCTGTCGTGCATCCGGTGGTTAAAATGTGTTTGTAGTGTTTGGATGAGGTTCCTTCAACAGTGTAATTCAAAAGGCACACTGCTGGATCACAATGAACAGTAAACCCAATGATCTTTCCCAGTAATTGTGTAACATTTTCCCAGATGGTTTTTACTTTAGTGCAAGTGCATACCAAATGCTAAAAAGTACCTTTATCTTGTTTGCAGTGCGAACAAAGATCCAAGTTGTATACATCCATCCCATGCAATCAAACTGGAGTAAAATATGTTGTGAAGCATTTTCTCAAATCTGATCCTATTCTTCAGTTTGCAAAGATATATCTGTATCTATTTCACAATTCCTTTGAACTGCAGCCAATTTTTTTCCCGATTTTTTGTTCATCATCACTCATCACAATTTCAATGCAATTTTGTCCTTCTGTTGACCATTAATTCTAGTTTGGACATGCTCATAGAAAGATGATTGAGAAAATGTGTTTTCAGGGCCTTTAAGTTTCCCCTGAGCTGACGATGTTTCCTGAAGAAAATCACAAGCTAAAAACCTCCAAAACGTGTATGTAATTTTGAGCTACACGTGACAGATGACTTACATGTATAGTGTGGCAGAGAAACCACACTATACATATGGGCCAGATATCCGCAGGTCCGCACGCACAAGTCCTTTCAGTGAAACACTGTAATCCACAAGGGTTAAATCCAATATGAGTTTTAATATAAATCCGAACTGATGCTAGGGAAAAACTGATCAAGCTCCCATGTTACATTCGTTTATATAGTTTTTTACTCTCCACCTTGTTTTTTGCAAGGCCCACCTTTCCTAAACCTTGACAGTTTTGGCACAATCCTTTTCTTAACCAGTTTGGCTCTGCCTAGAAACAATAGTGTATCTTCCCTGCAACAGTTGCGTCAATTAATTAGATATATTGCTTGCAATCAAATGAGTGTGCTTGATGTGCATGTTGAGAAAGTGGATGTCATCTTGAAAACGCAGACCTTTTGCTACGTTTGTACCTCCTGTTCAGACTAAAACTGTGACCTAAAACGGAGAAGTTTGAAAACGCTACTGAGCACGTTTTCGTTTTAAAACTCCGGGGGAAGCGTTTCAGGTGAAAACAGAGGACCTTTAAAATGATGACGCAGACGTTTGGCTTCCCGATTGGGTCTTATCAGTCATGCAAAACAAAAACACAATGCAACTGACAAAGTTTTAGTTTGGGTATTTTTATTAAAATAGGTAGAAGCCGCCTTGTATGAGCGAGGCAGCAAGCCTCCCTCCACAAAATAGGCTGTAACACATGGCTGATTTCTTTATACATTAAATGCTGATTAATAAAATACTTTATATTGCAATATTGATGTATTTACAACTATGATTAGTAAAAATTAATTAAACAATACAGTATGTCTCACTGTGTATTTTTAACTTTAACTTTACAAGCAGAGCTACTGCGCAATCTCTCTTAGCATTGCATGCAAGCCATCATTTGGTTTTATAAGCTCTGGTAGTAAGACAGAGTAAAATAAGTTTGCATAAGTATTTGCATGCAACTTAGGGACAAAACGTTGAATCTACTGACTTCCACCAATAGATTTTTCTTTCCTAACAGTGGTCCTAATGCTCTGCCATAAATTTGCAATAGTTATAGTAAATAATTTTGTAGGTGTGAATGGATCAAAACTTTGAAGGAGCCTCCTAATTTTTTCCACCAATCATTTCTTCAAGGGAATTTCCTGGGGAAAACATTCAGAAATTACAGACCCATAGTGTCAGTTTATTCTTCAACTATAACTGAAAGTTTACTGTGTTTGTTTCTTGTGATCACAGGATTTAACTGTCGGGACTTCTCAGAGATTGCACCAGAACATGAAAGAGGTTGGTAAAATTATGGAAGTTTAAAATTGTCAAATAAAGTATATATGGAAGCATTACTAAACACAGGTAACGTTATTAAGAAGGACATGTTAGGGCACACTACTATTCACATAACAGTAGTAGAATTTCTGAAAATCTAGTTAAAAATGTGCACTTAATTTGGATGGAAACCAAATGCTCCATGTTGGTAGTGTCAAACATATCTTTATTAATACTAGAATACTTGCACATGACAATTTCCACCTTTGGCTTTGGTTTACACATTCAAATGACGATAGAGTTGCGAGGTGGGAGAAGATATTTAAGGCGCCCCCTTTCGGAAGTAAAACTAATTATAATTCAATAATTTTTTCCTATTAACAATGATATGTGACTTACAGTTGGATCACTTCTACAGCTTGAATCGCATTGAAACTTCCCTGACTGAAAACAACAGCTATAACTGCTACGTTATAGTCCCATAGTGTTTTTTAAGTAAGAAACATCCAATCACTGCACTTTAAATTCTGTTATGTGCTGCGCTAACAGCAGCCGGAGGCTAAAGATAACAGAGAGAACTGGAAACACAATCTCAAGCTTGAATCAATATTAGTTTGTGGGTCAATTTTGATTTATTTGACAACTATGGCGCCCTGTTTGGTTCGTAACCATTCGCCACCACTCTGATTCACACCTCTGACTGCCTTCCACTCCATATTTCTCCCTTCCACTTTATTATTATTTATTATTTATTTCGGAAAGAATATGTACAGTAGTCAACAGCAAGAGACAACTCATTCTTTTATCCTGTTTAATTTGTGATTATGTTGGTCAAATTAAAAGATGATTTTGTTCATCAAGTAAGTTGCAGTTTGTCGTAAAAACAGTACAGTAACATTTAGTTTTATGCAGTGCTTGAAGTGTATCCCGGTACGGCACCTTGACATTTTACTCTTTGGCGTAGCGGGATTTCTCCGCAGCTGCCGGTACTCTCCTCTGCCCTCTCCATATCAGGTTCTCTTGGCGTTACGTGATGCTCACCTGTTCCCGTTCTCGCCTGCCTGCCAAACTCTGTCGGCGGAGAGAGACGAGGGGAGAAGAGAAGCTCGGGTGCCTGTTCAGTGTCACTTGTCGTGAACCGACCAATCACAGCTTGGATGTGGCGGGACATTTAAAAGCATTAATAGATAGGTGTTTACACTGGGGACGCTGGGGACAGGTCAGAATCTGAATGTCTCCGTCACTTTTTGAAAGCTTTTGTTAAAAATGTTCTGAACAACAGCAACAATAAATGTTAAATAACAAATGAAACAATGCACAATAAGAAAACATGCAATGCAATATAGAGGAAACAAATGTTCATTGTCCAAAAGCTGATTACTGCATTAGATTCCAATATATTTTTATATTTTGAATTGTCACCTGCCACCACCTTAATTTTGTTCCCCTTCATATAAATAAAATAATTTCCACCATAAATTGTTGCAGAAAATTTAAGTATTTAATGCTCAAAGTCGTTAATGTTATAATATTTACTAGTTTCACTTAAGGTTGAAGAGGACTGGCACCTATTTTTGTCCACTTGAAGCACTGGTTTTATGTGAAACCTATCTCTCATCTCGCACAATATACATTACCAACATGTTAGCGCTGTAATGCTAAGCTAACATTCACTGCTTGCTTGCTACTAGCTAGGTAACTTAACGATGTTCCACGCACAAATGTATCTGACCTGGTGTGTTTAATCCAACGACTCCTGGTCCTTTCATCACATCATCTACACATGGAAGTAATTTGACTAGTTAGCTTCAGTAACGTTAGCTTCAGTCATTGAGAGAAACAGTTATGACGTCACATATGCGACTTCTGGGTTTGTTGTCTTTCTAATTATGTATTTTCAGTCTTTAAACAGTTTGTCTTTTTAATTGACAAACATCATATGTATAATTCAGGGCACATTTCAAATAGCATCAAAAAATTACTTGTCTCTTGCCGTTGACTTCCGTACATTTTTCTTCTGAAATAAGGTCCCATGGTGGTCCCACTGAAGGGGAGGGACTTAAGGCTCTCTATAGCGATAAGAGTCAGGCCACGGCTCATTAGAGCCTGACTGATGGACAAAGCATGGTTTCTCAGAAATTACGTTACACATGGCTGTAATAAACAAGACGTATAGGTTTCAAACCAGAAACAAAACCAGTCGCATGAACCTGATGGCAATTGAACTAAGAAAAATGGAGTGAGGTCCTCAGAAATGTGTTTCAAGCGAACAAGTTGCTACCAGCCATGTCTCCACATGTTATGGGAATATCTGGTGAAGTTATGCCAAGTTTTGCATGCCTGCCGAGAATTGCATGCACCTCCAAATTATCTTTTAAACGCTCTAAAATCCTTTTTGGGGTTCATCAATGGTGATAAATGATTCGAAGTATATATTTTATTACACTCAGTAGAAGTAGCATTCATTGAGATTCAGCAAAAATATGCGGTGATAACCCCGTTTGATCAGTGTGCAGAGCAAAGTGTCTGAAAAGGACCTTTAAGAGGTGAATGCATAACTCGGCAGAACAGATGATGAAGGCTACATGCCGAGATTTGCATCCACCTCTTTTCTCAGCACAAATGAGCGTTACCAGCTGCGAGATGCATGAAATTCTCGGCAGGCAGGCAGAACTCTGCACAACCGGGCAAGACGCTACGTCAGAAAGTATTCAGAAAAAGTGTTTCCATCACCCATTTAGCGCATGTACTTTTTTTTCGACAAAGGCAAAAACCACTTCAAGCGAGTGTAAAAACTTTTTAGCGAAATTAAGGGTGTTTTTTTTTTATTTTGCCTTTTCCATCAACCTTTTCTAATGCAATACTTCAAAATGCGCATTAAAAAATATTAATGGAAACACGGCTATACATTTTACTAAACAAAACAAACAAAAAAACATTTAAAAATAAAGAACCTACATTTGTACTGTGAGATCTCACCTCTGTAGACTCTGCATTAGCCCAGCAGCTGCTGCCCTGATTTCATAAATCTGTCCAGTCGCAGACGATCAGATTCAGATCTCCAGACGTAAAAGACCTGTTGTGCCCACATGCGTGTCTGCCTTTAGACAAGTGGGATTATTCATCAGGGACAGGGTATTATGAGGACAACACAGCTCAATTCTGTCTTCCTCCCTCCCGTCCTTTGTTTTCCAGGGGTCCTGTGGTTGTGTATAGTGGCTGAGAGTCTGTACCTCACCCTGCTCTTTACGGGCGGGGCTCTGATGACCCTGGAGCAGTGTCCCTGCTTCAGTATCATGAACAAACTGAAGCTCAGTGCCTTCGCCGCCTTGTGCACTGCCCTGTCAGGTAACCCAGCTGCTGTTTTCTTTTTATCTATCACTGTGACATCAAACAGACAAGTTTACAGCATCTTTCCGGTTGAGGTGAGTGGCTGACCGAGAGTTTCCCTGGTTGAGTTATTCTGAATCAAAGTGAAAAGGACAGGAGTCATCAAATAACTTGTTGGCCCACTTAACGTCCATATGTAAACTAGCCATAGATATCTAATGGTCCCTTTCCAGTGCCAGAAGGTCCCAAAGAAAAGCTCAGGGATGAAGCAGCTCTATAACAGAGGTGGTTAGTTTAACTGATGTATATTTTCCAAAACAACCAGTTAGTCTTTTCTCTGGTAGAATAAAAAAATACTACTTGAAAACACTTCAAATTAAGCATAAATCCGACATTTGTGTCACCTGTCTGCATTTGTTTTGGAGTGTGAAAGGACCTCACTTTTGCCCTTTGTGGCTGTTGGGGGAAGAACAGTGGGGGGTGGTTTATCCTCCAGCCTCAGGGGGCAGTATTGAGCCCGTTACAGTTTGGATGTGTTGGGCTCATTGAGGCAAAGAAGACACCGCACCAGAAAACTGGTGACACAAAAGTCATAAATTCAAACTAAAGTCTTTATAATAGACTTGCCAGCAAAATAATTCTTCAGTGGTTAATTATTACAGTATACTTTATTGATTATCAATGCTGCCACTCAATACAGTATGTGATTGTTGTGTAGTGTAAATATGAATAAAGACAACCCTCTTTAAAGTAATCCTTAAGATATAGATATTATCTATGATATCTTTTCAATGTTTTTACATTTTGTAATTACCTCTCTATCTCTATATGGTTGGAAGACATCATTAGCGGTGGAGTCCGCCATTTAAACGTGGTTGAGGGGAACAATGTGGCGGTTATCTATCGGTATTGTTTGTGATTTTATCTCATTGATACCCGCCTCACTGTTTCCTGTTCATCAGTGCTGTATTCAGCTACTGCTAACACAAACCCAACAAAACACACGGAGGCTTTTATTGTAAAGGAGTGACAGGAAATGCTATTAGATGTGATGCAATTTTTTTAAAAGGGGGTAAGGGTGGGATAACAAAAATACTATTCAAAAGAAAAATAAATAAATACTAAGCCAAAATGATAATATTAATTTAACTAAGAATTTGTTTTCAAATGCATCACAGAGAAAATGTTATTATTATCGTGGCACATTCAAGCCTCCGTACGTTACTATAGAAGATTTGCTATTTATCTAATTTATACAAACTGCAATATGCTTCAGCTTCACCCACTGACAGTCAGCTAAGTCACTGAACTTATTTATGCATTTCAGCCTCTGAAAGGTCATTTCTGAGCGTTACTCTGAACGATGCCCGCTGGGATCACTCAACCAAATCCAGTCTGACTAAACCAATCAATCGGGTGAAACCACAGCGGGACAGCTTGTCACATAAAGTCCGTTTAAACTGTGATTCCTGCCACAAATCTGGATTAATTCCTTGGGTTTCCTGTTTTTGGAACAATGTCTGTATTCACAAAAACCTTTAGTTATACTTATTCAACTGATATTTGTGGGTAATAATCACAATACAAAATGTTGTGCATAAACTTTTACATGTAACAGAGTATTTTTACTGCTACTTAAATTAAAGATCCTAATATTTCTTTCATAGCTGTGTTTATGAATGTACAGTATTTGTCAACTATCATTACTTGAAGACATATTTTATGTTATTGTTAAAAAGTCTCTGCACACCTGAATATGTGATAGGTGTCTCACTTACTGCTGCAATATTTATTAATTTATGACATTTCAGTCTGTTTTACCTTCATCAGGTATATAGGAAAGTATCACAACAGTTCCATATACATACATAAATAGACAGCGTTAATTGTATATCTCCACTGATGGTTGAGTTAGTTATAGCTGCACTCATATGTGCTTAAACTACATTATAGTGTGTTATACCATTTATAAAATTTATATACTACTTTTTACATGCTGAAAAGGGGGTGTTTAGTAAAGTGTATATGTATAATAAACATTAAAATGAATTTTATGCGAGTAAGACAGGGAGCAGGGCAGCAGGTCAGGCTGTCTGATGGAGGTGAGGCAGCACCAGAGAGCGTTCAGAGCAGCTAACTGTACTGCGTCCACTCACTTCCTCTGAGGATTTGCTGGTTTGTGGACTAATCGGATTGGAGCTGGGGCAGCGGTTTAGGGCCGTGGCAAGACCTGCCCAGAGGAGCTCCCCCATCCCATGACTCCCATCCCCCTCTGCTGTTACGAGTTAATCCCAAGAAAAGCAGCTGTGGAGAGGCAGAGCACTGGATGAGAAAGGGCCAGTTCACCTCACCCAGAGTCTGTCTGAATATCACACATCCCAGTTTTTGCTCAGGGACTGTATAAAAGTAAAAGCACGCTTCAGCTTCAACATCGTGTCCTCAATACAGTTATACTGTCAGCAAATATGTGTTTCTTAAAGGATAAAATTAGCCCCATGTTTGAAAATACCTATGGTAATTATTGTTAATACAGTATCTCACAAAAGTGAGTACAACCCTCACATTTTTGTAAATATTTGATTATATCCTTTCATGTGACAACACTGAAGAAATGACACTTTGCTACAATGTAAAGTAGTGAGTGTACAGCTTGTATAACAGTGTAAATTTGCTGTTCCCTCAAAATAACACTTCCCGCAGCCTTTAATGTCTAAATCGCTGGCAACAAAAGTGAGTAAACCCTTAAGTGAAAATGTCCAAATTGGGCCCAATTAGCCATTTTCCATCCCCTGTGTCATGTGACGCGTTAGTGTTAAAAGGTCTCAGGTGTGAATGGGGAGCAGGTGTGTTAACTTTGATGTTATCGCTCTCACACTCCCTCATACTGGTTACTGGAAGTTCAACATGGCACCTCATGGTGCCATCTCTCTGATTCTGTTCTGCACACCATGCAGCGTTGTGTTTTATTACAAATGCAAGATTGCTCACAAATCACTGCAGATCATACAAAATGGTGGACAGGCCATCATAAGCTACGTGGCGACAGTTACATTTGTGGATTTTTACCTATCAGGCACTCATGAAAATTCTTCTTAGCTTCAGCCTTCTTAGCTTTGCAGGTAGTAGTCATCGTACCCGATCCAGAAGGCTACTGCTTTTAAGTTCCCAGGGTGATTTAATTGTTGGGAAAGACTGCCTTCTCATGCAATGCCCCGTCTACTTGGAACTCTTTTCAGAGGACCCTCCAGTTGGAGTTGCTCTTGTGTGTAGGAACAACATTGCTGCTGTGCCTTCTGTGCTGTCTGTTGCACATGTGGTCACACCCCATCGTCACAAATGGGTGTGAACAGGTGTGCTGAGTATGGAAATCCACCAACAGGGAGTGTAGGCAGGATATCAATCATAACGGTTGTATCTCTCTCAGGTGATGATCAAACATCATCAGATAGGGGAGATTCTGTAATAAACTTTAATTTCCTCTTTTCACTACTTTCAAGTGTTAGCAGAGACTGTATGGCACAATTTCCACTTGGATTCAGCCAAGGGCGTCCAAATGCTCCAATTTATGGTAGAAATGTCTGTTTTTATATGAGGGAAAACTTGCATGTTTTCTTATTGTGCAAATAAACCTTTTCTTAAAGCATTTTCATTTGTTAGTTAATATTTCTTGGTGCAAGCTATTTTTTAGAACATTTTTAACAAACGCTTTCAAAGAGTGATGGGGATAAAATCAGCCATTTCAAAATGTGGTGCATCCAGCGTCCCCAGTGTAAATGACACCTATGGATTCAGCCCCAAAAAGTCATGTGAAATATGTTTTTTTATTAGTCTCAGTGCTGTTGGTACATGTGGGGTTTTGTTTACTTGCAGTTGAGAGTCCAAGATTCAATTCGGCGTAAGAAACGTGCCATTTTGGCAGGTTGCTGCAAGCAGGTTTATTTGCCTGGTTGTAGTTGCTCTTTAAATTGGCACTTTCAGAATCATTTTAGAAATGGGCATGTTATGAATTCAAGCGGAAGCTGAATGAATGAGAGTTTGTTGAACAACAGATTAAGTGTATAATTAACATACTATACTGTATTTGATTTAGCTCTTTATAAACCATTGTAGAGATTAAAATTTCTTCCATCCACACAATATTAAAGTAAGTAATTTGTGCAAGTGGATTAAATTAGGTTTTCAGAGGAACATATTACTGCACAACACACTGATATGCTCTTGTTCGCAGGCCTTTGTGGGATGGTGGCCCACATGATGTTTACCACCATATTCCAGCTGGCTGTGGCTATGGGCCCAGAAGACTGGAGGCCCAAGACGTGGGACTACAGCTGGTCTTACGCGTAAGCACTTTTTACATCGGCTGAAAAATGTGTCGTCCTAGCTGGTTATTTTCAAGTTGAACTGTGTTATTGTAAAGGGCACAATGAATTGGATAAATTTACACACTCAGAATTTGGACACTTGTAAAAATAAAATGGCAGTAACATGTTACGCAGCAGTGTGACTTTAGTCTAACACTGTTTTCAAACCTCTCCTCAGCTTAGCATGGGGCTCTTTTGGCACCTGCATGGGCTCCGCGGTGACGGCGCTCAACAGGTACACAAAGACCATCATAGAGTTTAAATACAAGCGGCGGAACATCGAGAAGAGCCTGATGATTAAGCAGAAGATGATAGAGCTGGACTTCCCTGAGCAGATGTGGGACATGTACCTGACCGCTGTTCCCTCTGACGCAGAGGCACAGCTACAGCTGCCGGTTAACGGCCACAAACCATCCACAGGAACAACATACGTGGTTGAAATGGACAATGTACCAGAACAACAAGGAGAGGAGTATTGCTAAAATGGAGTCACTATCCTTGTCCTTGTGCCCCACTGGAACAGTTTTTGGGGCTGATTTCCTGGTCCCAGATTGACTCTTGTTCCTGGATTAAAATTTTTAACACCAGAGAATATTTGTTTGTTTTGTCGCCACACACCAAATGTGTGTCTAGGATGCCAGAGGCCAGATTCTTTTTCCGGAAATAAGATAACATGGTCGGCTTTGACACAACATGCATTTCATCAAATCTTTCCATGCGATATTAGGAAGGGAAGAGGGGCGCAATTTCAACATCTTCACACTAATCTGTGACAAGCTGCAGGATGTGCAGGCTGCTGCTGCCGCACAGATGCTTTATGTCTGTTTCAACTCTTTGAGGAATTTTTTAAATCTCAAGCAGCATCAAATTTTTAATAAAACTTTTACTGTCTGGGATGAAGCTCGGTCACCTACTCAATAAGACCACAAAGACACAAAACAATAAAAGATGCAGAAATACTGAAAATACGCACAAAATTACAACAAACACACAAAACGATCACAAAAACTCAAAGCAATCAAAAGACACAAAACAACTACAAAGACACATAAAATGGCTACAAAGTCACTAAATGACCACAAAGACACAAACAACTACAAATACACACAAAATGACCATAAAGACATACAAAATAAAAGATGCAAAGAGACCACAAAGATGCACATAAAGACACATAAAATGACTATAAAGACACATCACACCACATAAAAACACAAAGCAACCACAAACACACCTGACTACCTGGGGGTCATGCTTCTGTTTGTATGAGGGGTCGTTGTCTCATAATCTGTCCATGTATACTATAAGCCATGAGAGTAGAGATTATGCTTGTAAACAAAAAGTTTATCTTATATGTCTCCAGCCAAAACTTAAAATCGTGACTGTTATTCAGGAACAGATTGGGAGTGCTGGTTTCTCTCAGCTGTGTCTATGCTCGGTCCATCATACAGCTAGTGTGGAGCTGAGATGATCAGCTGGCGCTTGTTGTTATGTTGACGATCTCTACTTGGCACGCAAATGTACAGCATGTGCATATGCAAGGACGTCTGCAAATATGCTTGAGAAAAGGTGTTAAAAAGCTTTTTTTTTTTTCACACTTCTGATGGTGCACACTTGAATGGTATGGTAACAAAATGCCTGCATGTTTTGGATCTTTGAAAATCCACCAGCAGCACTGCCCATATTTTAATTAGGTCACTGATTGTTTAAAAACAATCTTTGTATTCTATTTCAAAACAGGAATTGGCTTTGTAGTCTTGTCACTTCTAATTTGTCTGGGGCTGATGCTTTTTGATGGGTTCTTATTGGTGTAATGGATGTAGAACATTTTCTAATTTGAGTTATAAATCAAACATTGACAGTAACAGACCAAAATAGGAGTGAAGGGAAATGTAATGAAGCAAGGCTGACATCTATTGGGAAAAAAGTGATCAGCTGGCCGGGATATTTTTGTATTTCACTCACAACGCAGAAATCATCTCTGTATCTTTTGATAATTCATGTCGTTGAAGATGTAAAATAAAGTATGATTATGTTTTGAAATGAATTCAAATTCAATTAAAACCTTGATTATTGTTTGGCTCAGAGCAGTCACTTCTCCTCCAGTAGTCACTGATTTCTTATCATTTGTTCTTCCTGATGGCACCATTAAACTCTCTCCCCTACAGACGACCTGATGCTGTGTTGTGGTTGAACCCGGGAGTTATTTCTGCTGCTGTGGTGGCAGGAAGTAATCTCATTAGGTGGCGAGAATCCAAGATATACTGTGCTCGCCTAACATTTCATCTTCGATTGTAGGCACACGGGGAGGTCGCAGCTAAAGGAAAATTACAGTTTCTTATGAAACGGGTGTTGGCACATTATCTTGGCACAAGCTTACAACAGAGAGCAACTACACGTAAGGTCTTTGACTGTTTAATCATGTTATTATATTTCTATTAATATAATAATATAATAGAACATTTAAGTTACAACCCAAACTGCTGGTTCAAATTATCTATTAGATCTTACAGAGCTGCCTCCTGGTTCCAACTTAATCTATCATACATGCATTTTTAGCAGCGTGGCTCTACAGATGAGCTGTTGGTGGGTCGGTCCACCACTTCGGTCACGAATGGAATATCAGAACTATAAGATGGATTGTTGTGAAGTATTGTACAGACATTGATATTCCCCTCAGGATGAATTATAACAACTTTCAACACGTAATTTTTCCTCTATTGCCATAATCGGGTCAAAAGCAAAATGTCTGACCAAATACCTGCAAAACTAATGACATTCCCATCAACCACAGCTATACTTTGTGTTTATTACTACACTGAACAAAATTATAAACGCAACACTTTTGTTTTTGCCCCCATTCATCATGAACTGAACTCAAAGATTTAAGTCTTTCTCTACGTACACAAAAGGCCTATTTCTCTCAAATATTGTTCACAAATCTGTCAAAATCTGTGTTAGTGAGCACTTCTCCTTTGCTGAGATAATCCATCCACCTCACAGGTGTGGTATCTCATGATGCTGATCAGACAGCATGGGTATTGCACAGGTGTGCTTTAGGCTGGCCACAATAAAAGGCCACTCGAAAATGTGCAGTTCCATCACACAGCACAACGCCACAGATGTTGCAAGTTTTGAGGGAGCGTGCAGTTGGCATGCTGACTGCAGGAATGTCCACCAGAGCTGTTGCCCATGAATTGAATGTTCATTTCTCTACCATAAGCCGTCTCCAAAGGTGTTTCAGAGAATTTCGCAGTACATCCAACCGGCCTCACAACCGCAGACCACGTGTAACCACACCAGCCCAGGACCTCCACATCCAGCATCTTCACCTCCAAGATCGTCTGAGACCAGCCACCCAGACAGCTGCTGCAACAATCGGTGTGCCAAACCAAAGGATTTCTGCACAAACTGACAGGAACCATCTCAGGGAAGCTCATCTACATGCTAGTCGCCCTCAACGTGGGTTTCGACCTGACTGCAACTTCGCACAGCCATTGAAGAGGAGTGGACCACAATCAACAACCTGATCAACTCTATGCGAAGGAGATGTGTTGAACTGCGTGAGGCAAATGTTGGTCACACGAGATACTGACTGGTTTCCAGACTCCCCCAATACAGTGAAACTGCACATTTTCGAGTGTCCTTTTATTGTGGCTGGCCTAAGGCACGCCTGTGTAATACCCATGCTGTCTGATCAGCATCTTGATATGCCACACCTGTGAAGTGGATAGATTATCTCAAAGCAGAAGTGCTCACTAACACATATTTTTTTGACAGATTTGTGAACAATATTTGAGAGAAATAGGCTTTTTGTGTACATCACACAGCTTTTCATACTTTCACATTTGAGGAACCACTTTTTAAAGATGTACTTACACAACATGGTGTTAGAAGCCCATTAAAGAGGTTTAAAAGAAATAACAACACTTAAGACTTAATTGCATCAGCACCTTTAGGCTCATGATGTGTCTGCCAGCTATCAAATGTTCTCCGCCAAGGTTAGATTTCCAACTTAACCCCAAGTCTGTAGAGGACTTAGAGAATCACTCTGTAATGCCCTGAAAAACTACAGGTGTGACTATCAGCACTTACTTCAGATATAATGAAGCCCTTTGAGAGGCCGCAGCACTTAATGACTCCCCAGACACCTCACATTTACATACCAGGCCCACGCAGACATGGACAAGGCCATCATTTACCGGCTCTGTCCGCTATGGAGGCCAGGACACATGACGGCCTAATGACACACTCCTTATCAGTGGTTACAAAGTTTCATTGGTGGATGTGCTGCACTGCGAATCAAACTCAAAGGCACATATCTTATGTACTGCACAATCGCCACCCCATTCCTGTAGAAACAAATGACAGGTAGCTACTTTAGAAAATCCTGGAGGATTCTTCTTTGAACATTCACACAGTAAAGTGAAGAAAATATCTTAATTTAATTGTCAACAGATCAAGAAAAGGTTTTACCCTGGCTGAATATTACAGTCACTAACTTTATTGGGGAAAGCGGGGTGAGTTGAGCCAGAGACATGACAGTAATGTCTCCAACTAAAATATGTACTTATATTTTAAGATGTGGTGCATCCCTGGGAATAATCACTTTGGATCTAAAATAAACTGTTTTTTCAATATGACTTTCCAGAAAAAAATTGTCTCTTGGCTTAAGGGAGAGAATAACTTGAGCCACATGGGGGTGAGGGACATCAATGTCATTTCGTCGTGCCTACTCAAAATGTCAATTCACATTTCATTGCACTTAGATCGTGAAACATTGAAGCTAGATTTTTGATATGTCTCCTAGTTCTTTCATATCAATAAATCACCTTAAAGTCATCCTTTTGATCGTTATGTCCCATCCGACATACCTCTTCCACTACTCAGTCCAAATCCACAAGAGGAGTTAAAGCCTTGTGTATCTTACATTTATAGAAGCATGGCATGATGGTTTCAGGTTGAGAATTTTTTTAAAAATCACATTGAACGGCAAAAAAAACAATGACCAATTTTGTCTATCGTTGCCGAGAAACAAGTGGTGGCTCAACTTCCCCACAGGCTCAAATCAACTCGCTCTCACCTTTTATGTTTTTTTTAGTGTGCAGACATCAATATCCAAACATTATGCCTTACCACATATTATTATATATTTTAATATGTTGTTCCAGCACTAAATAATTTATAAATATTAATACTTTAAGAGTAAATAGACTGATTACAGACTCAAAATTTTACAACTTGATATAAAAAGAAACAAGGATCAATGTAGGATAAAATATATAAATAAAATCAATATTATGTAGCAAGTTCATCTTCAAACGCTGGATTTTTTTAGGAGATTTTAAGTAACTTTACTTGTATATACCAGGCATTAAATTTATGGCAATTAAAAAATAATGTGAATCATGTTGCGTCTACCTTTAACGGGTTTGATCAGGCATTTCTATAAAAGCCAGAGTAAAGCATTATTCAAAAACTTGACTTTTAGATGCTGCAGATTACACAGATCAAGTAGCTTTACGTCCTCCATTTGGTAGAACTGCACATGAGGTTGTAGTTGATTTGAGGTAGCATCATGGGGCTGCACTGGACCAACAGGCTACAGTCAAGTGATGACAAGGTCTTTATAATGCTGTAGTGGGTGGTCCTCAATGTATTTCTTTATATACCAACAGGAGACATGAGCCTTGAGGTTTTCCTCAACAAGAAAGTCCATGGCAGCCTGTAATAAGAACAATAAATTCATAAAAACATCTATTATATGACAGACTGATGCCTGAGAAGCTTAACTCTTACCTGTGACAGCAGTGCAGCAACACCTTGGCCCCTAAATGTGTCCGGTACATACGTTGACATTAGATCCACCTCCTTCTCGCCGGTGAATCTGTAGTGCAGCACCGCACAATCATGGGCCCCTGTGGACAAAGGACACGAAAGACTTTGCATCAAATTTTAAATTACTGTCATCCCAAAGGAGAGTATGACACACAGTGGTGGTTTACAGATGTGAAGAGCCAGCTGGAGGCATTAGGCATAATGCAGCTGCTTATGGGAATCACAGACAACAAGGGGACCCCAAAATAAACAAATTAAATATGTAAATTTAACTGTTTACTTTGAGTTATTCAATTTATTGAATAAAAACTAGGGTATTTGTGTTATATTTGTAGAAATTCTCTTAACATCCCGACAGCAATCAATAAATCAAGTTCTCTGACACATAAATAAATAAAATCTGGTATATGTGGCTGTTGCAGGACTAATAACCACAGCGGGGGCCAACCTACCTGCCTACCTAAACTCACTGTGCATGAAAAGGTAATTTTGGGGGGAGTGGCTTTGGAGGGAGGACTGAAAGGAGGGTTGGGATTTTTTCAGTTCTACATACTTTAAGAATCTAGCTGTCTCCTGCTAGTGTAACCAACCCCAGCTTTAATTAATCTGTATGACGCCCAAAAAAAGCCTTTTACCAGCCCTAGATTATCCATTTATTTGAGATTATGAACACCAAACTCCCACCAAAAATACCCATATTTAGGTAACAACCACTTGTCTGGTTACTGCGGCCCAATAGCCAAAAAATTTACTAAAATGTTTTATTTTTGCTGATAATATGATTGCAGAACTGTTGGGAGGCTAAATACAAATCGTATAACGTATAAGTCATTCATATCATATGCAAAATTTGCCGTCGGGTAAAGGACCATTAAATTACTAGATTTATAAATGGAGTTCTGCTCCGCATTCTCTAGCGACATCCAGCAGGCCGCGAGTGGACCCCGGGCTCGCATACAGGATCTTCCCCGGCACCGGAGCGTCAGCCCCGGTTCTCTCTGCTTACCAGCACCGCTGCCAGGATTAACGGTGAAGCGCTGGTTCTGTCGATCATGTTTCACCATTAAACTGAAGCCGGAGCTCAGCGCACTGAAGGCGGCCGGATAACCATTCACTCGGAGAGTTAACGCGGTGACTCTGGAAAACATTTTAAAGCCTATTTATACATGCAAAGTCCAAGCAATACTGAGCAGTGTGTAGTAGTAATTGTAAAGACCGTCCACTAAGAGGCGCCACATGCACACAGGAGAATAATTAACTTTTTTATGACCTTTAATGACCTCTACAGTACAGGTATACTTGGGTTTAAATTACAATTAATTATAAGTCACTGTGAAGGAAATGTTCATGTGTAATTTGATATTAATTATAGAGAAAATATTCAGTCATTATCCCTGTAAAAATGTATTCCAGTTAACTGCAAAGAGTCCATCCATCCAAAGGCCGGAGCAACCAGGGTTTGAACCCACGACCTTCTCGCCACAGCGGTCTCCAGGACCACCGTGCCGGCTCACCTAGAGTCTTTAAATGTAAAATGTCTACAGGCAAGCATACATTTAAACATTTAAATAATACATGAATATTTACTTTGCTTTAAAATATTATTATATACACACTATGCTAATTAATGGCAAATTTCAGCACATGTGGTCCTGGTGCCAGCAATAAACTGTTATTTTAACCAAACATAAAAAATATGTAATAAAAACAAATGATAAAACATATATTTTTTTAATACTTTACATGACTAGAGCTTAGACATAGATACTTTTATTTGTAGTCTACATGTTATCAACTCCACAAATACAAGAACGTAAACAAACCTTTCTTGACATTATTGACTGTTTTTAAGTAAATTGTGCAATCTGGGGATAATTTTATGTATGTTAACCTGTAAAATAAACAAAAATGATTCTTTCTGATGGATAAACAATGAAAAATAAACATAAATATACATATGAGTTGTCCTTTGGATGTTAACACAACAGCATGTTCTTCTTAGGCGAAATGCTCTGTACACATTTTAACACCATATTCCTGTCAATACATTTAAGATCAACACTCAAATGGTTTAAATGCAATCTGTGGGTTCACATTGATCCACCCAAACAACAGATTATCAGTATTAGTTTTAGATTGCCTGCAACATTTACACTGATCTGTTTCACCTTCACCACGTCATAAATATCCTCCAGTTATTACGTCGACGGCTGCAGCGCTACACTTTGTCAGAGGCTGCTGCAGTGTTGTTCACTCCTGCAGCCATCACAGAAAAGAACACATTAGGGAAGAAGGATCTGGTGTAGATGGCCACCTTGGGGAGCGAGGGAGCAATCACCACCTCTTTCCTCTTGCTGTTTAAAGTCTTCACGATCTCAGCAGCTGCCTCATCTGGAGAAACGCCAAAGGGTTTCCTAGTGTACAGCACTGCAAAGAGCAAGAGAGAGAGAGAGGTGAGAATACAGAGAGTAAATATGGCAAATAATATGTTTTTTACTTCTTTAAGTTCTAAAAACTCAGCCTAACTACTCTTGACCTTAACCAAAGTTAAAATTTTATATCTTGATTTGGAATTTAACTAAGTACATTTGCTTAAGTACAAGTGCGAGTTTGAGGTACTTTATTTTATACTTAACTGCATTTCGGTGGCAAATATTGTTCTTTTTACTCCACTACATTTGTTTAACAGCTGCAGTGACTTTGTAGATCAAGATGTTTATACATAAAACATGTGATCAGATTATAAAATATGCAGTTATATAGATTAAAGTACCCAACAGTACATAAAGTTGTTCAAATTTACTCTACCTTGACAACATTAAAATGCTTCTTATTCTAACACTGTAAAACCCAATAATATGGGTATGGGTATGAATGCAGGACTACTTTTTCCATTGTTGTATTACTACTCTTACCTAATAAATAAAATTTCAATTTATTAGTGGATCACCCCTTAAGATGCAGCATCTTGTTTTTTTAAGTAAAAAAGATCTCCAATACTTTGTCCCATGTTTGTACCGCAATCCAACAAACAAAGATAAAATGCAAAGAAATCGACATAATATTTATAACTGAGCCTAAAGGTTGGGTATCAGGAGTCGAATTCAGCCCTTTCCATTACAGTTTGTATTAATCAGTTAATTAAATGACCAGAAGGAAATTTGCACTCAGTAAGCCTACGGCTTCTGGGGCCCCTGGTGGTCGGGTCAGAATCCAGGCACAATGAAAAACACTGGCGCTACTGACAGCATGAAAAATTTGCCTTTGTGGTGGTTTAGAAAAAGGTCACAAATAATTCATCCTCTGGGCCAAAAATATCCACAGGATGGAAATAAAATCTGCCTGTTAACATTTCAAAGAAGTGCTGGTGATGTGAAAATAGGTCACGATGATCAATCTGAATCCTCCTCTCGGGACCATGAATACACAGTCCACATCATCAGGGCAGTCCGAGCTGCAGTTGCTTGAACTTTTTCCTGGTTTCCTCTGATTGTACTCACGTGACCAGATGGACCTGGAGGACGCTGCCTCTGTGTTGTCAGACGCCGAGTGACTGATGAAGGTGTGGTTGATGGTGCTGACGGAGATGCCGTACTCCTCCACTTCAGCTCTCAGGCAGTCAAAAAAAGCCTGAACTGCGTGTTTAGAGGCTGCATCTGGAAAAACACGCAAAGTGAAAACACCTTAATGACCCTCCACTCTTGATAGGTGTCTACAGCTATCTACACGCATCTACAAAGCATCGGTATAAATACTTTCAACACATAAGATCAGCACTGAAAACATTATTAGCCTCTACCAACCTCCAATGGGGAGTTTTGCTGTTTGCTTGTTTTTGTTTTCTTTGCCTATCATGTACATTACAGTTATTGTTTTTATTATATAAATATCCTATATATTTGTCTTTAGTGTATAAAATGTTTTGTATCATTGAAATTTCTTGTTTCGTGTCTAAACAAATGGAATGCTAACATGCTCACAATAACAATATGCTGATGTGAAGCAGGTATGTTTAGCATATTCACTATCTTAGTTTAGCATGTTAACATGCTTACATAACGCAATAAACACAATATATCCATTCATTGCTTTGCAAATGATGTACAAATCTATATGCCTGTAAAGTCAGTCCCTGCTTAACTGTCTCTGTCTCTGAAAGGAAGACTGAGGTTGTTGGGGATTTAAGTTCTTGTGTAGATGCTCTTGGTACTTTAGGAACGTATAGTCGTCCATTTACCAAGAATCTAGGTGTGATCTTCGACAGTGCTTTTAAATTTGAAAAACAGATTAGTTCTGTTTCAGCTGAGACTGTTGGCTAAAGTCAAGCCCTACCTGCCATGCAAAGACTTTGAAAGAGTAATCTATGCATTTATATCGTCTCGACTAGACTACTGTAATTCTTTTTATGTTGCAGTGGATCAGTAATCTCTGCATCGGTTAGTCCCGAATGCAGCAGCTCGACTTCTAACTGGAACTAAAAAGCGTGAGCACATTACCCCTGTTTTAGTCTCGCTCTACTGGCTTCCTATCCGCTTTGGGATTGATTTTAAGATCTGTCTTTAAAATTGTAATTTTAAATGAGTTGTCACCTTCTTATTTATCAGACCTTTTACAGCCTTTTCAGTAGCTGCTCCTAATCTTTGGAACACTTTACCTGTTGAAATAAGAATTGCTCGAACTGCTGACGCTTTCAGATCCTTGCTAAAGACCTATCTCTATTCATAGGCCTTCAAACAGAGTTGATATGTCATTGTTATTATATATATAAAATATATTACTGTTATTGTCGTGTATATTTGTTATGTGTTCTGAACCTGGAAAGCACTTTGGTCAGCTGGGTTGTTTTTAAATGTGCTATATAAATAAGAAAAAAAGAAAGTTCTGCTGAGGCTGATGGATTTTGCAGGTATTTGGTCATAAACCAAAATATTGGACACATTTTAACCTGATGACAGCGCTAGATGAAAAGCCAAACTGATTACAGTTCCTCCTGAGGGGGGACCTGTGTACCAAATTTCATAACAATCCATGCACTAGTTGTTGAGACATTTCACTCCAAACCCCAAATCTGAACTTCATAGTGGGGCTAGAAGAAAAGTCAGGGGATCCCCAAAGCCAGAGGAACATGCTGCTACTGTGGCTAAAAATGTGGTCTTAGCAGTAAACAGCTACCAGGCCATTTGTCTCGTTTACTTAAAGGGTTTAATGTGCAGTAAATATACTTAAATTTCAGACTTAATTAGAGATTGATAGACTGATGTTAATACATGTTTTATGCAGGAGCAGCTGAAATAAGAGTTAAAAAATATCCCTTCATGAGCCCCCGAACTCACATGCACTGCGAAAAGGCACAGCTATCTTCCCTTGGATGCTGCTGACGAGGAGCAGGTGGCCGGTTCTCCTGGAGATCATGGAGGGCAGCAAGCCTGAAACAGAAATGTTCAACAAACTGCAGAGCAAGAACAAGCAAGCAACAGAAGAAATGTGACAACACTTAATCACATTTCCGCAGACTGGAATTTAATTCAGTACACTTTCATCGTCTACCTTTGGCCAGCGTGGCCGGTCCAAAGTAGTTGTTGTCCATTAGTAGCTTGTCCATCTCCAGAGACAGGCTCTGTGCGGGTGCTTTAACCTTCATGCTGCTGTTGAGGATGAGAATATCCAGGCAGCCGTAACACTCCAGGATCTCTTCGATCGCCTCAGGCATGCTGTCCATATCTCCAAAATCCAGCAGCACCAGCTTGGAGGGAAACGTCTGAGCAGGAGAAACAGTGATGACAAGCAGGTCAGTGGTGGTGGAAAGTTTGGAAGTACTTGAGTACATCCATTTTATGGTACTTTGTTCTTTTTCTCCATTACATTTCTTTGTCATAATCAAGTTTAACATTTAAAATATGATACACACTTTTAAGTTTCGAGCACCATCAGACTGGAATGATTTGCCAAACTCACTATTTTCATGACTTTAACTTTGTTTATTTTATTTTATTTTATTTGTGTAGATGACACTTGTAACAGTGATGTAGTGTGTGTGGTTTGGGATTGTGTGATAGTCTTTGTGTGTATGTTGATTGTTTTGTGTCGATTATATAATTTATTATCATTACTATTATTTATGTATTTATTTTTAGTTTCTTGACTGTTAATTTACATGTTTTTTGTGTCTGAACACCAACTTGAAAGTGAGATGTTGCATCTGAAGAGGTTTATCCCTTAAATTAAACTACACAAATATAAACTTATAACATACTCGGTAAGGCAAATTCCTTTGTTTTTGTTGTTCACTGAAGACATTTGGGTTTAAGATCAAAAGATGAGACAAGAGTTCAGAATTTCATCTCTCATTTCGTGGTATTCACATCTAGATGTGTTAAACAACTCAGGACATACCACCCTTTGTTTGAACCCACCCATTTTTTCAAGTGAGCAAAACTATTGGAACATGTGACTGACAGATGTTTCTTGTTGCCCAGGTGTTGCCTTTTAGGTTGATTGTCCAAACATTAAATAGCTCTGCATGACTAGTCTAAGTTTTCATCAAACCTATAAAGACTGCATTTCCTGTTAAAGAGGATAAACCAACATGAAGACCAGAGAGCTGTCTATGGGAGAAAAGCAAGCCACTGTCAAGCTGAGAAAAGAAGGAAAATCAACCAGAGCCATTGGACAAACATTGGGCATAGCAAGCACAACTATTTGGAACGTCCTGAAAAAGAAAGAAACTACTGGTGTACTGAGCAACAGACGTCCAACAGGTCGGCCAAGGAAAACAACAGTAGTTGATGACAGAAATATGGTGAGAGCTGTGAAGAAAACATCAGTAAGTGACATCAGCAACGACCTCCACAGTGCAGGGTGAAGGTTTCACAATCCACTGTTGGAAGAAGACTCAGAGAGCAGAAATATAGAGGCCACACCACAAGATGCAAACCACTCATCAGCAGGAAGAATCGGAAGGACAGATTGAAATTTGCAAAGAAGTACAGAGATGAGCCGCAAAAGTTCTGCAACACAATCTGATGGACTGATGAGACCAAGATTAATCTCTAAAGCTAATTTGAATTGAATTGATTAATCTCTACCAAAGTGATGGAAAGGCCAACGTGTGGAGAAAGAAAGGAACTGCTTATGATCCGAAGCATACAAGCTCATCTGTGAAGCATGCTGGAGGTGATGTCATGGCTTGGGCCTGCATGGCTGCTCCTGGATCAGGCTCATTAATATTTATTGATGATGTAACTGATGATGGTCGCAGCAGAATGAATTCAGAAGTGGACAGAAACATTTTGTCTGCCAGTTTACGGAGAAATGCATTGAAACTTATCAGGAGGAAGTTTATCATGCAGCAGGACAATGAGCCAAAGCACACTGCCAACAAAACACAGGACTTCATCAGGGGGAAAAAGCAGAAGGTTTTAGACTGGCCAAGTCAATCAGCTGACCTGAACCCAATAGAAAATGCATTTCACCTCCTTAAGAGGAGACTGAAGGGAGAAACACCCTGAAACAAACAAGAACTGAAAGAAGCTGCGGTAAAAGCCTGGAATAGCTTCACAAATGAAGAATGCAACAGTTTGGTGATGTCGATGGGTCGCAGGCTTGAGGCAGTTATTACAAGCAAATGTTATGCTCCCAAATATTAAATGTTATTTACTTTAAGATTATTTGTTCCTTTACTTTTGCTCACTTAAGAATGCTGTGGTCTAATACAGAAGGTGGTTTGTCCTGAGTTGTTTAACACCTCTAGATGTGAATACCAGGAAATAAAAGCTGAAATTCTGAACTCTTGTCTCATACTCCTCTTTTGATCTTAAACCCAAATGTCTTCAGTGAACAACAAAAAGTAATTTGCCTTACCGTTCCAATACTTTTGGAGGGGACTATACAATGCACGGTAAAAGACTTAACTAGTGGTTTCAAATGTTTTAGATTTGTTTAGTTCCAGCAGAGACATTTAGCCTTTAAGCATCTCACATGGTTTCATTTAAATAACTTAAATTTCAACAAAAAATCAAAGATTTGAGAAAAGTCCAACATTTTAATATGAATTTGTGTCAGAAATTCTTCTTTCCTCTCCCATTAATCATCTCATGACCCATCAAATCGGATTGTCCATACTGTGATTTTAAGTCTGTCCTGAAAGGGATGGTTCCTCTGATGTTTCTTCCATTGTTTTCCCCTATTAAAGAGGGAGTCACCTTTGGACTATATAAATAAAAATGGACTGGACTTGTAACTTGTTGGATGGGCCCGACCTCTGGGTTGGGAACCATTTACCTAATAGCTAACCATCTATAAAGTAGTTAAAACTAGCTCCACCTTGAGCAGCTACAACAGTAAAATGCTGCTCTAACATTGATGCATCAGTATTAACAATCTAATAATGTGATATATAATTAGGGGAGACCAGGTATGGTTGTAACAATATTTGCTTCAGCAACTATAACTCGCTGAATTTTGTAGCTAGAGTTCTCAAACTTTTATACCAAGTACAGTATTAGTGTGTAAATTTATCTATAGAATAAACTTACTTAACAGTATACTTAATAAATACTACTAAAATGTACCTAATTAAATATCATTTCTGTACATCCTTAGGTGTGTGCCAATGTGTGCATTAGCTTAGTGGTTTGAAATTAGAAAGGAAAAAATACATCACCTGTTACCTAAGAAACTACATTACAATCTAATATTTATCAAACAATTGTATCTGCAACTGTGTAGATACTAAACAAAATATAGTCTTGGTCAGAAAATTTACTTTCTTACCTCAAAATAATTTTTTTCTCTATATATTCTGAATGTACCTGTTTCCAGACTTGATAACCACCGTGCCTGATCGGGGAGGAAGTAGGTAAATGATTACCTCACTCCTGTCTTATCTCTTATTGGTGGAATTGGTGTGGTTACAACTCTCCCCATATTACAACCATACCTGGCCTTGCCATCTATCAAGTAAGGCACAAATGAATCTGTCAGCCACTTTTCCTGTTTCAGTGCTGATATACTTACAACAGTCGGGTCCGAGGCGTTTGCCAAATCATCCGCAAGTTCCTCAAGTTTCTCCCAGCTTTTCCCGCAGAGGATCAGCCTCGCGCCTCCTTTGTGAAACACACCTGCACATTCTTCATTGAGAAAATCCATAAAACAAAAAACAAAAGCTGTAAACAAGACATAAAATAACTGCAAAATCAAATGGATGACCGTAACACCTTATGTTACCTTTTCCAAGACCAGACAAAGCGTCGGTTATAACCACCACCTTATTGCGTACAGATGTTTTGGACAGCAGGCTGATAACCACACCATAAAGGTAGAAAAATCCAGCTGTCAGCACGACTACCAATGGCACCAGGAGAACAGTGGTGGTCCATACTGAGTCCATCTCCTGGAGGATATCCTGAAAAATGTTTTCTATTTATATTAAATATGCAGAATTGAAATAAAAACTTAATCTTTCTGCTTGCATTAAAGGAATAGTCTGACATTCTGGGAAATAGGTTCATTCGCCTTTTTTTGTTTTGGAAAGTTAGATCAGAAGATTGATTCCACTACCGTATCTGTACAAGGCTTCAGTCAGCAGCCGGTTAACTTAGCTTAGCATAAATAGCATCTTTTGACAGAGCCAGGCTAGCTGTTTCCCCCTGTTTCCAGTCTTTGTGCTAAGCTACGCTAACTGGCTGCCGGCTGTAGCTGCCGATTTACCGTACAAAAGTGAGAATGGTGTCAATATTCTCATCTAAATCTTGGGAAGAAAGCAAATAATCATATTTCCCTAATCCTATTCCTTAAAAAAAGGATCAACAAAACAAGTTATGAACCACCAGTGTTGATGGTCATGGAGGTTGTGGTTATCTAACAAGTTTTCTTGTTAAAGCATGTTCAAAGATTTAAACATACTTTTTAGATGCAAAATGATTTCTCTGATGATGCAGATGAGATGGGATGGAATATCAAAAGACCATTTAAGGTCTAGTGAACATGATTTACGTGAAAAAGGAGCGTTTCATACCCAAAAGCTCTCCGGCTCCGTAACATTGGAATCCATCTCACCCTCTACAACCATTTTTTAATCTAACTACTCTTACAACTCTGAAATAAAAACAGAGAAGACATTTTTTAACCATGTTTGTCCGTTAGTCATCAAAACGAAATGATTAACACCACATTTTTAATAAAAGATATATGGGATTTTACTATACACATACTTGGATATTTCAATCATTTATATGTATATAAAATATACAGTCAGTGATTCATGAAGTAAAACAGTGTCGTAACATCCAGCATGAAGTGAAGGCATGTTCAGAAACTCTGAAGTAAAACTTTTGCAAACGTTGTGTGCAGCAGCAATAAAACCTTAATGTTAAACTTTCAAATTATGCTTTTTAACTTTTCAAACATAGTTTAAACTTTCTAAACATACGTCCAACCTTTTAGATCTTAGTTTCAATTTCATAGATTGTGAATGTGATTATATCTAAGACATGGATACTACTGGGGCCCAAGAGGTAGAGGGTCAATAGGCCTCTGTGTGAAGTGCCTGTTAACATTTCTTGTTGGAAAATCAATCAACAACCACAAAGACACACAAAACGACCACAAAGAGGCCCAAAATTACAAAAAAGAGGTGTAAAACAACCACAAAGACAAACAAAATGACTGAAAAGAGAGATGCAACAACATGAAGGGGACACAAAACAACCACAAAGACAAGAAAAACAACCACAAAAGATATAAAACAACCACAAAGAGAGACAGTGACTACAAGGAGGCCCCGAGTGACTGATAGATGTCAGACAACCACAAAGACACACAAAATGACCACAAAAAGATTTAAAACAGCCGTAAAGAGACACATAATGACTACAAAGAGAGATTCAACAACATCAAGGGGACACAAAATGACTGAAAAGGGACACAAAACAACCACAAAGACAAACAAAACGACCACAAAAAGATGGAAAAACCTCTAAGTGACACATTGACTACAAAGAGGCCCCAAACCACTGAAAAGAGATGCAAAACAACCATAAAAACAAACAAAACGACCACAAAAAAGATGTAATACAACCACAAAGAAACAAAGTCACTAACAAAAAACGTTTGTGCTCTTGCTCCCATGTAGGAGTGCTGGGGGGCCTTTTACATGTCTGTTCCCAGAGGCCTGTTGTCTGGTGTTTGGGTTACAGAGCAGCTTTGAAAATCAGCTTGCAATCTTTCCTTTAAACAAAGTGTGATCTCTTAGAAACCACTTGACAAGGCCAGTTTTTTGTCATCCGTCAGTCGCATGTTCTAGTTGTGTCCAACTGGGAGTCTGAAGATAACCTTTCAGTTTAGGTTCACCAAGCCAAGCACCAGCTGTTTTTCTGAAGAAGGGGCCTCTAAATATAAACTGCCCTAGAAATAGATACTGTATCTCTCACAAAGGCTCAGTGTCGCAGAGTACTAGCACATTATTCCAAGTCAAGAGTTGCATAAACACAATCAAAAATATAATATTACATACAGAAACAAAGCTTGTTTTATTGTCCAGCAGCTGACTGGAATACAATTAAACATAATAGATAAAATTAAAGTGTCACTGCACCTTGCACAAGTGATTAAATCAAAGAAAGCTGGTAATTTCTGACTGACCTCTTTACTGCAATGAAGGAATTAGCAGCCAACACTTACTGCTTCTCGGGCCTCTGCAGGTGTTCTGGACTTTATTCCTCTCCTGAGGAGCTGCACGCCTCAGCAGTTCATTCACAGAGCTCCTCCGACATGACAGCCGACCGGCCTGCCAGAGCAATACTTCAGGATATGAGCTCTTTTAATAGCAGCACAGCTGAGTCAGTTATTTTCCATGCATGTTGTCAACATGTTATGTTTAGAATGACAGGCAGGGAGGGGAGATGGCCGTGTTTCCATTGGCTGGGGTAGAACTTCTTTTAGGCAACATCTGTGACGTACAATACATTGCAAAGAAAACTTATACTGCACATAAATATACATAAACACATACAGTTATATAGTGGAAACAGATTCAAGAACAGAAGCTTTACCAAGAGTCATGCATCATGCAGGGATCTATATGTTGAGCAGGCGTAGTTGCGTTGAGGTTAACATGTGTGTGACTAAAATCAATAAATTAAAGTGAACATTTCTATACATGACTTACCTATGTGATGGGTTATTTTACATATTGTTCATATCGTTGACCATTGCAGTCATGTCTGTGTGATGGCTTTCTGGTTTATTGTGAATTTTTCCCAAACATAGTGTAACAAAAGAGCAATTAATTGATGTTACAAACACTATTATTGAGTATTTCTTTAGCAGGACAAAGCCAAACGCCTCCCCCAGACTGGCGCGGTAGAGTTGAAGGTAAAGCAAGGTGAATTTAAGTCAAAATTTCGCACTCCTTCTCAGAGTCATAACATCTTGCTATCAGTGTGACTTAAACTTCCCTAGGACTTTACTATCTCTGATTTCTATTGCAAATAAATGAATCTGCTTAGAAATCATAGAAAAAACTTCAGAACTTGCCTGAGAATCATCACGTTTTCCAGACTTCTTCAGTATCAAAGTACACCAGTGATCTATATATTAAAGAGTACAGTGCAAACAAGAACTGCTAATAGCTAATTCAATGTACATTAAATCGTTCCAATTTGACAAAATTGAAAAAACATGGCTTTAGTCTGGCTTTATCATTAATCATCCTCAGTTATCTCCAAAACCTGATTACCTCTCCCATTTCTGTTTCTGTGCCCTGATTCATATGCTTATAAACACTTTAATTTTGCCAGAGGTCTAACTGTATACGTAACCTGCATGTGTAGAGGTGCTCCAAGTTTATTTATGCGGCAGAGTTTTTGCATGCCACAGGCAGACTGTGTGTAGTTACAAATAGTCAGGAAACTTTTGTTTACTAATAATCTGTTATTTCAACTTCAACTGTTTTATTCCTTCTGCTCATCATACATTAGTTTTAAGCAGGTGGTGGAAGAAGCACTTCCTAAGTAATATTAGTAATACCACAATTTAAAAATACTATTATCAAAATCTACATAAAGTATCAAAAGTTAGATTACTCATTATGCCGAATGGCTCTTTTCAGAGTGCTAAATATTACATATACTGAACAAAATTATAAATGCAACACTTTTGTTTAGGCCCCCATTCATCATAAGCTGAACTCAAAGATCTAAGACTTTCTCTATGTACATAAAAGGCCTATTTCTCTCAGATAATGTTCACAAAACCTTCAAAATCTGTGTCAGTGAGCACTTCTGCTTTGAGATAATCCTACCACCTCACTGGTGTGGCATATCAAGATGCTGATCAGACAGTATATTACACTGCTCAGAAAAATGAAGGGAACACTTAAACAACACAATGTAACTCCAAGTCAATCACACTCCTGTGAAATCAAACTGTCCACTTAGGAAGCAACACTGATTGACAATCAATTTCACATGCTGTTGTGCAAATGGAATAGACAACAGGTGGAAATTATAGGCAATTAGCAAGACATCCCCAATAAAGGAGGAGTGGTTCTGCAGGTGGTGACCACAGACCGCTTCTCAGTTCCTATGCTTCCTGGCTGATATTTTGGTCACTTTTGAATGCTGGCGGTGCTTTCACTCTAGTGGTAGCATGAGACGGAGTCTACAACCCACACAAGTGGCTCAGGTAGTGCAGCTCATCCAGGATGGCACATCAATGCGAGCTGTGGCAAGAAGGTTTGCTGTGTCTGTCAGCGTAGTGTCCAGAGCATGGAGGCTACCAGGAGACATGCCAGTACATCAGGAGACGTGAAGGAGGCCGTAGGAGGGCAACAACCAAGCAGCAGGACCGCTACCTCCGCCTTTGTGCAAGGAGGAGCAGGAGGAGCACTGCCAGAACCCTGCAAAATGACCTCCAGCAGGCCACAAATGTGCATGTGTCTGCTCAAACGGTCAGAAACAGACTCCACGAGGGTGGTATGAGGGCCCGACGTCCACAGGTGGGGGTTGTGCTTACAGCCCAACACCGTGCAGGACGTTTGGCGTTTGCCAGAGAACACCCAGATTGGCAAGTTTGTGCTCTTCACAGATGAAAGCAGGTTCACACTGAGCACATGTGACAGACGTGACAGGGTCTGGAGACGCCGTGGAGAACGTTCTGCTGCCTGCAACATCCTCCAGCATGACCGGTTTGGTGGTGGGTCAGTAATGGTGTAGGGTGGCATTTCTTTGGGGGGCCGCACATTCCTCCATGTGCTCGCCAGAGGTAGCCTGACTGCCATTAGGTACCGAGATGAGATCCTCAGACCCCTTGTGAGACCATATGCTGGTGCGGTTGGCCCTGGGTTCCTCCTAATGCAAGACAATGCTAGACCTCATGTGGCTGGAGTGTGTCAGCAGTTCCTGCAAGAGGAAGGCATTGATGCTATGGACCGGCCCGCCTGTTCCCCAGACCTGAATCCAATTGAGCACATCTGGGACATCATGTCTCGCTCCATCCACCAACGCCACGTTGCACCACAGACTGTCCAGGAGTTGGCGGATGCTTTAGTCCAGGTCTGGGAGGAGATCCCTCAGGAGACCATCCGCCACCTCATCAGGAGCCCAGGCGTTGTAGGGAGGTCATACAGGCACGTGGAGGCCACACACACTACTGAGCCTCATTTTGACTTGTTTTAAGGACATGCCCAGGCGTTGTAGGGAGGTCATACAGGCACGTGGAGGCCACACACACTACTGAGCCTCATTTTGACTTGTTTTAAGGACATTACATCAAAGTTGGATCAGCCTGTAGTGTGGTTTTCCACTGTGATTTTGAGTGTGACTCCAAATCCAGACCTCTATGGGTTGATAAATTTGATTTCCATTGATAACTTTTGTGTGATTTTTTTTGTCAGCACATTCAACTATGTAAAGAAAGGAGTATTTAATGAGATTATTTCATTCATTTAGATCTAGGATGTGTTATTTTAGTGTTCCCTTTATTTTTTTGAGCAGTGTATATTGCAGGATTGTTATCACTAATACATTAATATGTAAGCAGCTTTTTAATATTGTAGCTAAATTTAACTTCTCACACAGAGATGAGTAGTCTCACCTACAGCAATGTAATATATTTTACTTGTTTAATCTTAATCTGCAAAGTACCAAGTAAATATATCCGACCTCAAAGTTGATAAATGTGCTTTTATAATGATATAAATACATTTCTCAAAGATAACAACACAAACATTAAATTATGAAACTTTATGCCAATCACATTTTACTAAATGAGTAAAGAACATTAATTAGCTTAGCATGATAAGACATTTCTCACTTACACAAATACAATTAGTGTAGAGTTATTGAATCACACATTTCACCAAGTATGCAGACATTAATAAAACAATTATACCATTTACAAAACATATAAGGTTATCTATTGCACCTCCAAAACAAATTCTTGGAAGTTATACTAGCTTGTTATGCTACAGTGACTTCCTGTTTACATAGTTGAGTGCTCTTGATTGTGCAGCAGCAGATGATTTCTAGCAGCATACATTGATAAAGTCTAAGCTGGTGTAGTAAATCAATAGTTTGAGAACCTAAAGGAAGAACATAACACCCAAATTTATAATGAATTTATGAATTGCTGCTGCAACACAATCCTGTTGGTATAGAGGTGTGTGTGTGTGTGTGTGTGTGTGTGTGTGTGTGTGTGTGTGTGTGTGTGTGTGTGTGAGAGAAGAAATGAAAGGCTCGAAAATTCTGTCAATCAAGTTAAAAAAATAAGACAGCGTGACCGGATGTTGGTGTCCTCACAATAAAAGCATGTTTTTTTCCAACTCTAACTTTTTTTAAACCTTTGTTGAACCTCTGTAACAGACATCAAAAAAGGCGTAATTACATTCATATCATGTCATCCATACAAAATTAACTGAGCGAGGTTTACAGTTTGATAGTTTGAATTAATAAATAAAAAGAGGAAAGTAGGGAAATTAAAATAAAACAAGAATAATTGAAATGAATGGACACCGAAATTGTCATTCAGGGATTAGATCATGTAGGTGTTCATAGAAATGTAGGGCCTTTTTCATTTTGCAACTCTTCAGTGATTTATTATATAGTAATACAATAAATTAGAAAAGCATTTAATATGGGGGACGTTTTTAGAAATTGACATTTGTGCATAATATATTTTGCCAATATAATCAGAATGCTGAAAACATAGTGTGGTAGTTTACTTTGTTTATTCTGAAAATTCTTCAACATTCTCATTATTTAAAACCCAGATGTCTCAAATATCAATTATTTGTTTTTACAAAAACATAATTACATTAGTATTATTTTTATGGTCTTTTTTAAAGCATTGTTCATCTTTCTGCACTATTTTTTATGTATTAATTGTTTGATGCCATATTATTAATTGGTGTGCACGTCCCAGTATTGGCTTATATTTTTAGGATTTGTTTGTGGAGCTACAGCGATTAGTGGGTTAATCAAATTGCAATTGACAGAAAACTGCAACTAAAAATGTGTATTAATAATAATAATAATAATAATAATAATTGATTCATCATTTCAGTCATTTTTCAAGCAAAATTTCTAAACATTTTCTGACTTTAGCTTCTCAGACATGACAATGTTGCTGCTTTTCTTTGACATACAGTGCATGACATTAAATTGAATGTATTAAGGTTATGTTGACAAAACAAGCAAACAGGTTTGTGGCCTCAGGGAAATTTTAAATGCCATTTATTTCACTATTTATTCAAACAATCAATTAATCAAGAAAAACTTTTCACAAATGAATTATTAAAGCCCTATTTGCATGTTTTTGTTGTCATATTATTTTTCAGATGCATAAGTGCTTAATGATTGTGGTCAAGTTTTATTTTTATTTGTATTATTTAAACAATATCAGGTTCCTCCCTTTTATTATGTTGTTTATTTTAAGTGATTCATTGTGTAATTGAAAGAAACGACATGTTAAATGGTTTTATTCTGGCGGTGTTAACCGGACGTTGTGTGTGTATTTTGTCGGGCTTTGCACCGGGGAGACTTCAGTGGTTTTTGCTGCACTGACACAGCCGGCTGGTTGGCTCATCGCTCCCTTCAGACAACTCACACCTGCTGTATTTATTACTCAGTAAGATTCCCGGTATAATGTCGGATTTCGAGGAATTTGAGAAACAGCTGAGCGAGAATCGACAAGGTAAATATTAACGGTCTGTCAGTGCCCCAGTTTGGTCCTTAAGCTAGCAATGCAACGCTTGCATGGTGCGTAATATAACCAACGTTAGCGCCCCACATTATTTTATGAATGAATAACCCTCGTGCTGTTTTCCCCGCTATGACTCAGCTTGTTTACCTTTTTTCATGTTTGCTTAACAATTAGCTTCGTGATGCTTTAGTCACACCTCACATCCTACAGCAATAATACAGCCGCCGCTAAACCTCCCATCCAGTAAGTTATTGAACGCAGTCTGGTTGCCGGTGTGAATGAACAGTGAACTCACCTGACGTTCTCCTGCGCGAGACAGCAAGATGCGAAACTCCTTTGAAATCTCGCACCTTTTATAATATTGTCCTCTCCTGCAAATATACATACTTGTAGAAATAACTTTAATATGACCTTTTCTGAACCTTTATGATGTACTTTTTAATTCGGCATACATTATTAATTGTTTCAACAAATTATTAATAAAACTGGTCACAAAATCTCACAACTTAACTTGTGTTTTTCAGTTCAATTCAGTCCAATATGCTATATTGCCATGCCATCCAGCATACATAAATTTATGTAGCATGCCTAAAAACAAAAACAAACAAAGTTTCACAGTGCTTAGCAATCATGAGAAGATAAAATAAATTGATTATAGATCATAAATTGATAATAGATTAATCCTTTAGTCATTTTTTTAAGCCTAAATGCCAAACACTCCCCTGTTCCAATGTGAGGATATCCGTGCTTTTCTTTGTTATAAAAAAAAACGACTACACTTTCTCATAGTAGCATTTGGACTATTAGTTGAATAGATTTTTAAAAATGACTTGAGGGATCACGTTGGGCTTTAGGAAACTATGAAATATGTATGAAATGAACATGAAAATACTTGTCAGGCTTCCTGATAACGGAAATAAACAACAACCTCAAGAAAAGTGACGTTTGAAGTAAGATACAACACAAAGAAGGTTTCCAGACACAAAGAAAGCTAGTAAAGAAAAAAACACCTTCCACCCAAACACACCGCATCTAAAACTTGACATTTAATCAACGTAGAGTTACTGGGTGTATCAGATCTCTACAGAAATGATAGTACATCTTATTGATTTGATAAAAGGTTTTAAGTCATGTTGTACATCCCTGAGAAGCAAGGCCGCATTAAACTGTCAGATTTCTCAAAGAAATACGGTGCAGTGTTCAGAGGAGTGTGGAGGGCATCGGAGCGTGTAATTAATATAGAAAGGAGACTTTATTTTACATCGTGTGATAATTGTTTTTAGGAAAATTTAATTACCTGCATGCTAGTGGCATTAAATATTCCAGGTATAGTAATTATAGTAGGAGATATTTGCACAGTTATTTCAGTAATTATAAACAAGAAACAAATATATTAATAATATATTTACTAGGTAATTATTTGTGTGAAAATCTTAATTTCTAATACCACATAGTAGAGCTTCATCTAATGATTATTTTCATTATTGACCAGTAGGCTGTTTATTTCTTGATCAATAAATGACTAATTGATCAATCAGTAAAAAAATATATAAGAAAAATAGCCATTATGATTTCCTGAAGCTTGAGGTGACAAGATATTCAGGTTACTTTCACATAAAACAAAAAAAGGATTAAAAAAAGAAGAAAAAAAAGGCTCTTTTAAAAGAGTTTTATTATGGAGCCCAAAAATTATTTGCACAAAAATATCCTTATTATCCTTATGTCTTGTGCAACAAAGAAATGTTTTGATTTCTTGTTAGTTTTGTTTTGGGACAAGTTAAAACGTTATTATTTAATCAGCCACATGAACTTTATTTATCGTCATAAATATAATTATAATTGCGTGCCGCTTTCCACACAGAGAGAGAAAGAGAAAGACACAAGAAGAGGAGTCGCAGTGGATCCCCCGGCCGAGGCGACAAGCATCGCAGCTGGAGCAAAGACCGAGGGAGCCGCAGCCGAGAGAAGCGAAGCCGCAGCCGAGACCGGAAGAGCCGGGACCGCCGGAGCGCCTCCCGGGACCACAAGAAGCACAGGTCAGTGGGTGAAAGCTGCGAGGCAGACATCACAGCTCCACCTGGCAGGCTTTTACCTTGAAAATACACCCGTCTGAAGTTATTTCTCTCCCGCTTGAGCTTTTATTTTGCAATTTCTCTGCGTGCAGCCACTCTCCGAGGCGAACGAGGAAGAAAAGGACCTGCAAATATTGGGATGTGCCCCCTCCTGGCTTTGAACACATCACACCAATGCAATATAAAGCTATGCAAGGTAACTTCATCATGTCCTCTCTGCTTGTTTAGACCCTGAGTTCTTCAGAGCTTCACCTACAAGAACAATTTTTTTTAGCAGTTTGCAGTTTTTATCCAGACATGAACAAGGCCAAAAAGGCTCAAAAAAACATTCAACATTTCTTCTCAGTGCCACAAATCAATCAATCAATCAATCGTATAAAAACATCCATTTATCCGCTTAGAAATATTATGACTTAATGACAGCTAGAAATGAGTCACTGCAATTTCCCCTCATAGAATGATGGAGCAGTTTTGTATTCATGTTTCCTCAGCGGCTGGGCAGATCCCAACAATAGCTCTGCTGGCGACGTCGACCACCACTGGAGTGGCTGCAGCGCCAACACAAGTGCCCATAGTTGGCAGTCAGATGACAAGACAAGCCAGACGTCTCTATGTTGGAAATATTCCCTTTGGAGTGACGGAGGTAGACTGTCTTTTCTTTGACTTCCTGTTTACCCTGATGTGTTCGTGCGGCAGTGTTTCCAGCCACGCTGTTTGTTTTCTTTCTCCTCAGGAGTCCATGGCGGAGTTCTTCAACGCTCAGATGCGGCTTGCAGGCCTTTCACAAGCCCCAAGCAACCCTGTACTCGCTGTGCAGATTAATCAGGATAAAAACTTTGCTTTCCTCGAGGTTTGTGCTGTAATGTAAAATATAACTTCACATGGTCTTTTTTTTAATTAAGAGTTTGATGTATTTTCTCTTGGTAGAGAGTTAGATGAGAAGATTTATGCCACTATCGTGTCCGCCTGTTAAATATGATGCTACAAAGACTGAAAGCAGCGGGAAACAGACAATCCTTCTGCTGAATCATGTCTCAAAATGACTTTCTTTTCTAGTTTCGGTCTGTAGATGAGACGACCCAGGCCATGGCTTTCGATGGAATCATTTTCCAGGGTCAGTCGCTGAAGATTAGAAGACCTCATGACTATCGGCCTTTACCTGGCATCTCAGAGCAGCCGGCTTTCCACGTCCCAGGTTTGTTACTGACGGGTGGGTAATAACTCGTTACAAGTAACCCAAATTAGTAAAACAGTAGTTTCATTTAGGAACTTTTCATGTTCCTTTTTCAAAACTGTGCTTTTATTCTTTACTCCAGTATTCCTAAGGGGCCAGTAATCTACTTTTATCTTTGAAATCTATACCTTCGTTACAACTCGTCTGTTATCTGCTGTGCATTTGGCTGCATATACTGAAATGAGCTTCCATCCGAGCCGAGTGTTTTACACAGGAGAGCTGTAACCGGTGCGTTTGAGCCAGAGATTAATGAGCTGGGCAAATGCAAACATTTTGAAAATCAGGCAAATAGCTTTTCAGTTTAAGATTTGGTTGTTCTGCTGATGTGACGCAAATCTAGTTTCACTGTTGCTCGTGTTAGAAAGCAGTCTGCATCACTCTTTCACAAGCAGAAAAACTTTCACTTTCCATTACATGTCGTATTTAAAGTGTATTTACTCTATACAGAACAAATGAAGGTTACACACTGTATAATAACTCAGATGATCAGTGGATTGATTTGGCTCTATTAACAGAATACTCTTGTTGTGCAGAGCATGGCTTATTTTTGATGGAAATTATTTCTGTTCTCTTATTTGCAGATTTGCAGATGATTTTCTCTTGTGGTATCGCTACAATAATTCCTTATGTTGTAATGACTGTGTTGATAGATGCTTTCGGAATAATCATATTGTATTGGCTGTCTGAGCTGTTGGAGAAGGCAAATCATATCAAAGCACGTGGTTAGTTTGGCTACATGTCCATCTAAAGATAACAACAGATACAGGCAACAATAGTGGCTGGGCAGCAAGCAGGTGTGATATTTTAAAGTGATCTTAATGTAGATTTTAAAAAAAGTAAAATAATTATTTGCTAATTTAAAGATAATCAACATGCAAAGTAAAGTGCATGCCCTAAAAATAACCATGTTGCACAGCAGCTATTTCTAACCTGAAGCACAGTGGACGAATCATTATTCCCTAAAGAAACTTCAGACATTGAGTTGCATAAAATGACTTGTGAAGATCTTTGGCCTGCACACACTATACAACAAAGTAATTATACTTTGAGTAGTTTATTTACAAAGTACTTTGTATACTTTTACTTAAGTAGGTTTGTGAAATGGTAATTTTACATTAGTTATATATTACTTGAGTGAGGATTTTCTGTACTCTACTCACCACTTAAGTGTTCTGTTAGATGATAGAGAATATGTTTCCTTTGCTTTTTGTAGGCGTCGTCTCCACAGTCGTTCCCGATTCCCCCCACAAACTGTTTATAGGAGGCCTGCCAAACTACCTTAACGATGACCAGGTATTTAACTGACAGACAGACTGAACAGGTGCACACATGTTTCCTCATTTTTCTCTCACTTGCTGAGGTTTTTGTCGCACTTTAAACATGCACTAAATATGTTTTGCATTTCTTTATGACGTGAAAAAATCAAACGTGTGTTGTGGTAGAGAGAAAACATTAGCTGAATGTTTATCAGAGCCAGAAACAGGACTTGACCTTTAATAGCAGCAACACAACGTTAACAGTAACACAATGTAGGGAAAACATAAAACCATAGGTGCATATTAAATTACTTGTATTTGTGAATATGTATCTGATAAAGTTGCAGACTTTTACAGATAATGAGCTTTTAAAAAAAAGCTCTTATATTAAACAAACATTTATCATATCGTGTCTTTTATCATATATGAGTATTATAAGAACTTTTTGTGACTTGGCTAAGTAAACTGCTTATACCTTTCTCATGTAAAGCATACTGATTAAAGAAAGGTAAGCAAAGTCCTGTATATTTACACAAGAGGCTAATAAACTGACATGTATTTATTTCTGCGTGGTATTTAATGTTGCTCCCAATTCAGTCAGTATTGTCAAAGAAAAAGTCCGCCTTCTGATCAAAAGAATAATCATGAAAGGTGAAATGGTTTTGTTGTCGGCGCCTCAGATGTACGGAGCAGAACCTGAAACAAAAATTCTTATGTGTGAAGTCTTAAAGTCTTTGTAGTGTAATGGATATATTTCACCATTTTCTTACATTTAAGGGACCAAATGATTAATCCAATGATTGAATAAAAAATATCAGCGCATTACACGACAGTGAAAGTAATCGTTTATTTCAGCTCTGACCGATTAATTGTTAAGCCACTTATTAAGCAAATATTTCCAAAACTTTTCTGCTTCTAAATTCTCAAACATGAGACTTTGATTATTGATTATCTTTGGATTTTAGACTGTTGGCTGGACAAAAAGAAAAAGAAGAGTTTGAAGAGTTTTGGCATTTTAGTATTTTTTATTTTTTTAAGATGCACAGATTAATTAACAGAGAAAATAATAATTGCTTGCATCTTTAGTTAGGCTGATAAATAAGCCAGGTCGATATATCATCTGATATCAGCTTGTTGCAGATATATCATGTCGGTGTATAGGTCACATATGTGCTAAACTAGGTCTGAGGGCATTTAGAAACTCTGTCACTGTTATTGTCCACAGAGGGAATTTACAAGTTATTTTGAATTGTAAAAATTATCTTGGTCACAAGTATTTAAAAGTCAAATCCCAGAGATCCGTATCAAGATTGTTGTGTATGTAAAAATAAGGGAATAAAATAATATGGACCAATTTATTATATCAGTATCAGCCTCAAAGGTCTAGTATTGGTTGGCCTATGCTTGTAGTCCTACTTTGCAGCTATTATTAACTAAGTCCAATAAGTTTAGGCCCATTCTGGTGGTGGCAGAAAGGCATTTTGGGTAAAACAGGCAGGTTGAGGAGATGTAGGTGCACCCAGTGCATTGGACATTGGAGATGAATTATAGGTAAAAGTGGACTTTTTCTTTGAGAATATCAACAGTCAGAGCTTTAGCTCATAAATAGGTCATCACAATACTTTCAAGCACCAAACAGAATCACGGTAGAGCTCCGACTTTGCTCTCAAGTGAGCAAATGGTGTACTGTTTCTCTGTTGAATTTAACTCTAGCTGTCCATTCTGTCTCATTTACTCGTTAACTAGCTTGCAGAGCACATGTAGCCTGATGTATATTCATTCACTGACTTATTCATTTTTATTAATACTTGCAGTCTTTGCCACTGCGTTGATACTCACAGCTCTTTCATTTTTGTTCCCCCACTTTGTCCCCAGCTAGGGGCCTGTAAGATCGTTAAGTCTGCGCTCATAATTTGTTCAGTAGTACTCATCTACTGCTGCCATGCCAACATGTAACACAAGGCAAGTAAGACATTCTGGTCCTCACACGGATACACTCCTAGCCAGCAGGCTCCCTTACTGGCTGCTTTTTTTCTCCCATCATGCTTTTGGAGCGCGTTTAGGACCCTGGGATTTTGGATTAAGGCCTGGTCATTAAAACTTGGGGTTGTTGTTGTTGATGGTGGAGCTTTTGTGTGTGTGTGTGGGGGTCGGGGGGGTAGGGGGTTGTATTCAGCTTTTAATGTAAAGGTAAGAAAGTATAAACATATTGTCCAACTGTTGTTGTGTAATTTGCCTTTAGCTGGCAATACAATTATAATACATAAGATCAGTTTATTTTGTTTTTATTTCACCTTGCACCAATTACCGCTCAGATTGGTGTAAAAACAATTACAAGTTTTGAACTCTTTCAGTATCTTTGCATATATATTTGTCAATAATACTTTAGAAGACCTCAGTAGTTTTTTCTGATGTCTCAGGATTTTATTTTGTTGTTCCCCAGAAGCCCACATTGTCAGCATTTACTTTTCACATGTCTTCCCTAAACAGACATGAACACTTTTATATGCTGCTGTCTTATTTTCTTTTTTTTCAATCAACATAGCAACATCTGTAAAACGCAAAACACACACAAACGACCTGAGATTTTCTCTTTAATTGCACACGTTGTTTCCCGTAATCATGTTATTAAATACTTGTGACTGTGATGACATGTTGGATTCACTCTGTAGGCTGCATGTTCACTGTGAATTATCAGTCTCATATCTGGTTGTCGGACTCTTTCTTGCAGGTAAAGGAGCTCTTGACATCGTTCGGGCCTCTCAAAGCTTTCAATTTAGTGAAGGACAGTGCCACGTCACTGTCCAAAGGTTACGCCTTTTGCGAATATGTAGACGTCAGCGCCACAGATCAGGTAAAAATGATGCGTTGAGATTATTAACTGTGTTGTTTCATATGTGACTTTGAGGCCTGTGTGTTGTCTTTCCCAGGCAGTTGCTGGGCTTAATGGGATGCAACTGGGCGACAAAAAGCTGATTGTCCAAAGGGCGAGTGTGGGAGCTAAAAACGCCAATCCTGTGAGTAGTGCTACTTCTGCCCTTTACATTCCCTAAAGGTCGCAACAGGAAACACACAGTTGTTACTAGTGACATCAAACATTGCCTCCAGTCTGTTCAAGCATCCCAGTAAGACATGACGCTGTGACAGTGAGATGCCGTGCACAGCAAGGCTTAGCATCCTGGTATTTCCTGGGACCTCAACAAAATGGACAATTAGGGTCACCAATCAACATAGGCCGCATGTCTTTGGACGGTGGAAGGAAGCCGGAACACCCGGAACATGCAAACTCCACACAGAAAGGCCTGTTATTACTGTTATTACAGTAATAAAATTGGCTCACCTGTCTCCTTGTCCACAAAGCAGGATAAAATCTGTAAATGAAAGATAAAACATTTGACTTGTGGAGGGGCATTGTGAGCAGATGATAGATAACGTGCAAGAAACGCTGATTCCAAACATCAAACCGCAGAAACAACTGCATGGAAACCACCCCTTCCACCTCGTATACACCTGAGGTCAGCACTAAAGAAAAAGAGGATCCCCTAAAACAACTTGAACATATCAGAACTGGTGAGAAACTTTAATCTGAGAAGCAAACACAAGAGTTGTCTGAAGAGGGATTGTCATAACTGTATTTATCAAAATAAATGATTCCAGGGAAAAGGTAACACATTCGTAGGAAGTAATATTTTTGAAAACACAAAAACATTCAGCCCTAATGCTTAAATAAATGGACCATGAAACTAGCTGCTAAATTGAATTCAGCCATCATTTATTTTACTATTTTTTACTTTTCCTTCCGTTCAAACAGTCTGTTAGTATAAAACTGTAAACACACTACACTTAATTTTCCACTGTGTGCTTCAAAGTAGAGACCGTAGAAACGTCTTCCAGCACTAAAGAAGCTCACAATGGCAGATGGAGAGAGTGAAATGTCAGCGGAAAGATTACTTCCAACATGTTTATCCCCTGCAGGAATGCCAAACATACATAAACATGCTGAGGGAGGGAGGGCAGGAAGCAGCAGGCTTTATGGGAGATACATTTGGTACTATGGTCTTACTTGTCCACAGTAATTGTACTAATCTTGAGTCTAAGCTGATGTGTACGACTCCTCCTCCACCCGCAGACCTCCATTATAGAGACCCCGGTGATGCTGCAGGTCCCTGGGCTCCAGAGGCTGCAGAACTCTGGGATGCCCACGGAGGTGCTGTGCCTTCTCAACATGGTGATGCCCGAGGAACTGGTGGACGACGAGGACTACGAGGAGATCCTGGAAGACATCCGCGAGGAGTGCTGCAAGTACGGCAGCGTCCGCTCCATCGAGATCCCCCGACCCGTTGACGGCGTGGAAGTCCCCGGATGCGGAAAGGTGAGCCCGTCCATGAATTTTCGCTTGTCTCATTGTGGTTTGGAAGGACTCAGGTCTGTGTTTGCTCGGGGTGAGACGTGTCACGGTTAGTACAAGCTGGGAACAGGTAAAAAAAACAGCAGGTTTAGTTCAACCATGCTTTAAATAATAAAACAAAAGGGTAAACTGGATTATGGCAAGGTGAGGCAGGAAGGTTCAAAACCAGGCAAGCAGTCCACATAGGCAAACAAATCCAGAAGGGAATCCAAAAAGTCCAACAAATCAGGCAGAATGTCCAAAAACACAGGGAGACACTGGGAAAAGGCTTGATAGCTTGACGTATTGATGGAAATGATCTGGCAATAGACAAGGGGAGCACACAGACTACATGCACAAATGACTGGAGGATAACTAAACACAGGTGAAACTAATCAGGGGAGGGCGGACAATCAAAGTGGCGGAGAAACACTTTTAGGCAGGAAGGAAATTAAGGATAAATAATAATCAATAAAACAGGAAATAACTAAACCAAAACCCAAAACCATGTCACACTGTTTCACCCAACCTTTTTTTGCCTCTTGCTTACCATATCATGTCAGTACACGAATGAATGAATAATACTTTGGTGCTCATTGTTTCCGTAAAATGAACTGAAAAATTGAATTGTGAAGAATCTAACCGATCTTACGATGTCCATATTGACATCATTAACATTAACATTTACGTTTGTATGCTGATCTAAGAAAGTTAGAACTACTTCAAGTGGGCTTTACACATCCAGAAAACCTTCTGGGAAAAGATATAGAAGTTTCAGCTGCCGCACCATCAGACTGCAGAGCTGCTCTTTCCCCCAAACTATCAGGCTCTTAAACACAAATTCATCCTCAACACTCCTCCATTGAACATTGAATATTGTTTATTTCGGTTTACCATTTTTATAATTGCTTTTCTATTAATACATATTGTCTGCTATATTGCAGAAGGGAGTTGCAAAGCTCAATTTCATATTCATTATATTGTCCTTTCATATTCGTTATATTGTGAGAATAAATGTCCCTACCTACCTATTTGTCAAAACTTGGCCAAGCGACATACAGATCAGATTTGTGATTTAATCTGAAGTGTTTTCAAACTGTATTTTTCAGTTTTAGAAGAGAAAAGACCTAGGGGATAAAAACTTACTGGTTTGTTTGACAAAAGAAACCCTTCCCACCACAGATAAAGAGCAGCTTTCAGCCAATTTCTTGAGCTTTTTGATGGTAAGCATCCATGATAGAGACTGATGAGACAGGCCCAATCAAAACCCACCTCTTTTTTCTTTTCACGTTTTGTTTAATGAACTTTACACACACTTAAGGACGCTCTCAATGACTGTTAATTACTCCATTAATAGATCCGAGGTCCTCATCTCATCTTCATACCATTCAGGACCGGGCTGACTAACTTCTTTGTCATTCCAGATCTTTGTGGAGTACGTTTCTGCTGCAGACTGTCAGAAAGCCATGCAAGCTCTCACCGGCCGCAAGTTTGCCAACAGAGTGGTGGTCACCAAATACTACGATCCAGACATGTATCACAGACACGAGTTTTGAAAGCACAGATGAATCTCGACGGGAGCCTCTCCTTCTTCCTCTCTGTTTGTGAGCTCGGGTTCAAATGGTTTATTTACTCCTCTGAATGTTGTGAACGTGTCCTTAGAGACTAGACCTGGAAAAAGACTTGTTTTATCACATCTTCCACTTAAACTGGACTGCAGTGTGTGTGTGTGTTTCTTCAGTACAGAATATCTAACTCCCAGCTTCAGCCTAATACTCGCACAGTAATCTTATCTCATTCTGAATTTTGAAAAAATACCGTAGTGTTCATTACATTTGTAGTAGGATGAATGTGACATGTATCTTACCTAAACCCTAAACTAATACTGCCTGACAATGCCAGAGTAGCTGTCTTATCAAGTATGCACTATATCAGAAGAAACAACAGTCAAATGTTTAGATTTCCCTACGCACAAACATTTATCTCTCTGTTTTAGATCTAGATTTGAGAAGTCATCACGTTGTTTGTGTGGCTATGCCAGACAAAAAGCTTTTATTTATGTATTTAATTATTTTTTCAAAATAATATTTTCTTCTATACCTCGCATATTTAATGTCCCTTAAACAAATATGATGCTTTTACCTGTACTACACTGACCAAACATTTTTTTTGACTAAGGTGAAATTAATCATTTTGTCATTTTGTAAATATGAAACATTAATGTCTAAAGATAAGAAATATATTAAATTGGCCAAGCATACTGGAAATTACTTGAATTATAACGTAATCAGAGTTGACTTGTCTTGGTTGAAAAATGTTTAATCAAACCAAAGCCAGAAGAGCAAACAAGTAAAGAGCTGATTAAAATGTGTTTATTAGCTCTAATGTAGGCTGCAAATGTTAGCATGTCTTGCTAACTGAGTGTACCTCCAAAGCCAAGGAGTCTTATTCACTACCACTTGGAATATTCTTCAATAAAACTTCAAGTTGACCTCTTTATTAATAGTGAGACAGTTCCAAAGTTTAATTGCTAATCTCATTGATCTGTAACTGTCATTGCTTTTCATTTTGTCTTCGTTTTAATTGGTATGTATTCTTAATGTCATGGCTGTTTGATTTTAGCTGTGTATGCATTTATTATATGTACCTCGGCACCATTGAAAATCAAGGGTTCTTCCTCAATGTGTTGTCTTTTCATACTTGTGATTCAGGGACTAACTAAAGTGTCTCTGCACTGCAATACAACATCAACAATTTTGTTTATTTCCATATTTTCTACATTTGATCATCAACTGGTGAGGACTTTTTTAGCCTGGGACCTGTTGGCTTCAGCCTCAATCCTTTAGCACAAAATAATTTATATAGCCATTAAGATTATATTGAAGACCCCTTTTTATGAGATTCTCATTTTAAGTCAGCCGGAGACACAGTTTTTAATCAGTTCAGTTCGAGCAGTGTTAACGTTAGCTTAATTTAGCTGAAAAAATCTACCACCTTTTCAGTCGCAAAATCTACAGTCACCAGCTACAAATGAGAAGCTGCTTTTGTCTACTTCTATCTTAAATCAAGGTCCCATTGTTTAATAAATTACTGTGAATTTATTAATTCGCCTGGTGCACAAGATGGCGTCTTTCAACTTCAACCACATGTGCTGAATGAGAACAGAAATCGTAATTGGCACAGCAGCAATAACTCACCTTTTACAATCTGTTGTCAAAATCTGAGTAACAAAACCAAGTCTGTCTTCATGGTCCCACTGACAAAATAAAGAACATGTGAAGAATGCACCTTTTATGTTTAGTAGATCACATACTGATATGAACTTTAAAGCTTTATTCTTTGGTGTGATGTTTTACATCTGTCCAATAAACTGTACTAAATTGAAGTGTTAATTTATTATGAAATAACTTTTATGCTCTTGAAAAGTGCATGCACAAATATATGAACAGTACCCGAACAAATTTGTCCGACATTGGGATGTAAAAAATGTCCACTTATGGCTAACAATCTAGTCTTTTTCAAAGTAAACAAGTTGTATTTTAGGGTAATAAGTTGAACATTATCAAAAACAACTACTGCAGGGGAGAGCGAGGTGATTTGTGCCTGTAGGGAAGTTGAGCCACCTGATGTTTCTCTTCAACCACCATAGATAAAATTGGTCATGTGACCACACCTTCATTTTACCACGTTTAAGTTCAATAAACAGGGGTTTTTTGCCATACAAAGTGATTATATTTTTGTTCAAGGAGTCACGATACGGTGGTGCAGTGGTTAGCACTGTTGCCTCACAGCAAGAAGGTCGTGGGCATGTTCTCCCCGTGTCTGCGTGGGTTCTCTCCGGGTGCTCCGGCTTCCTCCCACCATCCAAAGACATGGAGGCTAGGTTGATTGGTGACCCTAAATTGTCCTTAGGTGTGAGCGTGAGCGGTTGTTCGTCTATGTGTGGCCCTGCGATGGACTGGCGACCTGTCCAGGGTGTACCCCGCCTTGCACCCGATGTCAGCTGGGATTGGCTCCAGGCCCCCCGCGACCCTGTACGCAGGATAAGCGGTTGACGATGAATGGATGGATGGATGGAGTCATGATACATGTGCTATTTTGTAATTCTAAATTGCTTTCTTACATTTTATTACAGAAATGGCGTGAATGACCAGAAACAACCAAGCCCTTCTATTTATAGGCTTCTATAAATAGAAGGGCTTCAACTCCCCTTGTGGATTTACACAGAGCAGTGAGAGAGGTACAGAACAGGTTTCCAAAGTCTGAGACTGTTGGCTTCCCTTCAGACAACGCTTGGGGAGAAAGTCGCCCTCGCTTTAGTTTGGGAGGTTGGTTATTGGTCATGGTTATTTCATACGCTCATATAGTCAGAATTAAGGCAATATTAAATAAAGGTCTGTACAATGGCATCTAATAATCTCTGGGAAAGTGGTATCTCATTAATCAACTCATACACATGTAGGCTGTTCTGTATCCCCTTTTGATGATTAATGTAATAACTAACATAAAAAACATTTCAGTTAGTGGCCATCTATTATGCTGAGAAGGCTGTGCCAACCCACGCTGCGGATTGGCTGTGCGCCTATTTCCTGGGTTCCTTTGACCGTGACGCTGATTGGTGCGGCGTGCTACCGCTGGCCAATCGAGGAGCTCCAGCGAAGTCCACCATCTGTTTAAAAAGCCTGCTTGGTTTGCTATTGGAGGCCGCTCTCAGACCTGATTTGCTTCCCTCGGTGCCGCATGTCTCAGAGCTTGTGGCTGTATGTTCGTCTGTTGTCCAGATATTGTGTGTGTGACTTTGTTAAAACTGTGTAAAGGTAAGTAAGTGTGCCAGGGTTTAAGATATAAAAACTGACACTATTGTTGCACCCAGAGTAGTTGTGTTGTATGTTAGTTTCCACTACGTTCAGGGGTGCTGTGCGCTTCGTGTTTTGGTTTTTGCACCGCATTTTTAGAGAGGTTTTTGGTTTTACGCCTTTTATTTTTGCCTGTAGTTAGATTAGTAATCCTCCTTTTGAGGACCTCTTTCTGTTCTATTCCTTTCTTTATTTCTACAGCCCCCATTGGCCCACTTTCTGTTGTGAACCCTGTTTGCTTTATTTCAAATAAATGTCCTTTTTAAATACCAATAACTTGATACACCTGGACACCTCGGGACGTAACACTTAGCCTACCATGAAACAGTTTGGGCCCTCTGGTGAGTCCATCTGCCTGGTTTTACTACACTGTGGTGAAACAAGATCAACCATATCACAATGTAATGCATTTAATTGTAGCCATACACAAAATACTCTGTTTTGGCCATTTACATACACAGTGAGTCAAGTCAGATATGCTAACATAGTTAAACACTTCCAGTCGATACTTTTTAAATTAAATCTATAAGAACAAACCGCTTCAAACAGACACTGATCATGTTTATTGCCCTCTGATTGCCCTCCAGTGGTCACATTAAAAATCTGCAGCATTACATTCAACCTGTGGCTAACACACATTTATATCAGTATAATCATTATTAATATATAGAATAATTATATATATGTCTGTCACATCATTAATGTGATGTGACAAATAACAGTATTGGAAATAATCATGCACTGAATTACAATTTTCTTTTCTGAGATCAAGTGGCAAGAAAGACATAAAACTGCCTATTCACTTCCTGTTTATACTTTCAAAATAAATGGTGTTGTTTTGGACTAAAATTGGGAAAATGTAGTTAATTACTTAAAAACAAAAGCGTAAACATCATGCAGCATGTGCGGTAGCTAACTGTTAATGTGGGAAAATGTTTGGATTCACTGAATACAGGAATTCATGCTCTTGTTCATTGATTCATTTATAACTGAATGTATGAACAAAAACATGAAAATTAATTAGACTTGTGTACTATACTATATATTGCTACACTATTCCATGTTATACTACATTTAGACGGTATTGCATTAACCTGCTGTAATCAGACATCAGTAAACAAATATTGTCCTTCAGTTGTCACAGTTTGAGACTACAACTTAAACATTTTTTATTGGGAAAATAAAGATATTTATTCTCATTGTCTTTATTGGTTTTGCTGTTAACAGTGGATCATATTAATAATAATTGTAAATAATTTGTTAATTACGGTTTAACTTTAAAATTATTGTTTTGATTATTACTTACTTTCACCCTGAATCGTGAAGAAACACAATTTCAATTGTCTGTGTGCCTTTTACAGGGTAGAATTGACAATAAAGGTGACTTTGACTTTGACTTGGTTTACTGGCACATATGCTATACTTTATAATACTGTACAATATTAATTTAACTACAACACTGTCCATGGGTATTTACCTCTTTGCCTTGTAATTTAGAGTTTCCATTGTTCTATTAGTGTTGTTATTTTATGTACTTGTATTTATTCATTTATTTTTGTTTTCTCTATTAATCTGCACTTATTTCTGTTCTGTTTTACCTTATTTTCTTTTATCATATTTTTCTTATATACTTAACTTATATTGTTGATTGCTGTCATGTTAGTTTACTTTTTTGAGTTGTGTTTTTATTTTTTAGGTTGCGACCGGATGTTGTGCGGTGCTGTCGCGTCAGATGACACGTCCATGACGACAGCGGTCAACAGATCTGCGTTTGACAGATGTTGGTTCGGGACAAACCGCTTCACTCAATGCGGGAGTGTCGGAGGAGGAGAGCCGGTCTGTGCTTGGATTATTCACCGGAGGAGGAGAGAGCTACGCGGACTGAAACATGTCCGGCGACAAGGCGACGAGTCCGTGCAACAAATTCCAAGCCAACATTTTTAATAAAAGTAAATGTCAAAACTGCTTCAAGTCCCGCGAGCTTCATCTGTTGAACGACCATGACATGGAGCAGGTAACGTTAAAAACTACACTTCGTTAATACATTTAAAGAGTTTATAAATTTACGTTTTGAAAAATAAAAGTTCTGACAGCATTTTTAAATGCAGAAAACACCTTTTTGTACCTCATATTCGACGTAGTTTTCTACTTATATTTGTCACTCGCATCCTAAACTGGTCGGCTGTTAGTTTAACGTTAGTTTTCTTCATTTAACGTTAAATAATTAATGGTTTAAAGTCCAAAAAAACCCTCAAAAGTAACGTTAAAATGTTGAATTAATTTAATTTAATTTTCTGCCACTGTTATATTCTGTTTGATCTGTATAGATAATCCATTAATCGTTGCTGGATGAAAACAATCGATTAATCAAGGGACTGTACACAAATTATTAGCAGGAGAAGGAGGGGCTCAAACAAAGCATGGTGGGAAGGGTTGTCAGTAGAGCTGCAATGATTAGTCGATTAGTCAGTCGGAAGAAAATTTATTGACAACTATTTTGCTAATCGATTGATCGTTTCAGTCATTTTTTTAAAGCAAAAATGTGAACAATTAGCTGCTTTCATCTTCTTAAATGGGAGGAACTGCTGCTATTTTTTTGTCGTTTATGATGGTCAATGAAGAGTCTTTTGGTTTTGGACTGTTGGTTGAACAGAAGAAGCAATCTGAAGACTTTGATCTGAATCTGAATTTTTTTTAATGGATCAAGAAGTCTTGTGGTTCACAGTGTGTCATAACGGGACGCTTTGCCATATGCAAAAGGGTTAAAATCTTGTCTGTGTTTCCGGAATTTCTTTTTCCCATCAATATGTTATCTCTACCAAAAGTCATTTTATGATAGCAAAAGGTAAAATAAAGTTAAATATGTTATGTACGTTCAGTCTTTTGTTATTTTTGCCATAAAGTTTGCAATTGGCAACTCCATTTCTAGTTTTGAAATTGATGCCTGTTGTGAAAATAATTTATACCATGAATATATATGAAGGTTTGAATTAGGTCACACCATCTTAAATTATTGACGCTTTCCCTTTTTCGGTTATTAATGTTGGAACGAGTTATACCAACACAGACATATTAGGTCAAGAGAGTTTTTTTTTTCTTTATATTAATAATTCTGGGGAAGATTTTTCAATTTTATAAAACTGAAATATAAGATTGAATCACACCCACTTAACCCTAAAAATATTCATACAGTCCCTTTGCCTGTTTCTGCCTCCCCTAAGTGGCCAAAAAATAGCCTTGCATCCAGCTCACGAAGGAAAAGAAAAATACAGAACGAAGTTAATGAATTGTACAAATAAAGTACATTGCACACATAGAATAATAAAATGCACATACTGATATATCTGAAGTAAAATGCACCTTTGATGCAGTCACTAGACTCCAGACTAGCAAAGTGCATCAATGCTGTATTTTACTGTTGAAGCTAGTGGAGCTAGTTTTAAGTATTTTATATACATTTAGTAGTTAAATTTAAATAATTTCTTTGTATTTTAAGCTAATCATACTGTAGTAATGTTGAAATGTTGTTGAGGAGAAGTGCAAAGGTGCATAAAATGGAAATACTCAAGGAAAGTTTTGCTTAAATACAGTACTTGTAGATTTTGTACTTTCCATAATGCCCGGAGGCGTAGTATTGTCTGCTTTAACTCGCAAGGGAAGCGTGGGGATTAATCACATTCACATTACCAAGGAATCAGTTATGTTGTGTCTTTACTTGAGTGATCATGCTGCCTATGACTGCTGGTTCACCGCCTCTGAAAACATTGTCCCTGCAGGTCTGTCACGTGGAGGTGATGTAAGGAGACGATCATGAAGGCTTCTGAATGCCTCACGTTGTTCAAATATGTTATTACTCCCTGTCCGTCTGCCTGGTTTTACTGCGCCCTGTAATTTCGGCGCTGTTGCTCAACCTGCAAACACTACACATGGTATTGCACAGTCAACCTGTGGTGATGGCGGCCCATGCAGATGCAGCGGCCAGTAGCTCCCTCAAACTTCCTTCCGCTTTGTTTTACTAAAGCACGTGATACTTATCACAGGAAGACACTCATCATTGAGGAATTTAAGTATACCTTGAGATGATCACTGTGCACGGCGTCTCCCGATCACCCAGCCAAATCAGGCTGAAAAGCCAGACTAAACGTCACTGTAATTGATGCGAACGCCTCAGGAAGAGAGTTGGGATGAGAGCTAAGCTAACGACGATTTTAAGCTCGATTTGCCACTCCGACCGTCAGGCTGTCAGGGGTAAATCAGCGATCGATCGGCGGTCGCCAGTCTTTATGTGTGAACAACCAGCCAGATATCTAGCATGCCAATGAAAGCCGGCAGCTGGCAGAGCAGGCAGCTACTTTTTCACTGCAAAACACTTTTTACTCACCTCCAGCTGTCTCTGCAGCTCAGACAATCCCTGCTAACTGTGTGTGCTGATCCATTCTTTCATCTATGTTCTTGACTTTATAATTGCGAGCTTTATTATAACAAACAACAGCTGTGAATGAAATAATAAGATTCAAGCTAGCTCAGCAACGAGATATCATAGACCGCTACGAGTGAATATGAGTAAAGCTGCTGGGCCCGATTACATCTTTGCCCGTGAACTAAAAACATGTGCCAATCAGCTAGTTGATATTATCACTGTCTCTGGAGAGAGTTCCCACCTGCTCCAAGACGGCCACCATTGTTCACGTACCTGAAAAGTTTGCAGTGTCTAGTGTGAATGACTACCGCCTTGTGGCACCCTAACCCTAAGCCCTAACCTCCATTCTGATGAAGTGCTTTTGAGAAACTGGTTCTCCAGAAACATCCCAGTCAGCTTGGACCCTCACCAGTTTGCATTCAGAACGTCTCCGCCGCCCTCCACTCAGTTTTCACACACCTTGAAAATAACAGCACCTACATCAGTATGCAGTTTGTGCCATGAAACCGATCACATGTTGTCACACGAGACGCATTGTAATGCCAGGAGTGAACTGACGCACTTACTGTCCACTTGTGATCGGATCACTGGGTGGTGTTGTAAGTTGGGTGGTGATGGAACAGTGGATAAGACACATTCCTTTGGTTTGATTCCCACTGCGACACATTGCGTCACTGAGCAAGACACGTAACCACTAGTTGTAAATCACCCAAGATGAATGTTGATGCCAGGTATAAACAGGCTCTTAGAGGTTTTTTTGGTGAGGTTTGGTGAACAACTTCGTCGGTGCTCAATCATGTAGACAAGCTCTGTAAAGGCGGTGAAGTTTCTAAATGACCTCAAACTTACATTTCTGGACTTTCTGTTACTACGATATATCTGCTATAAACTAATATCGGCAGATGTTTCAATGTGAGCAATTTATCAGTCTAACTCAATTTCTTCTGTCCATCCACCTGTCCAAAACACAAAGATATTTAATTTACTACAACATAGGACAAAGAAAAACATCGGATCCTCAAATCTGAGAGAAGCAGGACATGTTTGACATTTGCCTAGAAAAATGACTGAAATAATTGACTAATGGTTTTATCTCTATACATTAGTCAGCCTGTGGGTCAACACCCCAGAGACTGAATGCTGAGTTTCCACTTTCTCCCATTATTTACAGGCAAAACCCATCTATGGAGGCTGGCTGTGTTTGGCTCCTGAGGGGACAGATTTTGACAACCCGATGCAGAGGTCAAGGGTAGGACATTGTGAAGCTGAGCTGAAATACACACACACACATTTAGCAGTTCGTTATTGTGCTGCTGTAGTGATTCTGTTTGTTGTGTCTCACTGTCAGAAATGGCAGCGGCGCTTCTTTGTCCTGTATGAACACGGCAGCCTGAGCTTCGCCCTGGATGAACTGGTAAGTAACTGCTCAGATAGTGAAACTACAACACCAATATTCTATTTCAACAAAACATACATAAGGTAGCAGTGTACTGTAAATCCTTATCTGTATATGCATCTGCATTTACAGTATGGTGGGATCAAGCAGGCATGTTTAGGCCAGATGTCGTGTGCAAAACCACAGCAGATGATTTGGGCTTAGCCTGCCCTCTAATGCTCACATCCCCCTCTCTCTGTGATCCCCTCAAATCTCATTCCCTCATCTCTTCCCTTCCACTCTTAGCACTACAATCTATTTCCTGTTTAACAGTCGTTCGTCTTCTTTCTGTTGATCAGTCCTAGCAACACCGATTTCGAACCTCTACCAGAATAATGTTTATGTTCTGATTCTCCTCCAGCCGAGCACATTGCCACAAGGCACGGTGAATATGAATCTGTGCACAGAAATCACTGATGCAGAGCCCAGGACCAGCCAGAAAAATGCACTCTGCATCGTCACGCCGGAGCTGGAGATATTTATTCGTGGTGACAATAAAGAGATCATAAATGGGTCAGTTAAAAAACTGTAGAAACATTACAGGAGCAGTTGAGTAATAACGTTTCCTCTATACCACCTAACTAATGTCTCGTCTGTGCTGTTTCTGTCTTTGTTTACTAGGTGGAGTGAACAGCTTGCGGTCTACCTGAGAACAAACAAGCAGAATCAGAAGAAAAAACGCAAAGTGGAGCCTGTTGCCACCCAGGTAGCAAAACAAATGTCCATCTACTGCTTCATGACACATTTAAACGCACTTGGTCCAGTGAAAGATTACTCAACTACTCGTCTGATTGCCATGAAATCCAGTATAGATATTCATGGTCCTCAAAGGATGAATCCTGATGTTTTTGGCGACCCCTCCTGATGTTTCATCTTGGATCAGTCGAAGACCAAATTCCCCACTTGTACACAAATAAGACTCTAGAACCACGCTTGCAGCTCTGTGGGGCTGTACTTAGATACAGTGCAAGGCTAACAGGCTCACTGTGACAACGTTACCATGCTGAGGTTTATCAGATATAATGTTGACCATTTTCACCATCTTAGTTTAGCGTGTCAGCATGCTAATGTTCGCTAATTAGCGCTAAACATAAAAATGACAGCATGGCTATCAACAGGGTTTAAAAATGGTTATTTATCAAGCAGCAATCCCTAATGTTTGCCAGTTCCCGACATTTCAATATGAGGATTTTCTGCTTGTAAATTTAATTAGGGCTTATTTTTTACTATTGACCAGTCTTCACATTATTTCCTTAATTGATTAAACTTTTAGTCAAAAGAAAGTTTGAAAATATAGAAAAATGCCTATCATTATTTTCTAAAGCCCCAGTTAATGTTGTCAAAAAAAGGTTAAGCGTATCCTCAAAAATGAGGAGCTGGAACAAGGGAATATTTGTAATTTTTGCTTGAAAAGTGACTTAAACCTTTATCAAAATAGTTGCTGATTATTTTTCTGTTGTTCAACTAACTGGGTATTCGACCATTTTTTAATAAACTAAACAAATAATCGGTCAATTAAAAAAATAGTAAAGATACTTCACCTATGAAGACATATTGTATATTAATACAACTGTGATATATTTTATCATTCAGTATCTGTTTATATACCAGCATCCAGTTATTGTTTCACAGGAGGAGTTAGACTATAGTTGTTATATGTTAATAAACACTTATATATGCTTACAACAACATTGTTGTGTGTTATAAACTATTAATTAAATGTTTATATGCTGTTTATAAATGCTAAATATGGAGAAGCAAAGTAAAGATTAATAAATAGAAATTAATAATCTTTTTGTTTTTCTAACAAAACATTAGGAACCCAGTCCAGCAAAGATGGCTGCAACTGATCCAAGTTTTCTGTCCTCGGAGAACGCTGCAGAGTCCGGCTGCAGTCGGTGGCAGGAAGACCAGCAGGGCAGGGGACCGGGTGTAACCCCCATGTGGACTGTCGCAGACGCAGATCCCCCCGGCCTAAACCCGACCCCTGCAGGTGCAGCAGAAGCAAAACACACACATACTCAGGCTTTCATGTCCGTCAGCCAATCACAGCCACTTCCTGTCCTCTCTCACTGTCCTAACGTCCTGCAGATGTTCACACACTTACAGCTTTTTTATTTATACATTTCATTTAACCCTTGTTTAACCAGGCATGTTTGGCCTAGTACTGATCTGTGATCATGGGAACCAGAGCTGGAGGAGTTTTGGCAGGAAGCAGTCACATAAACAGAACAGACAGAAACATACTGTGAGATGTGCAGGAAAACTCGTGTCTATAACCTCCAGGCATCATAAAAGCCAAACATGATCCATAAAAGGCCTCTTAAACAAGTCCTAATAGGCTTGGTGATTAGCACAGGACAGGTATACCTCCTTACTGGAGCTTTGTGACTGTGACAAAGTGGACAGCAGCACCTATCTGGCGTCAGACTTATTGCAGGGTCTGGAAAGCTCCTGTAATAAAGGCCTGGATTAAGTCCAGCTGACTGTTTCTATAGGCTGCTGCATTACAGCGATGGAGGTTATACACAAAGGACCCTCTGAGAGCCAGTGAATGATGCTCTGTCAAGGTTCCCTCTTGTCCTTGAATTCCTGGACCATCATTGAATTCTTTAAGGTGTTTTCCAGACAGGTAATACTGATCAGTTCTCTGAGGAAGTCAATATCTTAGAAAGGGGTTATGGTACATGTATTTTTCCACTTTATTTCAGACATCAACTGCATTTAATGTTTTTTTTTTTTGTTTGTTTTTAGACAAGCAACGTTCAAATATAAATTTTTTCATGGAAACTCATGAAAAGGTATTATACGTCCGCGGCTGGTAACTTAAACATCCTAAGATTTCTCATAAAATTACACTAAGCAATATTTTTGATATTAACAATGGATTGACTGTGTTTAATGTGAAGAGGGTCACTCGCAGTGACAAACCCACGAATAATCATCACCCAACTCTGCAGCATTACAGTACATTTTAGCTTCTTTCAGCTCATTGTTTTGGTTTTAAATTAACAACAACAATCTCGCCTCCAGCAAATGCAGGCAGCTGTTTTCAGTGTAAAAGCTCTGATAAGTCCACTGTACTCTACCTGCCCAGCACCAAATGGCAGACAGGCAAAGTTAACAACTAGCGGGTAAACATAGTACGTTTATTTGTGTGTGAGTGAAAACTAAACAAATTTATTTAATATTCATATCAAACTGGTTAGTGTTTCTGTCATTGTTACCTTATATATTATATTGAACTACTTCAAAACATAAAGAGAATTTCCTAAACTGTATATCATTGAGTAAAAAGAGGGAAAACTAAGGAGGTTTTTGCCTCATGCCGCAGTATGAACCCTGACTGTGTGACCAGCTGTTTGTAAAGACACATTGGATCTGAAATGCCTTTCTAGTAAAGTGACACCAAACTGTGTTCCTGCCCTCAGTGTATCTGACAGTCTGAACCCATTATGTGTTGCTTTCCATATCCAGGCAACACACCTACCTACCTGTGCCCGGTCTCCAGGGACTCTCTGACCTTGGATGGCGCTGGCAGTTTCATCAGCCCAGTTGGCTCCTTGGACTTGGTGGCCAGTGGAAACACCGACCCCGGCAGTAACAACCAGCTGGCTGAGTCAAACAACATCCAAACATCCGCAAACAACAAGAACCAGAGCCAGGACAGAAGGTTAGAAATGAATCGGGTGAAGATTAGCAAGTTACAGCCAATTGTGATGATAACATATAAATAGCTCTTCTGTACGTTTGGCAGCAATCTGGTGTTTATTTTCTTATGTATATTTGTATGTAGTCTGTGAGTAACAGCCATTTAAAGTGCCTTGGCAGAGGAAAAGGGGTAAATGTGCAAGCAATTAGTACAAAGGACATCCAATGCCTCTCTGCTCCCCCCCAAGTATAAAACTGAACAGCCATCACACACCGCTAAACACCAGATCAAAGGCTCACGCTCTACCCCTCCATTAGAGATCTGACTGCCGCATTTTTAAATTTAGCTTAAAGAAACCCTCCCAGTTTGTGCCCCAGCAGCATGTAAACCGGTCACGTGAGGAGAGTGCATCTCGTTTCTTCACTCATTGCCTTTTTGGGAAACAAAAACACAAAATACTTATGTCCCCCAAATAAGGTCAAGAAATTCCAAAACGCTGGTGTAATATCTGCAGCATTGTTTCTCAGGACCTTAATGCTGACTGTCTGCCCGCCTGTCAGAGGAAGCAGACTTCAGCTTTAAGCTCAGTTTCAGGACACAAGGCCGTCTGCCCCCACCAGAGGCTGAACGGGCACATTAGGCTCAATTAAAAGTTAGTTTATAATGTACTGGAAGTTAGAAAGCAACTTAGTAAAACAGTAACTGTTGGCCTTGACCAAAAAAACAGAAGGACAGAGTTCAACATACTGTGTTATATATTCTGGAGACAGGGTTTTAAAGGTTATTGTTATTTGATTTTATTGCTACATTAATGTCTTTTTAGGAAAAAAGCTTACAAATATGCTAGCAAGAACAACTCAACCTAGCTAACAAAACAACCGCCTAAATAATATATAATTACTTTAAATTTGTTATTTTAACTGAACTGAATCATTAATCTTTTATTTGATGGTACAATTACACTTACATTTTGCTTGCATATTTTAATTTAGATATGATATAAATTAGTTGAAGCTTATAATTGCTCTGGAAATGGTGGTCGATTGGTCCAAACTGGAATATCTCAACTACTGGTGGACATTTTGGACAGACATCCATTGTCCCCGGAGACATAATCCTACTGACTTTGGTGATTTGTTGGCTTTCCTCTACCAAGAGGTTGACTTTTGTTTGTCTGGACAACTGTTAGATGCATTGCCAGTAAATTTGGGACAGACATTCATGTTCCCCTCAGGGTGAATTGTCGTAACTTTGGTGAGCTTTTGAGTTTTCATCTAGCGCCACCATCAGGTCAAACTTTGAGTTTGTCAGAAACTTTAGTTTACGACTAAATACCTGCAAAACTAATGTCATTCCAAAGCTTCGGCTCTACTTTGTGTTTACTGATAATTAGTAAATGTTAGCATGCTAACACGCAAACATTAGACCTGCTAAACATCACCATGTTAGCATATTGACATTAGCATTTAGCTCAAAGCACTGCTATGCACAAGTATAGCCACACAGCGCTTCTAGCATGGCTGTAGACTTGTTGTCTTGAATTTACTATCAGTTAATCTACTCATTATTTTTCAAATGAAAGGATCAATCATTTACTCAATTAAATATAAAAAAACAATGATCAGAAATGCCAATCATAAGTTGAAAGTGCAGATGCAGTTTATATCTGTTTCCATGTTGTAATGCTTATCGAATTAAAACCAATCAACATAGAAACCCCCCTTAATGTAGAATAATGTAAATGCAATGTGTCACTGTGCTCTTTGGCATCAACTTCCTTTCAGCACACACACACACAAGCAGATATTGATTGATCCTAAACCCGAGTTTAAACCGAAAACATTGTTTTTCATCATCTGACAGTCGTGTTTACATTATTTCAGGTTACTGATATGTATTTGGCCCGTGTAATTCCTGCACTCCTTCTACACTAAACACCTCTGACAGCAGTGGGAAGGATGTCAGCTCCTATTTAGTCTCTCAACAGCAACAATAGCAGCGGTGACACTCTGAGAAAGACCTGCACTGAGTGTCCTCTGGGCTCTTTTTCTGCCGCACAGGTGCAATTTGGAGTCTATTATCATGCTGTCATCCTCGGTGTTCTGCTGGAGGTCATTATTTCAGAACCCACCAGTGTGTTAGCGAGGTCTGGGAAGCCACAGTGTGTATGTCCCAGGTAAAGTTTTTCACTAATTAGTTGTTCATGTTTTCCAGCCGTGGCAGACCAACAGAGAGGCTGCTGGGACTCGAGGCCACCGAGAAAGAGAAGAAATTTGGAGCAACCACATCCAGGAAGGGCAGGAATGATGCTCGCACCAACAAGCGAGAGGTAACCACATCAAGTACACGTTTTATGCTACTGTATACCACTGGACGACAGTCTCCCAGTCCTCCTTAGACATTCCCAGGCTGTCATCACTGTCTTATTCATATATCTGTTTTTATATAATCCAACAGCATTTTAAATCGGATGTTTAGCTTAAAGGGTAACTTTCTTTTTGTTATACAACGAGGAACCTTTCCTGTTCAAAAGTTAGTTTTGAGCCCTAAATGTCCTCAGTCACCATCATTTTATGTAAATGTTAACACGTTTCTCCTAAATGGGCGCAATTCTAAACTAACAATTTACAGCATGTTACTGTCTAAGACTGTATATTAGATTGTGGAATAATGGATTATACATTTCCTTGTTTTGATATCGGCCTTATATATCGGCCATCGGCCACCTGGCTCTCTAAATATCGGCATTAACCATTGGAAAACCCATATGGTTGACCATTAATCCCATTCTATGAATCTAGTTGCTTATTGGGCGCATAAGCTGAAAAGCTGTTTGTTCTGATACTAAAGAATCGTTTGGTCTTTTTTTTACAGCCGCTCCTTTTCTACGTGGGAAAAAGGCTTTTTGGGCCAGTGCAGTCACAGTAGTTAGTGTCTTATTTGGACAATTGGTAATTCCTCCAAAATGCTCTGGGTTTGTCGTGGGGTCTCCTCCCAGTTGGACTTGCCCAGAATACCTTCAGAGTTAGTCATGCAGTAAGCGTGTTTTATTTAACAACATACAGTAATAACTTTCAAATCACCAAAGCAACATGTTGTACAATTTCTGCAAGTTTCTACATGTTTCCTAATTTCACCGTTTTAGGCGGTTCATTCAGTGCATTTGTTCAAAGAACAGTTTGTCAGTTTGATAAATATGCTTATTTGCTTTCTTGTGAATTAGATGACAAGATTGATATTACTCCCACGTTTGTGCGGTATATATGAAGCTGCAGCCAGTCAGCTTAGCTTAGCACAAACAGAGTGGAACTGCTGGCCTGGCTCTGTCCAAAAGTAACAAGATCCACCTTCAGCACTTCTAAAGCTTATAAAAAAGTGTTCGGATACCATGATTTAATCACTTCTTCCATCTTGAGAAGCGTATAATTCTGTATTTTTTGACAAGAAGGTTGTTTTTAAAGCGTTCTCCTATATCTTGTGACCTTCCGAGAGGCTACGAAATGTGATTCTTTTCATATACTGTGTCAGATATAAATAATCCTATTTAAAGATTTTTTTATATCCGCTGCAAGCACCTTCAATCCCAAATTATGTACGTGGACACCACACAGTTGGAGCACAGCTCTGGCTTTTCATTAATCTTTTATTTGAATTAACAAAACGAGGCAAATGGAAGGAAAATAAAGGGCGAACCAAACAACATAAGACACACAAAAGGTAATCTAAATTAAATTGTTCTGTAATAACTGACTGGCAGACTTGCTCGCAGGTAAAGGAGACCGAGTTAGTGTGAATGAAGTACTTATGTTTCGATCGGCGTGCCACTAAGATGAAGCGGTACCTAACATGCCGTTGTTGTGAGGAAACACGTCACGTTATTTGAAAAGAACCCTGCCTTTTTCAAACAGACAAACACAAATATCCCTTGTGAAATTTCTGTTATTTTTGTAACTTTGGTACTAAATAGTCCATTTTTGTTGGATGCTATCACATTTAGGAGGAACATGATAAGAAAATTTGTTTTCAGGGCCTTTAACAGGAAAATCAAACCATTAAAAACCCATTTCCTGACTGTGGTTGTTTGCTACCATATGATGGTAATAACCATAAATAGGTAACGCTGATTAATCTCAATGTGGGTTGGTAATTATTAAGACCAGAGAATGTGTCCAGATGTATTCAGCCTGTACTGGGCCGGGCTGAACGTGACTCACACACAACCAGGTGTTAGTCAGAGAGAGAGGTCACTGTAACGATAACTGTGTAATCTGATCTAACACCGTAGACGGCTGTCTATCAGTCAGCCAGTGTGTTTAAACACAAGACAGATGCTGGTTTATTCAAGTACCGTAGTGGCCCACATCTGATTGAGCACAGGGCAGAAGGTGATGAGAGGTTGGCACGAAGCGTGTGGACGAGTCAATCTTGCCGTGTCAAGGCATGTGTTTCTTCCGGCATGTGTTTGAGAGGCTGCGTGTGTCAGCAGGTGGGAGAGAGGCGGTGATTCATTCAGCGCTGCATTTTGTTTGTGAACAGAACTGGTTTTGATGCCCTGAAGGCGTTCAGGCCGCCTCCTGTTGTGTGCTGTAATCTGGGAGAAGACATTCCTCCTACGGACTTTTTCCAGTGATTCCTCAGAACTAAAACAAGATACAGTGTAATGTCGGGAACTGTGACTCTCAAGGACTCTATCAAAACTCTGCTGACAAACTGCAGAATCAGATCACGGCCCCATTTCCTGAACTTGATAAACTCTGGGGATGCTCAGACAGTAGTGCCTCCATTTCACAAGTGCACATCTGTTTGTGAATGATAGTCACTCTGTGATTAAGGAGGTGAGTAGACCTCAACAACCAGTTACTCCAGTAAATCTTATTTTTTAAGATATTCTGTATCACGAAACAAGATGAGTGGATTAATCAGCTGTCTATGGGCTTAACTCGGGTTTTCTGATGCCACAAAGCTGGTTCACTTTTTAGCTGGTCTTCAGAGCAGAGAGGTATTTCATGAAGGTGGCTCAGAAAAGCCGAGTCAGGATTAACCAGTTTCATAAAGCCAACTCAGCACCCGATGTGGTCACACTGAGTCAAACCTGGCTTGTTTCATGACTTCATGAGATCTGAAACATCAAATGCTGATAACATCAATTCATAGTGAAGAAAACAGACACAGCGCAGCACATATTAAACACACTGTATCATACGGTAAAACAAAATCACTGCCATAGACAAAGCAAAAGAGACAATCTGTAGTAGAGATGATCTCCTCAGGTAGCTCAGTTTGTTGCTGCTCGCTGCTTGTAATCATGACATAGTTGTAAAAACATATTTTAGTACTTTATCATTCAAATCTATTTTATATTTGTTAGTATTATGTTTATTGTCACTTATCACTTTATTCTATGCTATCCACTGCTGCTGTAATGTCTGAAATACGTCTAAACAACCCATCAAATAGGACCCCTGCCCTTATTTTATAACAAGATAAGAAGATAATTGTGTTACTTGGTTTTGTACATATGTTAAAAAAAATACTGGTTAAATACCTTCAGATTGTCTGTCTGTGTCATTAATTAATCGATTTCATTGTGTGTTTAATTTTATTTAGTGACATTTAAAGAGAGAACAAATAATGAAAATGGTTCTTTACAACGAGGCTGCAGCCTGTTTATGACTATGCGGCGCGTTTAAAAACACGTACAGTGTGTTGTTGTGATGTTTCAGAATGAAAAAGATGTGATGCTTCAGATTGTAATTATGCAATTAAGTGCATCCCATGTCAACATGTGACCCAAATGTTAAATGCACTGCAAACAGAACAGATGTTGCAGCAGTAAAGAGGAACCTTTGGAAAGCAAACACTGTGTTTTTCAGTCTGTCAGAGTCGGACAAAGCCTGGTTAAACTGGTAAGACGCCCCTCAGCTGCATGAAACCCAAAGAAAGCCCGACTAAGCTGAACTTTGTGCTGCAGGACCCTGAGATAGACTTCATCTCTAGCAGAGTTACAGCTCGCTGATGACCTAAATCAAGATGCCAAAAGTTCTCTTGTGCATTGTGATTGTGTTTTTGCCTAAAAATATTTAATTCTCAATATTATGTGTTTCATATCTGCTGCTCGGGGGCCACGAACACAACAGTTTTGTCTTTACATGTCTGTTTTCTTTCTCTGTGAAATGAAGTCATCTGCGCTTGATGTTTCAGGTCTGTTCACATCAGCTCTGAGTCACGAAACACTTTAATCCTGGTTTAGTTTGTTAGGTTCAACACTGAATGAGCCACCTTAATGAAACCTCCCTCAGTGGCCAGAGCTGATTTAGGAAATGTAAAAGTATGATCACAGTATATTTATTAGGACAGGGCAACGCAGATGGTCGCCACTGTGGCAGCTGTTAATCTTTGATTAAACAGTCCGGCTCATTCCAGAGGATTTGCCCGTTAAATATGCCAGCGGCACATTTTACCCCACGTGATGATTTATGTGTCTTTGGGTGTGTTTGTTTTGGTAGCCAGGAGAAGGTCAAAAGAGCCTGTCCGGAGTTCATTCAGGCCTCAGAGCTGAGATTCCCCGGACAGCCCACCCCCCCACAGCTTTGGGGAGGCTTCTTCACAAAACAGAGGACAGGCTCTGTCTGCAGCGGTCAGCAATTGTTTGGGAAGAAAAAAAACGATCAGTTCACACTGCAGGCAGAGCGCTGTGTTCCTCCATGTGTCCTTGGATAGTTTTCAATGTAAATGCCAGAAAAGAAAAACACAAAGAATGTTCTGTAACGATTAAAGTGGTATTTTATTTCCTGTTAAAGTGGTTATATAAGAAGGAAGAATGACTCTTTTGAATAGCAGAGGCTCAAGAAAACAAAACAAATGCACCCTCACACTCATTAAATGCTGTGTAATCCAGACTTGAAAGAAACTCTGAAACGTGCTGTGGAGGCAGCTTCATTAGCCAGCATGAAACCTGATCAGAAGAAGCATGCAGGAATCTCTCTCTCTCTGTCTCTCTTTTTTTAGGACTTGTAGCATCATTTTGAAATGTGAGACAAAAAGCCACAGAGTATCAGGTATTATGCAGCGTCTAAAACCTCTTCATTCATTCCACGGACAAATGCAGTCATCCGTGTGCAGCTGAGTGCTGATGTGAGTAAGAGTTTAACAGGCCGTGTAGAAAAGCCTGTTGGGTTCCCCGCGGTGCTCTACAGCAGGCCTAATCCTTACAGCTGACATCTCTGCCAAGGATCCAGACGATCGGTTACTCTGGTCGATGGAATTCAGGCAGCACAAACTGCCACCGTCCTAATTGAGAAAACACGTCACGTCTTCACATCAGCGAACGCTTACGTCTCATTGTTATAATTTCAGTGTATTCACACTCATTTTACAGAAACTCCAGTCGTGTGGAGACATCGCCCAGCTGACCGCACCCCCACCTCAGAGAAGATCCAGGTCTCTGGACCGCCGGGCGTCAGACACCGTCATGACGGTGAGTTGTTTGAGTCTGTAAATCAAAGCTGCATCATTAAAAGGCAGTGAGAGGAAACCCTCTGAACTACAGTGTAGATTGAAAGTATTACAGCATCAATTGCGGCCCCTAGAGGCTTCACAGCGCCTTACACCACATGTGGATCTCAGTATTTTAGAGTACTGACCAAAGTGCGCCCATACCAGTCGTGGTTGAAGTATTCAGATCCTTTACTTGTAGTAAAAGTATGCCACACTAAAAGTACTAAAATAAGTCCTGCTTTACTGAAGTAAAAGTATGTCAGTATAATGTACTGGAAAATGTACTTTGGGAAACAAAAGTAAAAGTACTCAGTGCAGCAAAATGTCTCCTGTGACTTTTTATACTATTATATTTTATATCATTAGATTATTTTTACTCATACATTGACGTAAAAGCAGGTTTTTACTGCTGTAGTTGTTGAGGTGGAGCCTCAATGATTATTTTCATTGATTGCTTGGTTTGTAAAAATTCTGAAAATAGTGAAGCCAACCAAAAATCCAAACCTTAAAATTATTAAAAATAAATTCAAATAATTAAATGGGAAAGCAGCAAATCTTCACATTTGAGAAGGTGAACCATGAAATGTTTATATGGGAAAAACTACTTAAAGATGATGAAAATAGTTGTCAGTTAAATTTCTTTAAAAAAACTTCCAAATACATGTAGTGAAGTACAATATTTACCTCTGAGATGTGGGGAAGTATAAGTATTAAGTGGCATTGAATGCAAATACTCAAATAAGTATAAGTACCTTAAAATTGTACATAAGTAAATTACTTGAATAAATTTACTGAAAGAATATAAATGTCTCACATATTAACTACTACTTTGATAGATAATAAATTACATCACTCATAACAAATGTAATATAGAAAAAACAACAAAGCAAAGCTAGACATCAAAAAACAGTCATCACTTTGTTCCCATTTATAACTCCGAACACAGTTCAGTTTCATTAGGCAAGATGAGCCACTTAAATCCAAAGTTACACAAATCAAATTATTGATTTACACACAAGTGTGGTGATTATTATTATTATTATTATTGTACTTGTTAATGGCAAAAATATTATGTCTTCTTTACAGCCAGATTTATTAAACTTCAAAAAAGGCTGGATGGTCAAACTGAATGAAAATGAGCAGGTAAACAAATTTTTTTAGTCCTAAACTGAAGTTATGTTCTTGATTTACATGATTTTATACTTTGGATTTAGTTGAACAACCTCTTGCCCGTTGAACATCTCATTTGTTTTTTGCCACCATCTAGTGGAAGAAATATTGGTTTGTGCTGTCGACTGACAGTCTGAGGTACTACACGGACTCAATAGCTGAGGAGGTACTGTGATAGTATTTTTTTAATTAGAATACATATAAGTTTGTGTTTCTTTGAAGAAGTTTAAATTCATTTTGCTTTCTGCCACCAGGCTTCAGATCTTAAAGGAGAAATCGACCTGACAAAGTGTTACAACGTGTCAGAGTACCAGGTGCAGAGGAACTACGGCTTTCAGATCCATGTAAGAAAACTGTTCTGACACTAAACAAGCACTAACTTTATCTTCTGTATGAACAAGAAGTTAAACCTTTTTATGTCACAGACCCTGAAGGGCGTCTACACATTATCGGCCATGACTTCAGGTATACGCAAGAACTGGATCCAGGCTCTGATGAAAAATGTACATCCAGCTAACGCCCCCGATGTAGCCAGGTACACTCAAATTCAAATACTCCTGTGGGATGGCGTCATGATAAAATGTAAAATCAGTTTTACATTTGTAATCTGGGGGGTAATTTAAAGCCAACATTCAGTCTTAGATATGAGTTTAAGGAAGTGGTTCTCAAACGTTTTCTGTCATGCCCCTCATCACAAGCTGAAAAAGGTTCATGCCCCTCCCGCCACACATAAATGGATTTAATTCTTATCAATCATTAACAATATTGAGGGAGCAACAAATAAAAAAGAAGCCAAGTGGAAGTTTTGTTTATTTCCCTAAATAAAGTATTTTCATTTAACACAGTACTTGTGTTAATGCACTTTCCACCAAATTTCATGATCAACTGTCAAGTTATTTATCACATTAACAAAATAATGATAGCTAAATATCTTTTTGCTGTGCTTGTTGACATAACTAGTTTTTGCAATAAACTGTATTCAGGTATTCGGGTTTAAAATCGTGATGTCTCTACATCAGGGCTGCAACCAATCAGTTATTTTTACAATCAATGGTTTAGTGTATAAAATATTGGAGAGAATAATATTAAATGAACATAACAACCTCTCAGAGCACAAGCTGAAATAACATGTTTTGTCTTACATACAGTCTGAAATCCAAAGATATTTAATTCACTGTGATATAAAACTGAGAAAATCAGAAATTCATATGTTGAAAACAAGAAACCGTGAAAGTTTAGCTATTTTCTTAAAAAGAAATGACGATTATTGATGTTGAATGATACTACAATCAGTCGACTAATTGTTCCCTACTCTACTGTGGTATTTTCCTCTCCTCCGTCCAAACATGTTACGTACAGTTTACCTGGCCACCTCGGCCCCTGCAGTCCACCTGAAGCTCTGCCCAAACCAGATGTGACTCAGGACTCTCCCAGTGCTGACGTCTTTACAGAGAGAGACCCTCAACCCAAACACAGCAGTGTGAGGGACAAACGGCGGGAAGGACGCTACAAAACCTTCGACTGGGCTGAGTTCAGGCCTCAGAACAAGCCGACTCTGGACGCAGAGCCTCAGAGGATTAAACATCTGTGCTCACTGGACTTGGGTGACCTGGAGAGGAGGAAGAGGCGGGAGGAGAGGAGGAGGCGGTATGAGAGCGTGCTGGGACTCTCCCTGGGTTGGGAGGTGACTGGAGATAAAACAGCAGATGGCCGTGTCAGAGCACTGAGTCCAAAATCACAGCAGAAAGTGGAGGAAGAGATCGAAGAGTGCTGGAAGCAGGTAGAGAAGACCGTCTTCAGATCGGTGAGGACCGTCCCGCTGTTTACAGAGGACAAAGACTCTGTTAAGATGGAGAAGCTGCTGGACAGCTACAGGACCGGGGTGAGTCCTGGCTTCAGTTCATACCAATATAATGTAAACTTAATATATAGATAAGTGGCCACACATTTAAATTAGTGCATCTTTAAATTGTACTATATTATTGCCAAAACTATCATATTTAGCGTGGTAGCATCTGCTGTCTCTGCTGTATCGTCAGGGCTCTTGATGATCTTGTTGACTAACTGGATAGAAGAGCATGATTTTTAATTTTTTTTGAGCCCTTTATCAAAATCATTATTGTAGCTACAGACCGAGGCTTTCATAGATTAAGCGGTTGTCTTTTGAAGGTGGAGGATCTGAAGGCCCAGCTGGCAGAGTCAGAGCATCGCAGACTGGAGCTGGAGGCTCAGCTGAGTACAGCAGGATATTATCAGCAGCAGGTCTGCCAGGTTTTGGTCATTACCTACTAGCTTTTGATATTCTTCTATGTTACAATCATGCTGTGATAAATTTTGATTATTTCATTCAGTCTTTGTGCTTTAACAGACGGTAAGCTAATCCTTCTTTCCTCCCCCGTTTTCTCTGTTGTCTTTTCTAAAGCTGGACCCTTCACCAATTTCTGAAGCAGATTTTTGCCCATCGGACACGAATGATAAGCCATTAAACCACACGCAAACCCTGAAAGATACATACAAAGAAACCAGAGAGCTCTTACAGCAGCATGACATAATCAGACAGGGCATGCAGGAGCAGCTCAGCATTTCACCGTCTTCATTAACGCCTCAGACTCCCAGCATCTGGCTGCATGACACAGAGGGCATTTTCCAAGAGCTTGGGGATTTGCTTACTGACACAGTAGCCACACCTTTATTATCCCCTGAATCAGACAGCCAAGACTTACTTTCTGATGGAGAAACTATAGAGCTACAATTGGACGTTGCAACAACCAACCACCAGAACCAGCTGGACAGAGAAGACCGTCAGCAGGTTTCCAGCTCAGAAACTAAAATAAATAACGGCGTATATAGTTCATTAATTCTGGAGGAGCCAACAGGGGGAGGTGACGAATCTCTGAACGGCTGCGTAGAGCACCATATACCTCCGGACGAGGCCATGCTGAGGAGGCTTTCCCAAGAGGTGGAGCTGCTAACCAGCCAGAACGAGGCTCTCAACCAGCGCAACCAGGAGATGCTAAACCAACTGACCGAGGCAGACCGCGAGATAGAGAGACTGAAAGCAGAGCTCAACAGCAGGTACACTGAACCCCATCACCTCCCTGAAGTGGAACAGCTGGGACAAACAAGGGTAGACGGTGTGAAGGGGGAGCTGAGCTTGAGAAACCAGCAGCTCCTGGAGGCCAGGGCCACGATCGCCTCCCTGGAGGAGAATCTGAGGGAGGCAGAGGCGCTGCTGCAGCTGAAGGTCCCAGCAGAAACAGAAGAAACAGGACAGGAGAAACGCGAGAGTGCTAAGGAAGCGGAAGGACACCTGTGTTTGGAGGCTGCCGAGGCCAAGCTGACGGAGCTGGAGAAGCAGGTTGACCAATCAGAGCTGGCCTGCAGGGAGCTCCAGACGCAGAACGCAGAGCTGAAGGAAGCTGAGAAACTTTACCTTCAAGCGGCTGCAGAGGCGGAGGCCGACATCAGGAGGCTGAACCAAGAGTTGGAGGAGGAGAGGTTGAAAGATGGAGATAGCAACAGATGTGTTTCTGGTGAAGAAAGGACCAAGCAAGTGGTAGAGGGGATGGTCATGAGGTTGAACGCTTTGGGGAAAATACTGGAGGTGATTGAGAAGTTGGATGTTAGTTTGAGAAGAGAAGGGAATGAGCCTGCAGTGGTGAGTCAGCTGAAGTGGGAGGAGGAGTTTTGGAGTTTGCTGCTGAACAAACTGAAGCCCTCCCAGTTTAGTGAGGAGAAACCTGTCGAAGTGCTTGTTAGTGAGGTGACAGAACGTATGATAGTGGAGAAACAATTGCTGCTTTTAGGGCATGGTCTGCTTTCTGAGACAGGTTCATGCACAGATGAAGGGAGGGAAGGTTTGAAAGATCTTGATATTTGGAATATTGCAAGTGAGACGGAAACCAAAAAGGTAGATGAAAGCAGGATGTTTGAGTTTAATGAGCAGCTGTGTGAGATGGAACATTTTAGAGTCGCCACACAGATGAAAATTGCTTTCCTAAACCACCTCGCCTCCTCTACCGACAAATCTGCACATGAAAAACTCCAGCTGATGGCTGACAGACTCTCCGGCTCTCACTTTTCGGAGCACCCCATGACTGATTTCATCCACTCTGCAGCAACTGAAGCGTTGTACTGCTGTCGTTTAAGCCGGCTTCAGTCAAAATATGAGAGGGAGCTCGAAGAAGCCAAACAGAAACGGCGCTCTTCTTCTCTCATCTGCAGCAAATGTGTCGACCTGACGGAGGAAAACGTGGAGTTGAGAGAAAGATTGTCAAACCTAGAAGAACAACAGTTGTCATCACTGGGCAATAAGATGAGCATGTGTTGCCAGACAGAAGAGATTTACCCACAAGGCAAAGATGTTGAGGTACAGGTACCAGATGAAAGTACATTGGATGGAATTGAGGAAGAAAATGTACAACAGACACCTGAAGCACCACAGGACGAGATGGTTGGGTCCCTTGAGCTCGACTGCATGGAAATCCCACTTTCATGTGTTGATGGTCAGCTGGGAATCCCAGAGATGACAGGAGAAAACACAGAAGGTAGTGATGCAACGCACGAGGAAACAGATCTGAGCTCAGAGGTGAAGCAAGTTTTAGAGCTGAGGAGAAGAGTGAAGGAGCTAGAGGAGCAGCTGTCTGTCATGGAGGAGGAGATGAAAGAAGAGTCTGACGGGAACATTAGTTCTGTTCAGGCGCAACATGAGAAGGAGATGGAAAAGCTGAAGGTAGGTGGTGCCGGTTTCCATAGCCTGTGTTTTAAGATTGAAGCTGCCCACAGTTAAAACTTATTTAAAGACAATTTCGTCTGTACATTTGACCATCTTCCTGACAGACAACATTCATAAATTAAGGTTTTTACACATTAAAGTCTGTTTTAAAAGTGAAAGGTGTATAAAGCTTTTAGTGGCTCCAGAGGGACCTGTCTGAAGTCTGATAGATGTCCTCAAGTGATGTCACTTGAGTCAGCGCCGGTTGAAGAGTTTGAAAATGAAAAAAATCTAGGGGGGGGTTTGGATTTAGAAAAACGTGAGCTTACCAGACCTGTAGCTCCTCATCCCGGCTCGCTGCTCAACGCTGCATTAGCGTAACATAACACAAAACGGGCGAGTTCAGCGCCAACAAAACATAGCAAAACGTTTTTTTTTCAACGGAAATCGTGGTTCCCTGAATACCCTGTTGTGTACGCAAGAGCACTGCATTTCCCGCTGATTGGGTAACACCTGTGACACGCCCACCAAACAGAAGAAAACATGCCTCGAAACCCGTTGCAGAATGTTGTAGAACGTTGCAGGGAAACATGTCGTTCAATCCGAAAATGTGGCAAACCCGTGCAAAACGTTTTGAGATTGAACTCGCTCCAGAATCTTATGTTATTATCCAGATGCTTCCTTTAACTGTAAAATAATTTACTAAACTTAAGACATTTTTTATATCATTGGTCAAATGTTAAAAGAGGAAATTATGGAGGTTTTGTGTCGCTGGCTTATCATTACATAGTACATTTTCTGGCAAATACATTGAGAAACTTCTTCTTTGTCACATTGATTAAAAATCCAGAATTGCCATAAAGCAGTCCTGCTTATTGATTTGCAGAATTTCCCACAATAGGCTAATGAATTATCAGATATTAAAGAAATAGCTACCACAGTAATATAGTGATACATAGTAATGAAAAATATATGATTGTCATTTCACCCACGACTACTTTAAAATGTTATTTTTAGTAAATTTGGAACAAACACTGAACTCTTAAATCCATTGGACTCATGTGAATGTCTCTTGTTCTTTTAAGGCCACGTGTGAGCGCGGCTTTGCTTCCATGGAGGCGTCTCATCTGAAGGTCGTAGAGGAACTACAGCGTTGTCACCAGCAGGAAGTGGAGCGCCTCCTGGTGGAGAGAGACAGACTGCTGGAGGAGGAGAGCGCTGCTACTGCAACTGGTGAGGAAAGATTCTCATTGCCCGTGTCTGCAACATATTTTCTTCTCTGCTCCTGATATTTCAGTATATAATCCTCAGTTAATCTAACGAAATCTCGTCTCCTCTTCTCAGCAATCGAAGCCATCATGAACGCTCACCGGCTGGAGCTGGAGAAGGAGGTGCAGAAGAGACGTCGGTCAGAGAGCAGCACAGGAAACACACACCTGGAGGACATATACAGAACACACAGGTACATCTTTTGTTGATTTCCTATTATCCAAACAAACTTTATATATTTATATTTTTGTTTTTGCTGATCAGAAAAGGGTTTGGCCAACGTGTTCTTATGAAAGTTTGTGTTGAATATCTTTGTGTGTGAAGTGAGGAGCTGGCCTCCTACCAGCGGGAGCTCCAGGTTTTGTCCCAGCAGTTTTCTCTAAAGTGTCTGGAGAACGGACATCTTGTCCAGGCTGTGGATGCCGAGAGGAAGGCCTTGTGTCAGTGCCAGCAGGAAAACCAAGACCTGAGGACCAGAAACCAGGTGCGAGCTCCAATACACGCTCTTTAGACACTCTGCCATTTCTATATTATTTCAGTTTCTTTAAATTATTCTGAAGGTTTTTGTTTGTAGAAAAACGAGACAATCATGGTTGAAATTCACTCAGTTTTTTCTGGTGACAAACATCTTTAAATTACACATAGGCGCTTTTATGTTTTATGCAAAGCTCTTACTCAAGGTCAAGTCAACTCTGGTTTGGCTGAAAAAATCTTTTATTCACGGCGTGTTAGATGAGAAAAGAAACAGCCAATGAATCTTTCTACCAAAACAACCGAACGAAACACACGACGTCATTCTCTGATCAGCTGGGCCGGCCCGTCGAATAGGGGACATAGGCTGTCGCCTAGGGCGCAAAATGTAAGGGGACTTTCGACTTGTGTAAATCAGCTCCGCCCAGCAGAGTTTCGCAATATAAATATCTTAAAACCGAAGCGCTGCCTTGCTCTGCTTTGGCCTGTCAGCTGCACTGTATCGGAGCTGCTGAAGTTAACATGTGGATTTGTGGCGAGATTTCTGCCTGAGCGGAAGTGTTATTGGTTGGTTTTCGGTTTCACATGCAGCATGCTGTCCCAAACTGTCAAACGGTCTAAAGGGGATAGGCTGTATACCAGTGGATCAGCCAAGTAATGCACGGCAGAGTAGAGGCCAGTTAGAATTAAAAATATTATGAAATCTCATTAAATTTTTTCTGGACATGTCAGAGAACACTATGGGAGATATTCAGAAAGTTTTGAGCATGAGCAGAAAACCTGCCGAAACACTGGAGCTATAAAGGAGGAGCTAAAGTCCAGGAGTTTATAACTGAATTAAAATTAATTAATTATTATTATTTTTATCATTGAGGTGAAAAGGTCTCACGTAGTTCTATTAAAAGAGGTTATTTCCTCAAACAGACTCAAAAGAGGAGGGAATGCTGAGTGAGCATGTGCACTGACTCAACAGGGATTTTATTAAATTAGAAAAGTTGATCTACAGGAGAAAACATATTTAAAAGCGATAGCTGCAGAATGCCTGAAAGCCTTACTGCATTATATTCTGTTAAATACTAATATTTTTAATTGTCACCACCTGAATATTGTGTTTCCCTTTATAAATGAAGATTAACCATAAATTGGTGCAGAAATATTCACCAGAATGCAGGAAATTAAGTCTTTAATGCTCAAGCTTTCCTGGGGGAGGACCCCCTGACCCTCCTCTTTATTTGTTCCCTCCACCGTTTAAACTAAACCAATGCTTTCACATTTCAGGAAAATTATCTTATAAATTTAACAATGCAAGAAAATAGTATCTGGGCTGACACACAATTTATGTGGGGAAACATTCCCAGATCCTCCACTATATCTTTACATAGCAAATAGTTATTGTATACTAACCTTTAGAGAGTTAGTATCTTTATATTCTTCATAAGAAACCTCATTGTTGTTTTGTTTTTGACTCGTCCAGGAGTTGAGCGGTCACCTCGCGGCAGAGATCACCAGACTGTGTTCTCTGGCAAAGCCGGACGCCCTGCCGCTCAGTCAGAGAATGGATGTGTATGAAATGGAGGTAAGTCTTCGTTTCATTCACTCCTGTGTGGAGGTGCAGCAACAGAAAGGTAACAGCTAAAATGGAAATGAGAGGGAACTGTTTGAAAATGTTGAATATAAAAGCAGACTGACTTTTGAATGTTTTCCAACCAGAGTCTTTAATGTGTTACGACCCAGCTTGGTAAGGTAGGGCAGCAACAAGTGATGGATGGAATAGGACAACTGAAATGTTGCGGTTAAAGTCAAAGGTTTAATTAATGAGCTCGCATAAGCAAAAAGAGGCTATATAGGTGCTGACAAATACACAAAATGAAACCAAAGAGGGTCTTGTCTGGAGACAGTTACTCAGCTCAAAAAACACACACTAAAGAACAGAAGGAGGTCAGTACCTATACAAACGAACAGTTATTCTGCAACGTAGAGTACCCAAACAAAAGAGTGCCCAATGCTTGGTGCACAATATCATGCTGTGATTTACAATGATTCAAAACTACTGTCTGAAGCCACTCAGACAGACAATATCAAGAAATATAAACACTCTAAATACTCACTAAACTAACAGTGTATGCAACCAACAGCAAGGCAAACTGATCACTGGCTCACAGTCGCCCAAACTGTGGACACACAAGCAATTTATAGTCCAGCTGGCGTTGATTGAAGAGTCCTGATTGGTTGGTTCAGTCGGATCACAGCCACACCAATCACAGACGCCAGTGCACAGCAAACAGGAAGCAGGTGGTCTCAGCTCCAGAGGAACCAATCCTCGACAGGGAATCACACAGCTGGGTTTGGATGACTCACTCATAGGAACACAACAATTAATATACTTCAAGGCAGCCAGCGGCAGCCGTAACAAATGTTTTATACAAAGGGAAAACAGAAATATTGCACTTCTTACTCCTCTACATTTATTTTATAGCTTTAGTTACTAGTTATATTACAAATTAAAATGTTACAACTAAAACATATGATCAGTTAATAAAATGTGATGCACTGTTTTGTAAATTAAACAATCTAGCTGTAAAGCGGGTAAAACTAGCTCCAACTCGAACAACTGCAAGATTAAAAAGCTGCTTTCACATAAAGGCATCAGTAATAGTAAACTAATACTGTAATTTATTTTCTTCATGTAGTACTTTTACTTTGATACCTGCTATAATTGATATTTTTATAATAATGTTTAAAATGACAAAGTGAAAATAATGTGACAATGTAAAAGTTGTCGCTCTTAGTAATGAACCTATAGAGGATTATCATCTGAAGCTGCAGCTTCTGGGCTTTATAGAGCTTAATATTGAGTTTCAGCTCTTTGTTTATTCGTCAGGCTGCAACTTTACTGTTCTGGGTCACTCAGTAAAAATCTGTAAAAATCCACTGTACACTACCTGTTCAACATCAAACAGCAGACAGACACAGTTAAAGAGGAGCTGGTGAACATAGTGGAGCATTTAGCAGCCAAAGAGCCAGATATTTCCCTCAGGAGGTGGTGGAGACCAAAACCTGAGCAACAAGAGAGCGATATGGGAGTTACACACATGATCATGTCACGGCGTAACTGTTGGAGTTTAACAGATCAACCAACCCAAGAGGCCAAAAATATGGCTGTAAATACAGGACTTGTACTTATAATCAGAATCAGCTTTATTTGACACCTATGAGTACACATACAAGGAATTTGACTCTGGATTTTACATTGCTCATGATGCGCCATGATTTGTGTGTGTCGACGGACGTTAAATGACTTGCCCACAGACATTCAGCTTACTTTCTAGTTCACCAACACATACTGTTGTTGTGACGTTGTAGCAGGAGAGTTGTGAGTCTTGCAGTCCAGAGCTGCTGTGCTGGATCTGGGAAACTCTCTCGTCCTCCCTACATGTGATCTTCGCAGCACCAGCTGTAGCCACAGTTTGCTAACCCACAACTTAGCTAACGTTAGTTACAGTACTTGCTTTGTCGTTGTTCGCTCTACGTGGTATTTGTCATGGTACTAGATTTCTCCAGAATCACCTACTCCAGCTTTAAGTAAAATATCTGAGTACTTCTTCCAGCACAGATAAATAACACAAAATAAATAAATATTTTCCATTTTTGTATATTTAAAATGAAAACATGTAAGATTAAGTTTCATTTGAACAATATATGTTCTCTGGACAGAAATGTAATAATTCAGAGAAAAAACACTGTCATGATGTGTTTACTGGATCAGTTCAATAGTATGTGGCTCCCTCATGTGTTCATTGTTAGTAATTATATACTGTATGTCTGCAATAAAAACTGAAGACAGGGAATCCACCTCTGAATGGGGAGTGGGATGCTCTCCTCTATTGCAGTTTCATTTTCTTTTATGGGCTTCTGGAGCAGTTTACAGAAAGTATTAATTTGTATTTTATCAAGTGTGCCTGTTGTTTAACCCTCTGGATGTCACCCAAGACACAAGCACTGTGCACGATCATCTCAAAATGCTGAAATGTGGCATTTCAGTGTGATGAATCTGATTATCTGAAGGTTTTCTTTCAGATTACGCTGCGAGTGAAGGAGTCTGAGGTGCAGTGTCTGAAGCAGGAGATCACGTCTCTGAAGGACGAACTGCAGTCGGCACAAAAGGTGAGAGTCACACAAACAGCAGTTATAAAAATAAAGAATGGTGTGAAGTCCAAGAGAGGAAGTGAGTGAAGCAAACTGATCTCTGTGTCATGTTACAGGACAAGAGGAACGCCACGAAGAAGTGCAAGGACATGTACACCGAGCTGAGCGTCCTGAGGGCCAAAACTGAGAGAGAGGTGGACAGACTGAGAGAAAACCTGAGGCTGGCTCATCGCGCTCTGGACCAGACTTCACTGTGAATTATTAGTTTTAAAAAAAAACACATTACATTTGTTTTCACTGTAACATCCTTTTAATTTTACCCACAATTTGTTTAAAACACAAAAATAAGTTCCTTTCATCACCTTTTATTCTTCTTAGTCTTATTTAAATAAATCCACAAATGTATCCACAAACTCACTTCACACAGCTTTTTATTTTTGGTTTCAAAAAAATAATTATGTTGTCTGTCTTTTGTGTATTATGTCTGTCTGGACTAATTATTAACATTTGTGACTGTGATTTATATTAAATTCTAAAGTTTTTAGTTTTAATATTTGTATTTACCAAATATCTTAAAAAACAACAACAAACAACTGGTTATTTTGTGTACTTTTATATGTATCTGTACAACCATTTTATTAAAGTGATACTTTCATCTGATGCACGTTTTCATCCTCATCCTCCTCTGCTGTATGTGTCATTAAACTGGTCAAGTATTTTTCAAGTATTTATCAATTAAATAATTTAAATTAAAGTCGTTTCTGCCTGGTAACTTTACTGGCAGATTACACCAGCTGTAATTTATATGTGTTCACTGCAGTATTATTAATAAAAAGTCAAAGTGTCAGATGAAACCTAAACTATCTCTTGTCATTATGCGTTGTCTCCTCAGGGGTTGCCAGGTTGAAATTTGTGGCCTCATTTTATTGTTTGTCAGTTTGTGCATAAAAGATTAAAAAACCCACAGCTAATAACAGTTTTTTTTTGCTATGTGCAGCAAAATAAATGTTAATTCCTCTTATTCAGCACTGTTTCTGGAGGAAGAAGACCGTCAAGTTAACCTGAAAAACACAGGTATGTTCAGAGTGAATATTTCAAACTAAACATCCTATTTGACGACATGTTTTGGGGTTGTCGAGGTTTTATTAGCCTACATGTCGCACACAGGCTTCAATTTGTGACAGTCAAAGAGAATTTAGTGATACAATTAATGAACAGTGAAAAGAATAAAAGCTTAATAAGCCATAAACATCTTAACATAGGCCTACTAATGTAGTGGAGTAGAAGTAGAAAGTGGCATGAAAAGAAAATACTCAAGTAAAGTGGTACATCTCATTTGTACTTATGTGCTGTAGGGGAGAGTGGGGTGATTTGAGCCTGGGGGGAAGTTGATCCCCTGTTTCTTGGCAACCATAGACAAAATTGGTCATGTGACCGCACATTTTTGATTAGTCATCCATTTTACTCTCCCTGTGATAGGAGAGAGGCCCATGAGTGATAAGTGCGTTTGTTTTTTTTTTGCTGTTCAAAGTGATTTTTTTTTATGTTCAAGGAGTCCTTATTCTTGTGTCTGAACAATTACAGACAGGTTTGAGAAAATGTGTTAGTGCTTTAGGAAGTTAAAATATGAGGCTATGCTGTTAGCATGACTTTACTGTTAAACAGATGAATGACACAATTTTGTTAAAATGGCAGGGATGGGGTAATTTGAGGCAAAAGAGATGGGGGAAGAAAGGGAAGTTGAGCCAGATATTTGACTGTAGTTTTACATTGCATTGTTATGCATCACTGAAATGATGTGACATTATGCATCATTAGACCAGAAACCATCATGTCATGCTTCTATAAATGGAAGACAGACAGGCTTCAACTCATATTGTGGGTTTGGACAGAGCAGTGAGAGAGGTGCAAAAATGTGCAAAAATGGGTCCATTCAAAGCCCTATTTTGAATATAGTTTATTTTAGATCCAAATTGATTATTCCCAGGGATGCACCACATCCTAAAATATATGTACATATTTTAGTTGGAAACATTACTGTCACGTCCTCGCTTTAAAGACACCTCAAGTAAAAACTGGCTCAACTCGCCCCGCTCTCCTTTGAGTACATGTACTTTTGATCAGACCTTTTTGATCACACACGCACATTGGCTAACCTAACTGTACCATACCTAGCTGTATGTAAATTCGCAGTGGCAGCATTAAAATCCTGCTCTAACATTAATTGATCAGTATTAACAATCTAATAACTTCACATATATCAGGCACAGGGACATTTTACTGCAGAATTAGAGCTTTGCTGCTGATAATACTGGTGCTACACATAGACAAACATGCAGTTGACATATATAAATGTAAAAAAATATATAAATATGGAATAAACACAAGCACGTTATTAAAGAATAATGTGTAAAAGAAAAAAACAATGTGGCAGATATTTAGCCTACGTGTGCATTACTCCAGGTTTGTGTTGAGCAGACATATTACATTATTATTTATGTACTTTTACTTGTACTGGAGTTCTGTTTGTTTTTTTTTACATGGGAGTATATTTACAACTAAAACATAACCAGCCTCATGAAGCTTTTACTTTGAAAGGCGCGTCCTTCTCTTCCGGTGTCACCATGTTTGTTTCAGTGTGACTTGACGCTGAGAGGAAAGGAAGGTGTCCACGATGACAACTTTTAAATACACAACAGTAACAGTAGCGACGGGGATGTGAAAATTCCCAGCTAACAAACCTTTAGCGGAAATGTGTTTCTCTCGTTACCGCGAGTGTCGTCTACGTTTGGAAAGAGCGTAGCGTGCTAACGTTAGCTTAGCCAGCTAGCTAGCATGAACTCGGGCTGTCGCCGCTTTTGTTTACATCCAGTCCTGATGATGGGCCTGCAGAGGTGTGTTAGCTAACCCAGCTACCCGACCTGTGTGAGGGGAAGAGTCATCCTAAAAACACCCGCACTGTGAGGACCGGGGTCGTCCATCCAAACTGCTGCCACCTCAGGGGTAAGATCACCATCAGCTGTAACTTTAAAAGACCTTTTTAACACTTGTCGTGCGAGTTAGAGCTACATCACTATTTACAGGTAGGTGACATTACCTTTTACATTACTCACTGAACGGGCCTACCTGTTAACGTTTCTCATCGGAAAGCTCAGTTAAAAAGATGTCGTGTTATTCTTAACATAATATTTATATAATAAAAAAAATATATATAACAGTTGTATATAAATAAACGAGTGTCTGCTCATATGTTTTGTAGATGTTTCTCTTCATGTAACAGCATACTGAGATTACCCTAACATTTCTTTAAAATGCAACAAAATTAGTAAATAAATTAAAATAAACAAAATAGATTTTTTTAATGGGGCCCTATAATATTATTTATAGTGTTTGGTATAAATAGTAAATATAGATGTTCAGAGGAGTCAGCCAGCTACTCTTGATCTCCATCTGTATCTATCAATTATTTTCATTAATCATTTAATTGTACAGTCTATTAAATGACAGGAAAATACCCACCTCAACTTCCCAGAGACAAAGGAGATGTCTTTGAAAGAATTGCTGAAACCAGTCACTTTAATAAAAATAAATTGATCCATAATTGTGTACTTGTTTCAGCTCCATCCAGTGGTTTGAGAGTTTTAAAATTTACATTTAGCTGACGCTTTTATCCAAAGCGACTTACAACTGCTGTAAATGTCAGAGGTCGTACGCCTCTGGAGCAACTAGGGGTTAAGTGTCTTGCTCAGGGACACAGTGGTGGATGGGTCACAGTGGGAATTGAACCCAGGTCTCTCACACCAAAGGCATGCGTCTTATCTATGCGCCATCACCACCCGCATGGCTGCAAGTCTTTATTAAGTTTGGGGGTCTTGCTTCAATGTAGAGCAAATGTTTGATTTAATTCATTTGAATCACGAATGAATTAGAACGTAATTTTTCTATCAAGATATTTATTTTGTTGAGGAAAAGGGACTGAAAAAAGATTTACTAATCATATCTTTTTTTTTTAATTTTATCATAATAGTTTTGAATGTTTTCTGCCTCAGAAAAAAAAAACACTATTAACCATCTGGGTTCTTCAACTTTCACAAAGGAGCAAAAATCAGGGCTTTCTCTATCAATTATTTTTGTTAATTGTACGGTCTATTAAATGACGGGAAAAGACCCTCCAGAACTTCCCAGAGACTAAGGTGAAATCTTCAGATGTTTTGTTTTTCAGCTCCGTCAGAGAGAGAGAGAGTTCTGGTTCGAGTACAAAACAACTGCAAACAACAACATGGCTGCATCTCTTTCAATTTGGTGAAATTTTTGATAAGTCGATTGACAGAAAATGAACCAGCAGCTATTTTGATAATCTGTTTGTCCTTTTGGTAATTTTTCAAGCAAAAAATAGTAAAAAATAAAAACATTGCCAAACATTCTTTGGTTTTAGCTTTTCAAATGACAGAATTTGCTGCTTTTCTTTGTCATAATTCACTGTAACCTGAAAATCTTCAGGTTTGGGACTTTTTTTGAATGAAGCAAGACATTTGAAGGCATCACTTTGGGCTCTGGGAAGTTTTGACGGGAAGGATCGGTAAGAAACTTTACATCTCAGTAATGTTGGTGTGTTTTTTTGCAGTGATGGAAGTGTCCTCTCAGGATACATCTCTCATGGCTATGGACCTGTCAAAGGGCTACTCAGTCAACCCCCTCACCCGTAGCCACACTGAAGCCATGGACCTGGCAAAGAAGCCCGAGTGGTACCACAGACGCCCGCAGAGCTGCAGCACGGAGATCAGCTCCTCGTACAGATCCAGAGCCGCGTCCTCCTACAACTCACTGTCCACGCAGCTGCATCCTGAACCGGTTGCACCTGTCCACTGTAGAGACATGGAGCAGGGTCCGGAGTCTCTCAGCAGCTACATGAATTCGACGCTAGCTCCGGGGCTGGATCTGTACCGCGAAAGAGCCCACGGTAGCCTGTGGCATCCAGGTTTCTACGGCGGGCCCGACCAGACCGGCGGTCCGGTTCCTGAAAGCAGCGGTGGAGAGGAGAGCGACAGCGGCTCTGATGTTATTTTTCTCGTCTCCTCAGCTAAGGAGCCACTCTTATGCAGTCCTTTCATCCAAGACGGCGTGAGGCACATTGTGGAGCCCCTGTCCCCAGCTGTGTCCTCACTGGACGAAGGGAGAGGTTGCTATCACCTACCTCAGCCTCTGAGCTCACCCAGTCCTGACAGCTCGTACTCAGAAGACTCCTCAGACAGCTCGGTGGAGATACCTGTACATCATACCCGGCCCGTAGTCCTCCTGTCAGACCTCAGTGCTGTTTACAGCAACCCCACTGAATCTCTGGTAGATGTTTCAAGCGACGACAGCGACGTTATCGAAGTTTCAGTGACTAACAAAAAGAAGAAAAGCAACACCTTTCCCTGTAAGAAAAGTTTTTCTCGTAAGAAGAGTCTGGCGAGAGAAACTCCCCCTCAGAGTGAGGAGGAAAAAAATCCACCCAGAAAAGTACGACGTAGTACCCGAATCAGGAAACCTGTCTCTGAAACGCCTCAGTTTACCTGCAGCGTGTCTCGGCACAGTTTGAGGAGACAAGCCAAAAACGATGCGGTGGGTATTTATAACGAAAGTTGTGATTCTGACGATGTGATGGAGTACGCGGGGAGGTTGTCCAGCTCAGATCTAGACGAGTCGGCCTCACACCCAAATGTGTCGCAAAGAGTGAGCAGTAACTCAGAGGAGTCTGGTGTGGACGTCCAGGCAGACAGGAAGTCGCCGCAGAGAGAGTCGCACGAGCAGCCGTCTCGCCGCAAAGTGTCACGCGCGAAAAGCATCAGTCATAAACGAAAGAAGCCCCTCACTGTTCGTAAAACTAAAAAGTTAAGAAGAACTGAACAGAAACAAAACAGCAGAGTCTCACAAGGGCAGCGTCAAAAATCATCAAACACAAAAACCGTCCCAAGACGGAAGAAAAAAAGGCGAACGCAGAAAAGACCTTCTGCCCAGTTTCCTCCCAGAGAGCCAGAAATCAAGCTTAAATATGCAAACATAAAAGAGGAAAAAAAGGACAAGAAATCAGGCAGTTTTTGCCCATTTGTTCACATTGAGAAGAGGATGTGCACCGTTGTCAACTATCAGGAGGAGGAGGCGACAGTGAGGAGCAGCAGAGGACCCCAGCAGACGGCGCCCAGGTCTCTGTCAGGGTTTGTCCCTCATACGTCCTGTTTCCAGCTCGGCCGCTTTGGCTCGGACAGCAAGTGTCAGGACTCGCTGCTGTGCTGCCTGTGCGGTCAGACGGCCAACGCCATGGGCCTCGGGGACCTTCACGGCCCGTACTATCCGATTAGCTCGTCCGTGGACTGCCAGAACCACAACCAGCAGAACTGCAGGACTGAGCAGAAAGAGGAAGAACAGCTGCTCGTCAAACGACATGCAGTGAATTCCTCAGAGGATGGTTGCGGTGATTTCGACGACTCTGCCGTCAAAGGTTTGCTCGAGAACGACAACCACTCTCTCCCAAAGGTGCCTCTTCATCTGGACGAGTGCTGGATCCACGAGGACTGCGGCATCTGGTCCGCTGGCATCTTCCTGGTCAGAGGGAAGCTGTACGGGTTGGAGGAGGCGGCCCGGCTCGCACAAGAAACGGTGAGTGAGAACAAGAACAAGGTCTTTTTAAGCACCATTAGGACCGAGCGATCAGCTTGTTTTATGAGTGCAAAGAGTTTTGTTTACCTATAAAGATACACAGTATATCAACATAAATAACTACTCTCAGTCCTCCTGTCCAAACTGGCCGTTTAAAATATCCCTTCCAATCAAGGGTGACAAACTTTCTCCCAAAACGTGAACAAAACAAGAAGATATTAGAATCAATAGTCACTATTGTGATATATTATTTTGGGGGTCTGGGGTTCCTCCCCCAGAATATTTTGAGATTTAAACACATAATTTACTGCATTCTGGAGACATTTTCCAGATCAATTTGTGTGTATATATAAAGGGAAACACAAAATTTAGGTGTAAGGTAATAAAACAAAATATAAAAATATTATGTAATGTAGTAATCTGCAACTTGTTTTTTCTTTAGCTTAAGTTGCTTTCTTATATTATATATTTGTTTCTTAGATATTTACATAGCTTTGCATGTTTCTTATTTTGCAAACAAACCTTTCTCAAAGCATTCTCATTTGTTATTTAATATTTCTTGTTGCAAGCAATTTATCAGAACCATTTTAACAAAACCTTGATGGGGACAAAATCAGCCTTCTCAAAAAGGGGTGGGGACATGTCCCCAGTGTAAATGACAGGTCTATGCTTCCAATGTAAGTGATGGGAGACTAAATCCACCGTGATTTGAAGGTGAATACTCTGAAATAGTCAAATCAACAGAGCGTTATGGCTGCAACTGGTGATTTTTTTCATTAAGGATTAATCTGCTCATTATTTGACATCTTCAAATGTTTTGTATGACCAATAGTCCAAAACCAGTGTTTATCAACATCCAGGTATATCAACCAAAGAATATTTGATGACCCGTTTAAACATTTTGCAGAGAGAGAAGTTATCTATTGTTCTTCTATCGTGACATGGTGCATGTTTTACAAGCACGGACCGGGTAAAGCAACAGTGAACAGTGAACACACCCGTGTAGATTTAGTACGGTACCACGTTGGTTTTGATCTAGAGCTGCAATGATTAGTCAGTTAATCGAGTGGTTGTCAACTATTAAATTAATTGCCAAGCTAATTCGATGAGTTTAGGTCATTTTTTTTAAGACAGATTCTCTGATTACAGCTTCTTAAATGTGAATAAACTGAATATCTTTGGATTGTGGATAAAACAAGACATTTGAGTGTCGTCATCTTGGGCTTTGGGAAACACTGATCTCCATTTTCTGACATTTTACAGACCAGACAACTAATCGATTAATAGAGAAAACGATCGACAGATTCATCGATAATGAAAATAAGTGTGAGTTGCAGCCCTATTTCGATTGCTTCAATAGGCTACGCCATTAACACGCCTCCGTCCACATGCGATGCACCTGCTGCTGTGAAAACAAACAATGAAAACCCCAAAAATATTTATCTTATCTTTCAAAGTTAGTTTTTTAAGCTTGAAATTTCCCTTTTCATCATTTGTGAAAGCACAAAGATTATTAATTACTCACATAAAAACAAAAAGGCTGTCACTTTGATAGAGACGGTCGTGATTTGACTAATTTAAGCAGCTGAAGCCTTTTATTACTTTCAGCTGAATTTTCAAAAGCATTTTTACACAAAACAAGGACTAAAACATGTCAACCTGATCACTTGCGTTGGAATTGCATCAGGAGGAGATCTTTTCCGAGCCAATACGGACAGGAGAAATGATTAAACACTATTTCAATGCACATATAAGCGAGTTTTGTCTGATATAATGCATAACAGTGAGGCACAATTCTGTTGAATATCAATTAGGTAGGGTTTTTTTTCACAGTATTCTGGATCACATACAGTGACGAAAGTTGGCGGCATGTTTGCTTTTTTCTCACCGTGTGCTTCTCGTTCCAGAAATGTTCAGTGTGCCAACAAACGGGTGCAATAATGGGATGTTTCCAGAAGGGCTGTCCCAGAAACTATCACTACAGATGTGCCGTTCAGTCAGGTACAGCATGAGACTTGTGTGTCGGCTGTAAAGGGAAACACCCAGAAACTGTGGAGGAAAGTTATTCTGATCTTGTGTTTAACTGCTGTCACCAACTCTGGCTGTGAAAATGATTTTAACGTGACAGATCTGTCAAAGGGTGAGAGCTTGAGTCACTTTATTATTTTGGCGTGGGAAGGCTGTCGCTCTCACTCAGCCTGACATGACGAATCTTTCAAGGATATTTTGTACATTTGTGTTTTTTTTATTTATTTATTCCAGGCTGTGTCTTAACTGAAGACAACTTCTCCATCAGATGTCCAGAGCACAAGGTAAAGGTGTGAGGAGCTGCTCGGCCTCTGGGGGTCAGTAGCGTAGCCTTTAGGATGCTGTCTCCAAATACTACTACATCCTGCATACAAACAACTGTATGGGGGGTATATGAAATGTTAGTATGCAATTGTAGTAGTGTGTGCGAAAGGTGATATGTTTGTTAAAAATATAAATACAGTATATATTCTGGAAAAAAATCTGGAAAAAGGGTCAAATGAGAAAAGGACAAAGTGTCCTATATAGCCAAAAGTATGTGGACACCCTGATCAGTTTTTGTTCTGAGGCTGTTTTTCATGGTCTTGGCTGGACCCCCTAATCTTAAGGCAAAACACAGTAACTACATATTTGGTCAGATTTGGGTTCACACCAGATTCTGATTTCCTTTTTTTGCGTCTCTTTTGGCTGTCAGTCACTAGCCTTAGCGTTATCTAGCTAGCTATTGAAAAGGCAAATGGATAACTGAAGCCTCAGAAATCATAATAAACAAAAACTGTTGGTTACAGTCACGGGTAGGGATGGGGATCGATACCCGGTTCTAAAAGGATTCGGTTGCAAATTTCCTCAAAACCCCAAAAATCGATGAGGTCCGAGCTTATTCATACTGCTATCGACACTAGCGGGTCCTACAATGTAACGTTACATCTAGAGAGTCAAATCTGATTTAATTTGAAACACGACAGATACGAAAACTAATGTTTTTTTATTGATGTTCACCGCCGCCAAGCAAAAGTACTTCTTAAACGACGCATCGATGAATCGTTGAAATAATCTATAGAAGCTTTGAATACTAAAATCATCGTTAGCTGCAGCCCTAAAACTGGCACATTTGCATGGAGACATTGTGTTTGTTGTATTATCCAGTGCAGTATTTACATTTTTTAAGTATTATGTGGGCACCAAAGCAGTTATTATAATAATCAGCCTGAAAGTATGTTAAATGAGGGCATTACACTTTAATCTGTTGCCCAGTTTTCCGGCCGCCCTGAACATTTTAAAACCTTTTGTCTCAGCTTCACTGCTTCTGTAGGGCAGTAGAGCAGACGGAGATCTTTTAGACAGTGTTTCAGTGTTGGACTAATGCTCACGTGGCTGAATGGGAGCAAATCTCTGCTGCCAGGTTCCGACATCTGGTACAAAGCCCGAAACCAGAGGAGTGGAGGCTGTTAGAGGGAATCCACACGGTTTTATAATGATATGTTGAGCAATCTCAAGTTCCAGTGTCCACATACTTCTGGCCTCATATTGTACTTTTAATGTGCCAATTCCGCTTGTATTTGAAAGCCTGATCGTACCTAGTATCCAGTGCGTAGTAGTAGTATGCAGTAGTATTGTGCTTTATTCAGTACACACAGATATTAAGCAGATAACCAGATCTACTTTTTGCTGAGTTGTCTGTAGGGTTGAGCGAGTACTCTGGTGAAACGAGTATCCGGTACAAATAATGTATTTTTAATTCATCATCCAGGCATCGACCGAATTTTCTGGGCCAATCCCGATTATTAGTAACCAATTAGACCGATATTTGGAACCGATATTTTGCTGTAAACTTTGTGTCAACACAAACTCCAACACAAAACTTTGTTGAAAATAACACGATTAAAGTTAATTGTCTGTTTAATCTTTATAAATGGTAAATTAATATTTTATTGTAACTAACTGTTTTCAGAGCAGCAACAAAAGTAAAGTTTATAGCAGCAAAGTCACTTTATAAAATCACTATCTCGCTGGAAACAAATGGAACATAAAAAATAAAGATTACAATATCGCTCTGTGCACGTTTCTGCTTGTTGTACTGATGCAGTATCAACCTTTTACTAGTACTACTGCTTGTTTTTCTGCACTTACTTACAGTAACAGGCATATTTATGGTCAGCTTGTGTATCTACACTGATCTCCACTAACTAGCTCTGCGTGTGTGTGTGTGTATTATTGGTCGACCCCAACTATCATCAGCATAAAATGTGTCAATATCTGTTTTCTAATAAACTATAAATATTATACAATACAACAACATTGCTCTGAAGCTGTTCTGTAAGTAGTTTTATAATAAATATGGTAACTTCTGGCTGCAATTAATAACTTCCTGGTTAAGCCCCGCCCACTCAGAGTACCGCTACAGAAAATGGTGTACTCGCTCGGCCCTACTCCTCTGGAAAAATGATTTTGGTGAGTTTACTCATTTCCCGCTGATGCGTGTTTGTGTCCAACAGAACAAACCGTTCACGAGTGTCACCAGACAACAACACAAGAGATGACGCGGAAGACATTTGGGGGCACTGGAGGTGTGTAATATTTAAATAAAGGTAATTTTAGTAGCTTGTTTGTGTAGCAGCAACAATTAAAAGGTAACTATATTAATAATTGACCATCAAGCAAATATATCAACTATTTGATGGTTCCAGCTTCTCAAATGTGAGACAAAACAAGACATTTCATTTTTAATTTTGATAATCGATGAGTTGGTTTGAGTAAAGGGAGAAAAAATCTAAATTATATAAATGACAGGCTCAGATTGTTCTTACAAGTGTCTGCCAGCATTATGGAAAGGATCCCTACAGATGAGAGACCTTTTTTTAAAAAGTTATATCCTTTTTGTTTAACCAGAATCAGTCTTCAAAGCTACCAGACTCCCTTGGCAAAAATAGCAATTTTAACTCTCTAGTCTACTGCTGCCTTGATCATTTAGTTTGTGTTATTGTGTGACTTTGATCTTTTTAACCCTTTAAAACACCAAAGTCACACAATAACACAAACAAACTAACTGACTGAGGCAGCGATAGACCAACAGCTCCTGTTTTCCACAAGGCATAATTGCTGTTTTTATCTATGGACTCGTTGGGCTTTGAAAAGAGCGAAATAATGAATTTTTCTGGTTACACAAAAAGGATTTTACTATTTGAAAAAGGTCTCTCTCTGTAGGGATCCTTTCCAAAATGTTGTCAGACACTTGTAAAAACAATCTTGAGTGGCAAAAACAAGCACAATATACACAAATCTGTCAAAATCTGTGTCAGTGAGCACTTCTCCTTTGCCGAGATAATCCATCCACCTCACAGGTGTGGCATCTCAAGATGCTGATCAGACAGCATGGGTATTGCACAGGTGTGCCTCTTAGGCTATCGACTAAACAAGCGATTGATGGAGAAAATAATCTGCAGATTGATTGATCTACAATAAGAATTAACTCTTGGCTGCAGCGCGACTCATAATTCTAAAACTATAAATGCATGAGAATGAGATTCTTCCTCTTTTAATGTCATTTAATGTCATTTTCTTCCAGAATGATCCACAGATCTCCTCAGGGTGCGACGTGATCTGCCTGATTTCACCTCTGCAGTTTTATAACACTAATTAACTTGAGCGTGTTTGCTCGAGCAGAAGGCAGACCTTCTGGTGAGATTTCACTCGACCTCACAGACAGATCAACCAGGGGCCACTTAAGGATTTTTATAAGACACATCTTTGTTTTGTTGTATTTCTATGGGGTGTGTGTGTGTGTGTGTGTGTGTGTGTCTGATTGTGAGTGTGTATGGCTATTTATTCCTCTTCTTGAAGACTCACAAATACAGTTTATTAATTGAACATAATAGGTATATTAGAGTTTAAATGAGCTTTATTGATTTGTTGTATAGTATATGATATCTTTATATAAGAACACTTCTTTTCTTTCTTCAGGTTTTGTACTACTTTTCTATTTCTATTACTGTTCATCTTCACATAACCAACATAATTTATTTACATTGATTTGCATGCACAGTTGATGTTTGCTACAATGCACTTTATAGTATAATTTTAATTATTTATGTCTATTTGTAGACTTTGTTCTTCCATTTTTACTAAAATTATTTAAATGTAATATAAAGCTGCACTAAGATTATATAGAAATATGAAATTCACAAAGTAGGGCTGCTACAGAGAACATCCCGACCCCCTTAAAGTGAGACCGCAAACTGTACAATCGCCGCATTCAAGCAGATTTATTTCTGGTGTCGGGTTTAGATGCTTCTCTGCTCACAGGATGCAGAAACTTAAGATTGACAAACAGAACAAAATGTCTCCTAAACAGAAGCGAGAGTTCATTTCAGTTTAGAAAAAGATGCATCAACGTCTAGTGGCCAAGCAGAAATCAGAAAATGTAAAGTTTTAAAGGGTCAGTTCAATAAAATCGCAAAAAAACAAAATCACTTAACCCAACTCAACTAATCCCAGTTTCTCAAATGAGAGGATTTGCTGCTGTTCTCTGTATCATCTCATTGTAAATTGAATATTTTGTGGACTGTTGTTCAGTATAAACATTGTTGGAACTGCAGTACCTTATTTTGAGCGCTTCTGGGGGGATGTAAACAGGAAATCTAATGTTGGCATGAATTCAGTATGTTAGCTCTGGGCTACGGCTTGAGACTAACACAGACTAAAAAGCCTGTATTTGTTTACATTTTTGGCAAATTAGCACAATTAAAAGTACGCTGAATGAGCTATTAGCAATCGCTGTTTGCAGCGTACAGACATATATGACTGGATTACTTTGATACGTGCTACCACTGAAGTAAGTTGGAAAATGTTTTTGTGATTTGGGTGAATTGACCCTTTAAGATATGGTAGCCATGTAGAGCTGAAGTCGCCTAGTGCAGCTTGAAGTGTCCATCTTTGTATGAGCTTTTGTATTTCAGTTCAGGAGTTGTTTTTAAAAATTGAGGGTTTTTAAGTAAATTGTCAGAGTTTGCTTTTATGTCACTTTTTATTATTTGAGGAATAAAAATATTATTAATGTTGTTTTAATAAAAGTCGATAAAACTGAACTCTTGTCTTTGTCTTGAAATGAACACATCGATCCAGAAACACAGAACTTTTCTCACCGTTTGTTATCCAAAGCTATTAGAAAGCTTTATAAGTGTTGTTTGTGCAGAACTTGGGATACATGATTGTTATTTCTCCTACACAGAAACAAAATGTTCTTGCTGCAAGGAACAAAGTGTGTCTGGATTTTTTGGCAAATTGACAAGTATTGTCTTAACAATACTTGTTTCCAGTGCAGTTTAACCTATTTTACTGTCATCCTGAAACAAGCGGAATTACTTTTCTCAAGGAAATTGCACAATTTATGCAGTTTGTCCTGTCATTTCATGGTTTTAAGATGCAGTTCTGATTGATACAGGAACATATCACATGGTAGAAAACACCACTAGGTTTCACATCAACCCTTTCAGCCAGAGTTTTTGTATTGCTTGCTGCCTATTGCACATTTTCCTTTTCAGGATAAGTAGGGTTGTATGACAGTGAAACAATATTTCATGTGAATTATTGCCTTCAGGATTCATGACAGATTACATACGTCACTCTAAGATCAACCTTTATTGATCCCCAGAGTAGAAATGCAGGTGTTGTAGCAGCAAAAGGACAGAAATAAGTGCAAAAAATAAAGAAAGGTAAACTCAAAATTATAAGACAAGGCAGTACATATACAGTACTCACGAATATTGGTTTGATTGATTAAAAAAAAAAAAAAACTAACCGATTCAGGCAGCTGTAGACGAGCAACTCCCGCGTTCTTTGAGGTAAAATGATATTTATTTATCAAAGTCACCAGACTGTATAGATAAAAACAGCAACTTCACCTCGCAGAACATGGGATTTTCCTGGGTCAGTTAGTTTGTTTGTGTTACTTTTGTGTTTCTGATTGTTTGTGTTATTGCGTGACAACACCAAAGTCACACAATAACACAAACTAACCAATCGAGGCAATGGTAGACCAGAGAGGTATAATTACTGTTTCTGTCGAGGGAGTCTGGTGGCTTTGACGAGAGAGAGTGAGAGAGTTTCTGGTTAAACTAAAAGGATCTTCCTCTTTTAAAAAAAATAAATAAATAAAGAATAGGTCTCTCTCTGTTATCATAATGTTATCAGACACTTTTAATATCAATCTACTGGAACAATTTCAAAAGATAATGTCCAAAATAGTCACAAAACATGGGAGTCCAGGTTGAAAAACAAAGATATCAAGTTGTTTTAGCTTTTGTTTTTATCACAGCCCAGCAGCTGAGCACGTGGGCAGCGTGCTCCTGCGTTACTAAAGCAGAACAGTTAGTATCTGTGTGTTTTCAGTCAACACAGACTTTCACACCGAGCTCTGCTTTTTGAGTCACAACCCCCACTTTGAATTGTCCTCGTTCCAACACGTGCGACAGAGAATCTATCTGTGGAAACATTTCACAGCTCTTCTCCCTCACATGATTATCGGGCCGGCATGTGGAAGGTGTTTCTCACCTTCACCTTATTGAATAGACTCGCTGCGCTCACCTGCTGAAACTGCCAGGCACCCAGAGACGGATGCTGTTACCATGGCAGGCAGCATCTTCTCAATGTTGAGTTTCACAGCAGCTGGTGTGCTTCATCTCATCACAGTGTTTACGCCTGCAGCTGCAAATGAAACCTTCTCTCTCTCTCATTGTTTTTTTTTTCCTGCTCTTTTACTGCCTATCCTTTCTTTTTTGTCATTTTAATTGGTCCTCCTCCTTTCCTATGCTCAGTTCTTAATGTCTGTCTCTTTACCGTCACCATCTTTACTCGCTCGGGCTGCAGGCTTATTTCTGCTTTTAGGACTGACATGCTGATCAAAATATCTGCAGCACAGCTACGCTGCTTTGGCAAGAGGTTCAGCACAGAAAAAAATGCTGAAACTGACACAAGTCAAACATGTTTTCTGCTCTGAGCCATGTTTTGTTGCGTAATATAAAAAACTTCAGCAGAAGATACAGAACAGAAAGAACATAAAGTATCATGTTTGTAAGCTCACATAGATCAGCAGTGATGTTTAAACATGTTTTTCTGACCCAGTGAATCCTGAATTAACTTAATATGCTGATGCCTAAGAGAGCATGTGTGTGTTTTGTTCTTGTCTGTCTTCACACTCTTCAAACAGATGTGGAAGCAAAGATAGGATTTCTCTGGAATTACAAATCACTTATCTTAAATGTTTTTTGTTCCGATTACATGACCGACTGAAGATAATCTGATTAGAGCTGCAACGATCAGTCTATTAATCCATCAGTTGTCAACAATTTAATTAATTTGCAACTATTTTGATAATCGGTGAATCGGTTTGAGTTATTTTTTAAGACAAATTATCTGATTCCAGCTTCTTTGTTGTGAATATTTCTGGTTTCTTTACTCCTCTATGACAGTAAACTGAATATCTTTGGGTTGTGGTCACAAAATGGATTTGAGGACGTCCTCTTGGGGTTTGGGAAACACAGATTGACATTTTTCACAGTATTTCGACATTTTATGGGCCAGACAACTCATTGATTAATCGAGAAAATGATCCGACAGAGTAATCCATAATGAAAGCAATCTTTAGTTGCAGCCCTAAACCTGATAGGTTTGATCGGTTTCATTCAAGCTTTATTGATTATTGTTGGAAGCCCGGATGTTAAAGTTTGAATTTTTCATCTTCAGATTTGATTTCTTGAATTTCACCTATTCAGTTTTCTATTAATATTTGAATCCAAAAGGTTTTTTTGAATACTGAACACTTTTCTTGAATTGTCTGAACTTGTGAACCCAAAACAAAAATCTTAAACAAAGTTTCTGAAATTACCTTGTGCAAATGTCGTGGAGGGGAATTTAAACCACATAAATTCAGACGGATGGTTTTCAAAGTCAAATATTCTTCTTTGAAAGAACGTTTCCTTGAACATTTTCTCTGGGGCTGCAGCAGCCAGCAAAGGTCTTAAAAGTCCTTTTTGTTCACACCCAAACACACAAAAAAAATCCCCAAAATAATTCTCCCACCTGAACTTGTATTGTTTGTTGTCTTATTGCCACAGACCAGTGTGTGCACGTGCAAAAAAGGCCAATAATAAATGCAAATTATTAAAACCCAATGACACCAACTAAGAAATTTCGTACATCATATTGGCCATGAAGTATTAACAAATATATTTATTTCGGTAATCAAAAATTATATTAATATAACAATTATCTGTTAGACCAACTGTTAATAATAATAAATAAAAATCCAAATACTTTTTGGGGGTTTGGGAGGGTAGTGCTGTGAAAAGAAAGTCTATATTGCGTATGAATACTGTCACTGTATTTAATCCAACCGTTTCTAATCCCAGGGCGTCACATGTGGACGCTCGGTCAAGACTCCTTGGCATCGCTTTTTATTGCCTTGGGTACAATTTAGTGTCGTTTTTGTCTGTGTAGGGCTCTGCAGTCATGGTTTCCGTGGTCCAAGTTAACAAGAATAAATATGCAACATCTGGGGAGACTTTCAAAATAAAACTAGTGGTTAATGTTGTGAATCATCGTAATTTGATTAGGTTTAGGCACCAAAACTACTTGGTTAGGTTTAGGAAAAGATCATGGCTTGCGTTAAAATAACTACATAACTAATTTGACTTAAATTACAGAAGTTTTCTGGCTGATTTAATTATATTTTACAGCTGAGACCTCAAACAGAAGTAATGTGTCATTTTCTGTAACAGACTTCTGAAACAAGTCAAGGTAAAAACTATGACAAGCTATATATTGTTTTGCTGTTAAAGAAAAGATTTTAAGGGTCTTTTATTAATTTACTTAAGGACTTGCACACCACAGTAGAGTCCTTTGATAGATCTTAACACCAAACCGTCTCCTCTCTGCAGCCTTGCTAGTGGTGAATATGTAAACATGGTGGTGGGAGAAACATTGGGATCAGTGAGTTCAGCGCTCAGCTGTAATTGCTCTGCTGAAAATGCAGCGCTGCTTGATGATTTGCTCTCCAGCTCAGCTGCACTCTGCAGCTTTTATTCCTTTACTATTATATCTGGGCAGACTGAGGTTGGAAAGAATAATTTCACCCGTCTCTTTCTTTATCAGCCTATAAAATGCTGTGTGATGTGCACGTCTGCAGTCAGTCAGTTTGAATTTCTTGCTCTGCCGCATATGAAATGAGGGTTTCTGAGCCTCAGTTGGCCTGATGTACTGTTGGTGTATAGAAATATAAAGATGGGGGACAGATTAAAGGAAAAAAACTGAAGAAAAGAGTTGAGAAACACATCAAATGCAGATGTTTCTGTAATAAATAGTTTGGTGTAGATAAAAATGATGTGAATTAAATGCTACGGCCTTTACAGTCACCAGATCTGAACCCAGTTTCACACCTATGGAAGAGTTTGGACCAAGGTGTTAAGATATAATAAGATAAAATTATATAATGTAACCCTTCCTCTTCAAATCTAGTTAGTGTCTATGTCTCTGATGCTAGACGTCTTTTTGTTATGTCTGGCTATGTTTGTGTTTATTTCTATCTGCTGTATTCTCTTGCAGAAAAGATCTTGATCTCAGCGATACTACCTGAATAAATAAAGGTTGAATATCTTTTGGACAAATAGTGTTCATCCCTCCAACAGAGCACTGAAGCTGTTCTGGAGGTTCGTGGTGACCTGACTCCATACTGAGCCGCGTCATGTTGGTTTTTCCTTTAATTGGTCACTCATCTGTATTTTTAACTGTACCATTAAATCAGATTCAGTCCTACCTGGGTGGAAGTGTTATGTAATTCAACTTCCAGCGAGGCTTTGGGGGCAGACGCTGCTCATTACGGCCGAGCCAGAAGCATGCCTCAGTGGTTTTACAGCTTGATGGGGCATAATTATGAGGCCGACATACAGAGTAAAGCTTGATCCACTGCACAAAATGATGCAGGTTTTAGTCTGTAAAGGCTGAAACAGGAATTCTGATCTTGATACGGGTTATTTCTTGGCTTTAAATCTGCAGTCGCCGGAATCAGTTCTTTTGACCTCTCAGCCCTTTC